GGCTTTTGGTTTGGGGTTTAGGGTTTCAGGTTCAGGGTTTGGGTTGTTCGTGGGCCTGGGAATTCAAGAAACGCCTAACTCGAACCCTAAAGCCGCAAGCTCAAGTGAGCCCTTACGATCGTGACCACGGACCGCAACACCACATATAGGGGATTCCATGTATAATGCGAGTATTACACCCTACTTGTTCACTTACCGCAGTCCTCGAAGAGCCTATGCTCTGCCCTCGAGACCAAAAAGCAAATGTAAGACCCTCAACACCCCCCCCCCCCGTCTCTAAACCCTTAAGTCCAAGAAGACCGTAGACTCGACGGTCCGAAACGCTACACGTTTGAGGGTTTTACGGTTGGGGTTGAGGAGTGTCTTGAGTTCTGATGGGACCTCGAAGTCAGGGAACATACCCAAACGACAGTGTGCCTTGCTTTCCGACGCTTCTCATAAACCACTCTTCTTGAAGGGCCCTTCAGATATGTTTCCTAGTATGACCCTGATATTAAGGCGAGTGGGTTGGTCATTCGGGGTCTACATTATTCCTTTCCTTTGGTTGGGCATCTTACTTTGATCTAACGTTTCGGAAGCTCAAGGCGTAGGAGTCGGGTAAGTAGGCATAAAAATCATATATCATACCCTGAACTCAAACTACACCGAGCTTCTTCGTGTTGATCACGGAGTATGCCTCGTGTCTTGAGTCACTTGCGAGTTTTGGTTAAACCCTAAGCCTTAAACCTCAACCGGTACGGCGTTACGATGCGTTGAAAACTCTGCTGGGCTTACGGAGCTCTCGCTGCAGCTGCTCTGGGATCCCCATACGTGCTTCTTCAGGGTTTAGGGTTTAGGGGTTCAGCGTTTAGGGTATAGGGTGTAGTGCAAAAGCCGTCATTGAGTCACTTCGGGCTCTTGTTAAACCCTGCACAGCTTTACAAACCTTGGGGGCACTACTTGGAGGGTCGGGGGACTTAGTAACTGGTTACTTTAGGGACTTGTAAGTACCATAACCCCAATGAGGGTCCCTTTTAGGGTGCTTATAAGTCTACTTACTACCTACTTACTAAGTCCCCCGACCCTCCAAGTACGAAGCCCTGGTCTCCTATAGTCTGCATTGTAGTCCCTTTTCGGGGTTACCTTTTGGGATCCTTAATATAAAACTGGTTAAACCAACAAAAGGAACTACAATGTCTACTCCCCCGGCCTCGGAATTCCCAAGCACCAGCGCCAAGGCGACATCACGGGGAACGTCGACATCGATGCCTGGCCTCTGCTGGATGCAGCATTTTTCGGCTCTTTTCACCGGATGCTGCCCTCAACCTCCCTGAAGCCTTAGGGGTACTTAGAAATATTTTGCCCTAAGAAACAGCTAAAATTAAAATTTTTGCTAGGGTTCTAAGTTCAGTATAGAAGCGTAAATCCTGAATGCCTAAAGCTCGATACCCTAAACCTGAACGCCGCCACCCAAACAACACAACATCCAGTACCTCACCAAACCCAAACCCTGAAGACCAAACCCAAAACCCAAAGCCCTGAACTCTAAACCCTGGAACCACACAAGCTAAACCCTGAGCCAAATCCTAAACCCCCAAACTCTATTATGCAGCCCACACTCCGAAAGCCTTTATCCTGTAGGTCCCAAAATGCTCAGCCTAGAAATTCCCGACATCCCGAACCCTAGTTCCCAGAGGGTTCTCTAAAGGAGCCCCCTTTCAGGCACCCTTAAAGGAGGCCTTTTTTGGAACCCTTTTTTGGGAGCCTTACTGGAGCCCTAGAGGGTTGCTATGGCCGATAGCTATACTTGTACCCCATGCCTCCATTCCCTACTAACCAAAGGTAAGGATAAGGGAGTAGTAGTAGAGGTTGCTCAGGCCGCTGTGTTAAGCCCTTATGCCCATCATACTGAGGCGGTAGTAGATCAGGGCTTGGGATATGTTATGGTATAACTACATAGGTAGAGTAATACTAGTTTGCTAGACCCTCGCATTTAGCCCTAATCCTTTCAATAATGGCAGGGCCTCCTCGTTTGGAACAGGCTTGGGTTATTTTGTCGTAACAATGTGCACAGACAATGGGGAAGTCCCAGGAGTAAACATCCCGACCTCTATGATCCTCAACCTTAAACCCGAAATCCATTCAACACCCAGGATCATGCTGTGGGGCTCGTGGGCTACGGCGAGGAAGATGGGAAGAAGCTTGTTTCAGCCAATAGGAGACCTTTAGACTTCTCTGAGTTTATATGCTTGGTTTGGGGACGATGATAAAAACCGCTAAACCCTAGACCCAAAACTCCCCGAGTTTATGTACCTCGGTTTGGGGATTTAGGGTGTAGGGAACCGCCTTTTAGGGTTGAACTTGTTGGGGTTTGCATGAGGCTGTACTGGACCGTTCGCAACTCCTGGGGTGCGACGTGGGGAGAGAACGGCTACATCCGCCTGGAGAGGCAATAGCTCGAAGATCAAGCTTGGTCGTTTCATTTTCTGCGATCTTGCTATGCTTAATTACGCTAGTTGGTATTGCTACTGTTGTTAATGACCTGGTCGTTGTTAATGTTTGTATGAACATTATTATAGATTGTGGTATTGGTTTCATTATTGTGCTGGTTGTCATTTTGCATACTGCCGTGTCGGTTAGCAGATAAGTATCATGTTTCATTATTAGGACGACTGTAATTGTTGTCGTTGGTGTTCTGATTGTGATTGCTTCTAACATAAACTCTTGAACACAGTTTGCTCATGATTTTGTTGCTAGTAATGCTGTACAGATGAGTATGATTATTCAGAGCCTTCTGCTTTTTTGGCCTTTTTGGCTATGTACGTAGCATGGCTTTTACACTTAGGTGTGTCTTGATTCTACAAAGGAAGGTGCAAGAGGAGCCCTGAAAACTAAGCAGCATAAACAGAGTCAGTTTGACAACTCCTGTCCCATGGATCTCATAGACCTTCTTCCAAGCTCTTCTTGCCGGTACTGCGCTATCAGAGGGCAAAACAAGAGATCTACGTAATATAGGGGTCAGAATAATTATCAAAATCATTTCTCAGGGTTCCTTATGATAGTCAGAGTAAGATATGCCCAAAAACCTTATTCGAGAACTGAAGGCCACTATATTCGGGCAACCCCACACTCAGGCCCCGTATGACATCTTCACCAAGTGCTCTGATCCACTGAGTTTGACTGTCCATGGGCCAATGCCGAGAAGAACCCTCAAAACCTTGACAAGAGACCTATCCGATACCGAAATCTTTTCCCCAAGCCCTACCCTAAACCCTAAACCTAAACCCTAAACCCTAAACCTAAACCCTAAACCTCACCCTGAACCCTAAACCCGAAACCCTCGACTTCAAGAGACAAAGCAGCAAACCCCGAAAACCCAAACTCCGAGACCGGGAAATTTGCAAAGGCCCGAAGCTTGAGGTCTTGAGGCCTCGAGACCCACAACCCTGAACCAAGTATCCTAAAGTCCTTCGGTGGATGATATAAATCCTGCATGACCTTAAGGACCCTAAGCTATGGGAATTGTGGTATATTCCTTGCTATGGATCATGCAGGAGTTATATCATCAACCGTTACATTGGGGGCCTTGATTGTTCAAATGGTGTTTTGGGGTGTATTATGCTTTCATCATATGGGGGCCAGTGTAGTGATTCCTGTATTACAGCCCCTAGCAAGCGCCAGGCAGAACGACCAGAATTACTGCGGCATGGACAGCACGCCTCATCACGGCAGTGCGTGCGAGAACGAGCCAGATACCCCGGTGAAGGCTTGGATCTTACATAGAGGTTTGAACAACTAGAAGTAACTTCCTGTTCGACCCTATGTAGCTATACTACCGTACCCGCAAGTCATGTTCCAATCATCAAGGCGTCTTGGCTCAACACTGAACCCGAAACCCTAAAACCGAGACCCTAAACCCTGAACTTGGGAGGTCTGCGGTACCTGCGGTATCCTCTACGATGTGAGCTACCCAACCGGTGCTCGGGTGGTCGGCGTGGGATCCGGCGATGTCGACCGGTGAGATGCGCCGTGAGTTTTAACAGCGCTATAAACGTAATATGTAGGGGTCACAAAATTTAGCAGTACTATGTCATAGAGTTTCTTATTGCAATTACAAGACGTTCCGGACGTGACTTCTACTACGTTATCATACCAGTGTAGGGTGGGGGGTATGCCCACAGGTGGATGTGCAGACTGCTGCAAAAGGCACGGCTGCATGTTGAGGGCATCCGGCTGTATCGCTTGTTTTACAATCGTTGAGTCTTGCGGTGTTTTCTTTGTGTGGGCCACCCCTGCCATTCTCGTGTAAGATCAGGTTCCGCGAAGTTTTGTAACCCGCGGAGCACAGGGGCACGCGACGAAGGCTCGTGTGTTTCCTTATGTTCCCACCTCCTGTTGTCCGGAGTACAACATACGAGGCAGACAAAGGAAGGCACTAGATCAGAGCTGTTGGGTTCAGGGGTTTCCGGTTCATGGCTTTGCCGACCCCTAAACCCCAGACCCCAAACCCTGAGCCCTGCAAGTCCCAAACCTCTAAACCCCAAAGCGTATAGTAGGAGCTTTAGAAGGTGTTGCGTTGCTTTATTCGTTTTTTTCCCGGGGTTCATAGGGGTTAGTGGGTTTTATAGTGGTTGAGAGCCCCACAACTGTCGCCAACAAGTCTCTTATTGTGTACCCTGAAGCCTAGCCGGAACCATGAAACCCAATGGTAGCCTTGTGTCTAAACCCATCTTAAACCCTAAGACTCTACGCTCTAACCCTAGACCCCTCTTGCCCCAAATTGTGCATTCGGGCTCTTAGTAGATGAAACCCTCAACAATCTAAGCCCGAAAACCTGCCTAAGCCCAAACCCTCAATCCTAAACCTTCAAGCCTCTAAGCGCTAAACCCTCAGCCCGACACCGGTCCGCCCAATGCTGCCTCCAAGGAGTTGGACACTTAGTAAAGTGGCCATAAACAGCGGTAGACTCTCGTAAAAACTTACCTGCTACGTCGGCAGCAGTCTGTGACATTCCGGAGCAGGAGAACATTGTGCTCAGCGACAAGGCCCTGAGGGTTTTTTGGAGTTATCTTTTCGATTTTCGGGTTACTCTAAACCCTAAACCCTAAACCCAAAACCCCTAAACCCTAAACCCCTAAACCCTAAACCCTAAACCCTAAACCCAAAACCCCTAAACCCTAAACCCTAAACCCTCAGATCCCGAAAGCCTCACTCGTACAATCTAAGCCATGTCGCACAAAGGTTCCTCTTGGCACAAAGGTGTGTTAGATGACACAAGAAGTAAGTGTCGCGTATTTATGGGACCTTATACGGATTTTCCAATCTGAATATGGGACCTACTGACTACAAAAAGCGTTTGGAGCGTTTCATACGATGGTGGGCTTGACGTATTTCATACTATAAGTTGTAGCACGAACCCCTAAAACTTCTCAGCCCTGAACCTTAAGCCTCTCAATACGCTGGAGCAGCAAGAGTACGTAAATTGGACAGCCACGTTGTCTGCCGCTTGACGGCATTGGGTCTTAGCAGCTCTTTAACCCAACGAGGCCGGCACTAGAGAGGAAGGACAATCCCGTAGGCAGAACCTCCATACCGCAACCCCCCAAAGCCCAAAGCCTAAAGCCTAAACCCTAAACCCGAATACACCTACAGTGCCCTTGTAGCACTCTTACAGAGCCCCTTAAACGGACCCTAACAACACCCTAAGCCCCACGTCTTACCCTGCACCCCAAGGCTTCAACTCCGCACCCACCTCCGGAGTTCGGTTTTCGGGGGCTAAAGGGATAGGGTTTTGGATTTAGGGTAGGGGCCTGCATGATTAGAAGAGTGTAGCGGAGTGCAGTTATATCGGCACTCAGGGGATACTAGTACGAGGTTGTGTAGGAGCGGAGGCGCGGGAAAATCTTTTCGAGTATTGCATGACGGCTGACTGGCTATCGGGCTGCGAGGTTAGGGGGTTAGCGTTTTGGGGCCTACGGTTGAAGCATAAGACCGTAATCTAGGTAATGTGGGGTTGAATACCTCTTCTCTAAACCTACACCCTAAGCCTAAAACCTGGACCCTCGTGACCCCAAACTGTTGAAGGGCGTCGGCGTTCAAGGGTTTAGGGTTTGGGGTTTAATGTTCCCCCCTGGGTGCCCCAATCCAGGCAAGTGCTGTCGAAAAGCCCGCTATCGCAGGTTAAACAAGCTACCGCTACACGTTTGCCAGGCGTCCCACCTTGAGCCGTGCATGTCCTACCTTGAGCCGTGCATGTGCAAAGCAAACAAAATCCGAAACAAACCGTAGTTTCGGCTTCCTAAACCCCTAAACCCTAAACCCCAAACAACCCTAAAGCCTTAAACCCCTAAACTCTAAACCCGAAACAAACCTAAAGCCCTACACCCCTAATTCCTAACCCTAAACCTTACACCCGAAACAAGCCCTACTGGTAGTTTCGATTTCTTTTAGGCATCCCACAGATCAGGTCCAGGCCTTTTTCGACTCCCCGGAGTGCCTCGTCTGAGAAGTTTTGGGAAAGTTTCAGGGTTTCCGTTTCAGGATTGGGGGTTTAGGGTTCAGGTTTCAGGGTTTAGGGTTCAGGATAATGGCTGATAAGGGCTGTTATGAGAGGGATTTGCAGGTTTTCATAGGGTTTTGATCAGGTTTTAGCAGTGGTTTTCGTCCTTGGGTTTCCGGGCGGTTAGGTCTGAGGGGTTGATTGCTTGAGGTTTCTCGGATGACATATCCCATGTAGGGTTTATTGCGCGTTTAGCGCCATGGTTGCCCACGAAGCGCAATACCTTGAGTAAAACTAGGATGCCCAGTAGTACCCTTATTCCCTTTTTGTCGTCCTAGGTTCCTTATAAAGTTACCCAATACCAAAAAGAGAGGCCTCTTTATTCTTAGGTTACTGGGTATCCTAGAATACCTTGAGAAGGCATCTGCAGTTTTCCTGGTTCCTGATGGTCGGGGCTTGTGGGTGTAGGTCTTACACCCTGCATCCGAGCACAAACACCGGACTACTTCGCAGTAATATGGGTGGTTGTCAGAATTATGGCCCCGTTTTGGGTATCCTAAACATTAGGTGCCGTACTATATTAGGACCCAAAAAGGGGGCCATAATTTTGACAACGACCCATATCCCTCCGAGAAGCCGGGGCTCCTGGTGGGGTTGCTCTTGACCGGAGCCCAGCCCATTCGACAGAAGGACTTCCTTCTGCAAATCTCCAGGGTGCACAGGCGGATGATGAAGATGCTGCGAAGGATGGCTGCACCTTCCGGGCCGCGACGGTGCTCCTGAACCGTTTGAAGAAGAGCAAGGGGCGTTTGTGTCAGCTGGGTGACAAGCTCAAAGAGATGGTTCTTTCGACCAATCCCGAGGCAACCAAGGAGCTCAAAAAACTTATCATGAGAAACAACGGCGACCTTGGGAAGGTCCAGGTTTCAAACCGAGGCCATCGTCGAAAGCATTGATGCGGAGAAGTCATCGGAGAGTGTATCTCCGATGACTCGGGCACAGGCTAGGCGGCGAAGCCCCTTTGTTGATCCCCTACCTCTGCAGCACCATGTTTGCTGCCTGCATATATTTATGCTGGCATACGGCTCCAGATCCTGTTCTAACAGTCAAGGCCACTGCATGAAACCTACAAAGTTTGGCAGGATTTAGGTGGGCTGGACTTGCAGGAAGCTTCCACATCAATGTTGGATCGTCGGGGATTACCGACCCAACACACTTCGATGATACTCCGTGTTTTTTAGAGTAACACAAACAGCTGAATGATAATTGAATGTCAAGAGGAATACAAACGGCAGTTTCGGATTTCCGGAAGGTAGACTTTCTTACATGCGTACGTCAAGCAGGTGTTTGCCTAACCTGGTGTGGCGGGTTGGGGTGTAGGGTTTTCGGGTTAAGGGTTTAGAGCTTGGGGCTAAGCTTTTCCAACCACCATAGACATGGCGGCCTAAATGACAAAGCTTTTTTGGGTTCCCCATAGGCCTTGAGCCCCACATGCAGAACCCCGTAAGGCACTCTCGGAGCTCTTTCCCGGTATACAGATGACCAGCGCGAAACTCTGGATATCGCATGCGAGCAACGATGGCGTGAAACTGAGCCTGGAGTCTCCGACGCCGAGGACAACAGCTTCGAATAGAATTCAAGGAAGCTCGGGAAGCCTCGCAGAATGACAAAGGCTCGTCTGCGTCCTCCCAGCGGCCGTTTAGCATCCTGCTGGATGAGATTGAGGAAGAATCAGCCCTGCTAACCTCCAAATGCTAAGGTAAAAGCCAGAAAGTTGGAATATGGTTATCCTAAACCTTTTATGGTAAATTATAAGGTATCCTACCCTGAAACCATATTCCAACTTTCAAGAGTTCCCTTTAAAGCCAAAGGCTGTCAACACCGGCGCAAGGTTTTGGGTTTCGCCACCCGGTTTTCCCAACGCCTCAAACTTTCCAGCACCAATAAGAACAGTTGCTCCCTACTCCCAACCCCTCTACCTGAAATTCTAGATGCGAAGCCACATTCAACCCTCAAGCCTGTACGACCAAAACCGCATGGTGCTCGTAGCGCCAAATCCTGCTGATACAGAGATCGAAACGTTTCCTAATCCCTCCACAATTGCACATAATGTGCCCCTGCTTTTTCCTTCATGCCTCTATACTAGACCCTCATTCTCACTTTTACGGAGCCCTGATAAACGCCTTGTTTCCATTCTGAGTAAATGCCTCCCAGGATTGGAATCATCCGCGCCAAGGATGGGTCACGAAATTTAGGTAGAGGGTTCAGGGTTTAGGGTTGGGTTCAGGGTTTGGGGTTTAGGGTTTAGGGTGGTATGGTTCAGGGTGTAGGGTTAAGGGTTTAGGTGTTGAGTTCAGGGTTTGGGGCTTGGGTTTGAGCTGCGGGGATTCCCTGTTTACTGCATCGAACATACCTAGGGATCAATGATAATAAGGTTTTTCTCAGATACGAGAGGACCCCCGATTTAGGGATGTTGAGCTGGAGTTCCACGATTCTTTCTACGAGGGTTCGGGGCTCATCGAAGGGTTTAGGGATTCAGGGTGTAGGGTTTTGGTTGATCGTTGCTTATTTAGGGTTTCGGCTTTAGGACCAGAGATAGCGGGCTGGGGCAGGCAGTAGGTTTTCAACCTCAGGGAGAACTCTTGAGGGTTGAATTCGAACCCGAAGCTGCAAGAGCAGCGCCTCCACCGCCTTCGCCGTGAATGGGCTGCAGGCAGACGTGATGTTCTCCTATGGCGACGACCCTCGACAAGAAGAAGGACTGATTCTCTTTGGCCTTCGTGGCGCTCCTGGACGGCGTGCCGCCGGCAATCTTGGAGGTTGCAAGTCTCCGGAGGGTGCACGTGACCTTGAAGGCCATGTCGCGGTTGCCAAAGCGCAAGAACCTCGCGTGCATCTTTGGGCTCATGCAGAACCTGGCAGCAAAGACCCAAAGCTTGCAGCCGGAGGGAGGCGAGTGGGCGCAAGCTCACTGCAGCATTATACATCACATCTGAAACATGAAAAAATTATGTATCCTGAATAGTATCTTAGATACTAGCTACTGCTAGTGCTACTGCTAGTGCTACTGAAACTGCAACTACTATTGTAAGCCCTAGTAGTCTAGGGTTTAAGGTTTGGGGGCTGTTGATTTTTTGGCTCTGAACTTTCTACAGGTCCCATATGGGAGGTATAAAACCAGTCCTAAGACCCCAACATAGGTTCTACAGTCTAGGATCACGTTGTAGCAATCCTAAACCCTACACCCTAAAACCGACGCTCGCCACACTAAACCTTAAACCTTAAACCCTACACCTTCAACGCCAGACCAAAAACCATAAACCATGAACCCTAATCCCCAGAAGTACACCGAGAGCCCTTCAAACTGCGAAGGAGGTTCCGCCGCCCGATTGCGTCGCGAATTCGCTGAGGCAGTCTGGGGATTCATTTATGGGGTTAGTACTACCTGTGGCCCCCTAAACCTACCCTTTTCAAAAGTTATGCATAGATATAGATATAGAAGCCATAAGAAGGCACGTACGGGATTATTAGCACTACCTTTGTTTAGGAATTTCTATCATAGAAGCCATAAGAAGGAACCTTAAGTGTATAGTCAAATTGTCACCAGCCCTGTTCTGAGTATGCAAACTCTCATCCAGGGGTTTTGTGTTTTCAGTTTATATAGGGTTTTGGGGATTGAGTATTTGTGAATTTAAGGGTAACTTGAATCACCGAAGATAGAGAGTTGAATGCATAGGGTCTCCGTGAACCCGAGTCAACTACCTGGCAGCGTTTGCTATTCTTATTTCGTTGGAGCCAGGTTGGGCTTAGGGGTTTCGTTAGGGGTTTCGTGTTTTTTTCCGGTTGCGGCTCGAGTCTCTCGACGCGCTCATGAATTCAACAAAGCATGCTAAAGGCAAGCAAAAATTGCATAGGGGTTTCGTGTTTGGGGTTTGGGGATTGGGTCCAGGATTCGGTTCAAGGACGGTGAAGGCCGAAGGTTTCGGGAATATACCTTTTTCCCCAAACCCCCAACAGCTCTAAACACAAGCGTAAGCCCAAACCCCAAGGGCGACAAAGCCCCTAAGCCCTAAACCCCAAACTCAACCCTTGATTTTCGAATCATGAATTATAGTATCCTTATGGGAGGGGGCTCCAAGGGGGGTAGGTAACCTACTAATCCCTAGTTCTCTCCAGTGCTCCCTAAGGCTCCCTTGTACCCTCCCCCCTTGAACCACCCTCCCTTAAGGACCCTATAAATGAAGCCTCTAAGGCTCTGTACGGTTTCATAGGGCATGTATGAGGCTTTACAGAGTGGTATTCGGTCTTATAGTTTTTCAGCAGGCCCATGCGCCTTAAATGAAGGAACATGAGGAATGCTACGGTTCGGGGTGTGGCTTTGGGGGTTTGGGGTTTCCTTGGTTGGCTGGAGTTGTGAATCGATTCCTCAACTTCGAGATCGCTCCTGTGTTGCTTCGGGAAGGATTATTTGGGCTCTGATTGGGTTGTACCATCTCTGGCTTCTATGTCAAATCCAATCTTAGGATGTCATATCCTACCGTGCCACATCACCTCGCGTCGGGTCAGGTTGTGCCAGCGCCATCATCGTCATAATCAGAAGCATGATGTCTATCTTCATCTGCTTTTTCATCCTTCTCATAATATGCGGATAAGCGCACATCCTTACCCCGGCAAGTCTTTGTAGCTGCCTGCTTGGGCTTCCCTCTGGCGAGGCCTTATCAGCTGACCGGCTATCACTGGCTGGTGTGGCTCAGGGGCAGTTGAGACAAGTGGGGCTTTGTGCTTGGGTTCAGGGTACAGGGTGGCAGGTCTGCTCAGTCTACTTGAAAGCTCAGGGTCTCAGGGTTTCAGGCCTTGGGGAACGGGTGTGCAAATCATGCAGTCAAGGTTGTAGGTGCCCTGGCGCGTTTACCAAATCCCTTTATCGGGTCGGATGGTCGGGGCTCAGAGGTTAGGGTTGCGGGTTTTCGAGTTCTACAGGGTTTGGTTTTTTCCTGTTGAATTTTTTTTTGAGGTTTAGGATTGGTTTAGGGACAGTCTCGATAACGAGCAGCATGCCTCAAGGTTTGGGGTTTAGGGTTTACGGCTTAGGGTTTCGTGATGGTGCGGGATTCATGGCAGTGGGAATGCAGGTTCACCTGGGGCTCCACCGAGGTCCCCAGATCTTGCAGCCTAGGTTTTGGGTGTTTTGGGACTGTGGGGGCAAAGCGGAGTTCGGGCTTTCAGTTCAAGGGGTTGGAGATACAGATGTGGGGTCTTCGGGCTCGTAAAATGCTCTGGATCAGGGTTTCGGGTTTCAGGTTTGGGGTTCAGGGTTGAGGGTGGATTTAAGGGTTAGCCCATGCTTGGACTTGCCTTTTAGGTCCGAGCGATCAGAAAACGTCGCGAGATAAGACAATGTTCGGAGACGATTATCATGTAGACAAAGCCGAACCCAATTCAGACTAATATGGCACACATCATAATGCCGAGAAACCCATGTATTTCCCTACTACATTGCCGAGGAACAATGCACGCAACGGCTTGGGATGCATCTTGGCCGACGACATGGGTCTCGGGAAGACACTGCAGGCGATATCGCTGATGCTTTACCTCAAGTCGACGCTTGGTTTTTTGGGTTCAGGGTTTAGGGTTTGAGTTTAGTGTTCAGGGTCATGGTTTAGGGTCGCGACGACGGTAATCATCTGAGTTTACGTTCGTTGTAGATTTAGATTTAGGTCAAGCGTTTCGCAGTTTGCATCTGGGGTAGGGTGCATGCCCACAAGGTGAACCTCTGTCAAACCGTAAATCCTGCGCCCTGAACACGAAATCCTACATCATAAAACCTCAAAGCCTGCACCATCCGACGCCCTAAGTTGCCGGGGCGGCTTTGGGCTTCATGGTTTTAGGGCTCGAAGGAAGAACACTTGACAGCTTCACGTCTGGTGTAGTACGCGCCTGAAGATTTCTACGCAATGACCACTAAACTCTAAACCCCTGAGCCCTTACTTACCTTTGGTTTGTAGGGAATGGAAGAATGGTAGTAATAGTAGTTATAACTGTTCCTTGGGGTTCGTTTTGTAACGCTGTCATCTTGTCAACGGCCCTACAGTCGGGCCAGGGGTTTCCTTAGAAGCGGCTTTTTTTTCCTGTAGCATGAACCAACTCAGAGGGTCCATATGTACTGCAATTATTATGGAATCAGGTCCTAAGATGCTATCCTTACTATGGTTTTGGGGACCTAATTCCGTAATAGTGCTATACATGGTACCTCTTGGCAAAAGGCTTACTAGCCATTCTTGCGGTTTTGGGGCCTGTGTACCCCAGAATACACCCCTCAAGGCCGTTTGGTACGTTGCTTTCCGAAGCCTCTAACTTTCAATCCGAACCATAAACCCGAAAGCCCAGCCCTAACCCGAAACCTTCAATCCTGGACCCTAGCCTCAAAGCCCTAAGCCCTACACCCGAGACGCGAACCTCTAACCTTATGCTCGGAAGCGCGCTCAGGAATGGGTTGCTCACCAAACCGATGCTGGTGGTCGTTCCGACAGGTTTCGCGGCTAATTCGAGTTTAGGGCTATGGGATTTAGGGTTTGGGGCTTCTGGGGGCATTGAGTTTAAGGTTGTAGGATGGGATTGAGGGTTTGGGGCGTGGGGTCTAGAGGAGGTTCTACCATCACAAACCCGGGTTGCCCTAGTTGAAGCGCAGGTAAGAGCTTGATGAGTCCCGCAGCCATCAACCCTCAAACCTAAACCCAAACCTGAAGCCCAAAAACTTAAACCCAAACACTAACCCTACCCCCTGACCCCCCAAACCCGAACCCTAAACCTAGACACCGAAAACGTAAATACTAAGCACAAACCCTACGCACTAAGCCTCTAAGCCCCAAGCGCTCCCACAACTTGGACCCCAAACCCCTCGAGCGCCAAACCGAGGGAAACAGGAGCAAGCCAAAACTTCTCCCTCTGTTCACGGTACAACCCGCGGCTTTTGAACTTTCAACCTGACCTTCCTTACCCGCTGTCTTCTTAAGGACTTATGTAACTAAAGGAATCAATCATAGTAAGCCTGGGGGATGTAGGAGTTTCCGAGAAAATTTGGGGGTACCATATTTTGGGGTCCTTATGAATAGGATCCTAAATATATTTAGGGTACTGTATTAGGGTCCCTGTTTTCGGAAACTCCCATGTATCCTACATATTCAGGGTACTATATGAGGGTCCCTATTTTCGGAAACTCGCATGTAGGTGTCTTAGTGGTCCTTGAAACCTTGAGGGTTCATGTGTAGTTATATAAGTGGGGTTATAAGTTATAAGGTAACTATACTTATGACCCTTCTTAGGGGACTTGAGCGGAGGCCTACTGGGCACCTGGCAGAGGGAGCTGAAGCAGTGGGCTGGCTCTCTGGCAGAGCCTTTATGGTTTACCTTAACCCTGAAGAACCTACATTTTTAAGGATATATATATATATATATATAAGGAAATCATAATAAGGAACCCTAAAAAGGTAGGTTCTTCAGGGTTAAGGTAGGGGTTAGGATTTATGGCTTAGGGTGTGGGGTTTAGGTCTTTGGGGCTTAGAGTGGAGGTTTTCGGCTTTTGGGGTTTAGAATTGAGTTTTTGGGTCTTAGGATTTAGGGTTGTATATGGCTTAGGACTTACGGTTCAGAGTTTAAGGTGTGGGGTTTGGACCGTTTGGGTTTAGGGTTGTATATGGCTTAGGACTTAGGGTTCAGAGTTTATTGTGTGGGGTTTAGGCCGTTTGGTTTCGCCTGTGCCCAGAGACGTCAGTCCCTGAGCAAGGGTTCTCTACAAAGAAGACCTGGCATACTTTAACGCCTATTCCTTAAATAAGGCTTCTCTCGAGAGGAGTCCTCTGGATCCTCATAGAGTCTTATAGAGCCATTAGGGGTTTAGGGTATCATTAGGACAGATGTTCAATAGCCCTTTGATGAAGAATCCTTCCAGAACCTTTGCAGAGCTGTTTTGGAGCCTTGGTACTTCCTTCTTATGAGCCGTTGTCGAACTCTCATAGAGCTCCGTCCCAGCCGCGATTAAATCCTTATGCAACCTCCGTATTGAACCCTTATAAAGCCCTTCAAGACCCTGGTGAAATTTGTGAACCTTAAGCAATCATCTTGTAACAAATTGTGAGGAGCCGTAAAACCGATGTAGAACCCTCAAAGAACCTTTTTCGATTCCTTGATAACAACCGTTAAGCACACCTTGTTTGAAGGCCTTGTAGAACACTTGTGACTCCTTGCAGTTTGAAACCTTGCATGACTTTTTTTACCCTCCGAAAACACCGTGTTTGAATCCTGATAGAACTTTTACATGTATATAGATGTATAACATTCCTAAAAGCCCATGCCATAAAGCACCATTGAACGAGCCTAAGGGGACACACTGAGAGTGAACCCTAAACCCTGAAACCTACATCCAGAACCCTAAACCCGAACACCCCCCCCCCCCAGAGAAAGAGCCTTAGGAGACACCCTGAAAGTGAACCTCTACTTCGGCAAAGAGCGGAAGGAGCCTGGGTTTTCTGGTTGTCCTCGAGCTTAGAGGTGTAGGGTTCAGTTTTTGGTTGAGGGTTTAGGGTTCAGGGTTTCCGGTGTTTTTTCTAGGAGATTTCTAAGGATTCTTTCCGGAATCCTTAGGGATCTCTGGGGATTTCTGGGGTTCCTGAGTGCTGGATCTTCTGGTTTTGGAGTGGTGGGTTCGATGACTTCGAGCTTGATAGATCCGTGCCATTCCGTGCCAAGAAAGGACTTGTCAGTCGAAGTCGCGGAATCGCAAAAAGCCTCGAGGCCGCTGTAGAAGCCTGAAGCTACGAGCAGCACTGTTTCTCAGGATACATTATTCAAACTTTCGCAAACAAACCTCCAAACCCGTTCTACTCATTAAGGCCCGTTTCTCATGTTCAGCATGCGACCACTCGTGAGAGCATCCTTACATGATCAACATGGGAGTTTCCGAAAATAGGGGACCCTGATATAGTACCCTCAACAGTCGGATCCTTATATTATAATAAAGGACTCCCAAAATAAGGTACCCCTAATTTTCAAGAGGGTTTGTGCATTTCAGGGTCCAGGGTTTAGGGTTTAGGGTTTAGGGTTGTCAAGAGAGTTTGTGCATTTTTCGGCTTCGCATTCTACCGCCTCGAACCACCCTAGACCGCTTCGACCCAATGAGAAGTAGGTTACGCCAACGAGGAACCCGACCAAACCCACTACAAAGCCTTTCAAAACCCTAAACCCTAAACCCTAAACCTTAACCCTAAACATCTCCTTTCCCACTACGCAGCCTTTCAACACCCGAGGAAACCCAGCAACAAAATGGCCCCATTTCCGACGTACCGAGCCCTGGCAGCCCCAAGCTCTCGGCAGGCGGTCGCCGGAATGGGCGAAGTTGAGAAGAAGAGGCCAAAGGCCGGCGGAACATGTACACAGGCATGCGGTTTGTAGGGTTTAGGATGCAGGGTTTACGGCGGCCCAAAAAGCATACCTCTTTCAGGAACAAAAACCACAGAGACCAGAATAAGGAGCCCACAGGGGGGTATTAAGGTCTGTAGGGTTCAGGTTTCATAGGGTTTCTAGGGTTTGTAGGGTTTAGGGTCAAGGGTTGAGGGCATTGAGGGTCTAAATGGTTTTATACGGCTTAAGGGGTTTATGGGTAAGGGGTTTTTATGGGGGGCTGTAAGAGTACCCTGGACCACCTCTTTAAGGACTTATGAGGTTATGGGGCTTGTGATATGGGCACTGAGGTCTATAGGCATAGGGTTCATTGGGTTTCTAGATTTTGTCAGGTTTCTAAGCTTTATAGGGTCAAACAGGGTTTTACAGGGTTTATAGCGCTTATGGAGTCCATGCGGTTTGGGGTTGGTGCGTTTTTGAAGCTTTTGCCGTGTTTGTATGGTACGGTTTAGGATGGTTTAGGGTTTAGGTTTCGGGGCATTAGAATTTTGAAGTGATTTGCTAGGTTTATGGCGTTACAGCATGAGATCATGGCAAGGGGCACGGCTTGCAGGTCCTTGGGTCAGGTAGGTCTAGGTTTGCGATGCAGGCTTAGGGGTGTAGCAGTTGCTTGTGGATTTAGGGCCTCAGACTTGGGTTTAGATTGTAGTTAGTATTCGTTTTCGAGTCGAATGCTCCTGCAGCGACCTCCGCTGCTCCCGCGACTGAAACTCCTGGAGCATCAAGAAACGTTGACGATACTCGATCCTGGCGTGGCCACGGTGGATTCGAGCAACGATTATCCGCTCCTTACTCTTTCATTCCCGTGCCCTATGACTCGCGGACTGTTCCCAACGGAGTAGGACCACCACGATGGTACGATGCCATGTTGGGAAGATCGAACTTTGAGCACGGACATCAGCCCGCTCCGATACCAAAGGTACAGGGCTTGGGGTTTAGGTTTTGAGATTCAGGATTCCTGGTGTAGGGCTGAGCGTTTGGGAACTTGAAGGGTTCTTTTTCAGGGATGAGGGGTCATGTCGTTGAGGGTTGTCAGAGCGCGTATGAGGTTGAACAAGGGCCTTGGGACTTAGTGATTCTAGGGGAGATGATGGATGAGTGATCAGATCTGTGCAAGCTGTCATAAAGCCTCACCAGAGCCGACCCAAACTCTCTCAACTACCGGCCCCGCGACCGCCAGCGGCGTTCGGCCCAGGCGAGTCCCAAAGCACCCGCGGCCGCGGGCGGCCCAATCACGAAATCCCCAAACCCTGGTTGCCTTCCTCTCCTCCTAGGCAAGACGCCACAAGTTTTGGAACCCTTAAGTTCAAGTCGCAACCAAGAAATCAAGTTGCCCTAAGAGCCCAACCCTCCAACCTCAAGCCCAACCCGTAGCTTAACTTAATCTCCAAGACCTACTAACTAAAGCCCATGCTGTCCAAAAGCCCTCCGCCTCCTCCTTCTCCTCCTCCTCTTCTCCTTTTCCTTGTGTCCGGTACTGGTACTGGTCTGCTATTGCTAATGCTAGTGCCTCTGCTACCGACTGCTGCTGCTGCTGCTGCTGCTGCTGCTGCTACCACTAGCAGTGCCGCTACCACTGCCGCTGCCACTGGTATCGCACTGGCACTGCCGTGACCTCTTCTGAAGATCCCCAGAGTTCCTAAACCCTAACCCTAGCCCTAAACCAAAACCCTAAAGACTACAGCCGAACACCTCCAAGAGGGCCCCCTACGGCTTCGCAGGACGAGCCTCCAGCGCCGAAGCGCCGAAAGTTGTCCCAAAAGCAGCCGGCCGCCAGGGCTGACATTAGTGTTTTTAGCTCTTATTGCTATATTGGGTTTAGGGTTATTACTATGTTGGGTTTAAGGTTTAGGGTTAGCCTATATTGTCATGATGATGATGGTTGTTTGCTATTTTGTTTGTGTTCTTGAGGGGAGGGATGGTGGAGAAGGTGCGGTGGAGAGTGGCGGGTGTTCGGGATCTAGGGTGGGTGGTATCATCTTTTTGAGGAGGGAATTCGGAACTTTGGGGTGTTCCATTGTCATTGGCAGTCAACCTAGCAGCGATGCTCTCCATCGATAGTGGCACTTTGTTGTTCATCAGTGTTGTCGTGAGTCGTGTCAATTTATGGTCGCTGCTAACACTGGTTACCAGTTCTCATGATGATGATGAGGCTGGTGACAAAAGTGGTGCTGACCAGTCACTATGGCAGACCTGAACCCCATGCGTACCAAGACGGCCCACAGCAGTAGAGCACGAGTCCTCCTCCAGACATCCCGTGAACCTGCCTCTGTCGGGCTTGGAGTTCAGAGTTTCGGCAGCGATCTCCTTGAGTCGCAGGGCCTAGGATTGGATGCGCTGTGACTGTAAACCGCAGGGCATAGTTTGAAGATTGTCCTCAATTTTTCGTGGTTCGTCAGGTTGTTGATGGCCCTAAACTCTAAACCCCAAGCCTTAAACCCTAACCCCAAATATGAAACCCAAAAGCCTAAATCCCTAAACCCCAAACCCGCAAAAAAGCACGAAACCCTGAACCCTGAGGCTCCTTCCGCCTATCTACCCGTGCCGGAGAAGCAGACGAGGGTCAAGAAGTCCGAGGCGGACGCTGGAGGTTTAGGGGGTCCATGGGACTAAAGGTTCAAGGCTTAGCGGGGTTTATGACCCTAAACCCTAAACCCTAAACCCTAAACCCTAAACCCTAAACCCTAAACCCTAAACCCTAAACCCTAGTTTATGGGGCTCAGGGTTTAGGGGGCTCTAGTCGTTGGGCTTTAGTTTCGTTTTCGGCGGGGGTTCTCGGACTTGTTACAAGCTGACTTACACGTTTCCGCTTTCGAACGGTGTTAGTAGAGGTTTGTGGTAGAGGATGTAGAGGGTGAAAAGACAGTGTGTGTGGATGTAAGTGCCCCCAGGGCCCCGCTCGAAGTGGCACGGCATTCCAGATGATAGAGCGTTTTAGGTTTTTAGGGGGTTTCGGGAGTTTAGGGGGTGAGAGTTTAGGAGTTGGGGTTTCAGGGCACTGTACGTGGTTTGTCGGGATTCCGTGGTTTCCACATGCTTTAAAACCATGTCGTAAACCAAAGATTTCTAGGCCCTCTGCCCCTCAAGCCAACATGCCAGAGTGTCTTCGGGACATGCGATATCGGTATCTGAATAATTGGACGATGTATCTCTGCGGACGCACCCACAGAGGCTCCAGATTCCATCAGAAGAAGAAGAAAGCATCCCTGGATCGTGCACAGTAAGATCATGGTAGATCATACTGTAGCCCAACACCCTGTGCCAATCCTAAAGCCTAAAGTAGATCCTGGGCGCGGGTGCTCAACAAGCATCGCACACACCACTGCTATGATCTGGCTTCTTAGAAACATCCCATATGGAGGTATTCTAGGATGCCCAGTAGTACCCTTATTCCGTTTTTGTAGTCCTAGGTTCCTTATAAAGTAACCCAATACGGAAAAGAGAGGCCTTTTTACTCTTAGGTTACTGGGTATCCTAGTATTCAGGGTCGCAGAAAAAGCTCAATGCATCGCAATAGCTTAGCTTCGACTTCAACCCGCGAGCCCTATGACCTACAAGCCCCTCACAACCCAGTAGATCGACTGCTTGGAGGGTCGGGGGACTTAGTAACTGGTTATTTTCGGGACTTATAAGTACCATAACCCCAATTAGGGTCCCTTTTAGGGTACTTATAAGTCTACTTACTACCTACTTACTAAGTCCCCCGACCCTCCAAGTGACCCCGAAACAGCCGGGGAAGCCCGGAACTTCAACCCCAAGCCTCCCTGCGATAGGAGCACGTCGAGACGGATGTCTTCCTGACGTCCTACGGCGCAGCTCCGCTGTACCCCAAGCCCTCAACACCGAAGCCTAGATCCTGAACCTAAACCCTCATGCCACAAAAGCCAAACCCCAAGCCTTAAACCTTCAACCATAAATCCGAAACCGTAGTCAATATTACAGTAATTAACACTAAGCCCTCAACCATCGACCCTGAACCCTAAATCGTAACCAAATACTTAACCATGAAGCCTAAGCCCTAAACCGAAGCTCAGGTCTTCCGCTCGGATGCTGCACGACGATTGAGCCAGAAGGATGCGGGTTGAAACGAACCTTAGTCCCCCTTAAAGGAACCCCTTACAGGAGCAATAGAGAGATCCCTCAAAAGGGCTCCTTGAAAGGAACCCCCTAGAGATCCCTTAAAGGAAACCTTAACGGAACCCTAGAGATCCCTTAAGGGCTTTTCTAAGGGTTCAGTTTAAGGGTTCGCTTCAAGTTTTCGCTTTAAGGGTTCGATTTAGGGGTTCCCTGAAGGGTTTCCTAAGGGTTCCTTAGGGGCTTGCCGTCAGAGATCCGGGGCTTAAAAGGTGTAGTGTTAGAGGGCTTCGAAGTCTCAGCCCTAAGCCCTAAACCCTAAACCCTTTTGGCCTGAAAGATGCTGCTCCGAAGTAGGGCTTAGGGTTTAAGGTTTAGGTTTAGGGTGTATGGTGTAGGGATTAGGGTTTAGGGTTTAAGATTTAGGGTTAGGGTTTAGGGTTTAGGCTTCATAGCTTCTTTTCGATTTTCGGGTTGTGGTTGAACGGCGATTGCATTGTACTCCAATGTTGGAATTATATAGTCTTCCTCCCTCAGCCCTAAACCCTAAACCCAAAGCCCTAAACCCTGAACCCTAAAACCCTAAAGCCCCGAAGCCCTAAACCCTAAATCCCTAACCCTGAGCCCGAAAGCAGAAGCCCTACACGAGAAACCCTAAACCCAACCCCACCATGCTCTGCTCAGAATCTCACCGTGAAGCCCAACTGAGCCGAGCCCCATCCCGAGGCCCTGAGCCAAAATCTGCTAGGAGTTCTTAGGGTTTGGTGTAGAGTTGAGGGTTGAGGGTTTAGGGTTTAGAGTTTAGGGTTGGAGCCGGAGGAAGCCCTACGAAACTCCCAAAGAAGCGCAAGCCGTCCAAACAAGCGCAGGATATCTTCGGAGGGATGATCCTGGTGACGCGGCGGAGCCAAGGGGTCAGGTTCCGGTGTGTCGAGGGTTTATGACAGAGGTTTTTAGGGTTTTTGGCTAGCATTGCCATGAAGATAGTTTGAAAGTTTTTAACATGATTTGTGATCGAAGTTCATCCATTCATTCGCTTTGGGTTGAAAGTTGGGGGCTTTGGCAGCAGGGTTTAGGACTCTCGGTGGAGGAGGGTTCTAGAGCCTTAAATCACTATTCAGGGACATCCTTGAAGCTATATAATACGGATTCTTGAGACCAAGATTATTTTTTCAACAGCTTCCTCATTAAGTGTGCCGGCCCTCTGGAGCATCTAGCGATCACTATTTAGCGAATTTAGCGTGCAGGAACGAGGAGTTTGGATTTGGGCTGGATGACTGGCCAGCGCTTGGGGTTTAGGATCTGGATCGAAAATTACCCTAAACCCAAACCTGTAAACTATAAACTCTAAACTCGCATGAGATGTGGCAGGTGTAGTGCCGACCGTGTCACATGAGCCTCAGCAATGGAAATTCGTACCACCCTCTAGTCCCAAACTCGCTATGGTGTAGATAGTACTCTCAAACTCTCATCCAGATATGTAAGCCAGTGTACTTAATACAAGTCCCCTGCTCAAGCACTGCTTTAGTTTTGATTTTGGGGGTGATTCCACAAGCGACCAAGGATGAGGCGCAACAGATCAAGAACTACGACACCAAGATTTCGCAGGTCCTCTCTCCCTGTGCCCTTCGTTGAGGTTCTGAGGGTCTAGAGGCTTGAGGTTTTGGGGGTGCAGGTCCATAACTCTCAGACGTCGGGCAGTGCGTGCAATGTCAGACCATACCTCCCCCGCTGCGATGCTATTCAGACAACGCAAGAGCGAATGTCTCCCAGGAGTGCTATATACATCTTCTGGCTGAGCTGCTCTTGCTTTCTTCTCCGCATGTTTGAAGTGGGAGCTGTCGTAGTTTCAGTCACTACAGTCATGGTGGCAGCAAATGCAAACAGAAGCAGAAGAAGCAACCTCATGAAGCAACAATTGCAGCAGCAATAGCAATCGCCAGTCGCAGTCATGGTCGCAGTCATGATTGTCGTCTTCGTCGTCGTCTCTGAGGCTTCAGCTGCAGCCGCAGTCGCCGTGCTGGTAATAGCGACAAAAGCAGCAGCACGAACTGTAGGCTAGTCATATTCAAGTCTAGGTTAGTGGTGACAGCGCCAGTGATGGCAGCAGCAACATCATCATTATCATCATCGTGATCATCACCACCGCTTTCGCTACTCTCGTCGCCATGTGCATTGTCACTGTCATCATAATTTTTCTTTCCTTCTATCACCGGCAGCAGCAGTAGCATCATCGCCGTTCTCATCAGCACCCTGATTGTCAAAACCATTATCATCGTCATAATCGTCATCATCATCATCGTCATCATCATCATCATCATCATCATCAATGCGTTTGCTCTTGAAGACACGACAGCAGTAACAACAGCGGCAATTTTGGCGACACGGGGGGGGGGGGAGGGGGCGACCCACTTTGAGCCATGCCCCGGCCTCACAGGAAGTCAAGCGAGTTGCGGAGTTGGTTGGTCCAGTCCGCGCGCCTCGGGAAGCAATCGAGCCTGTAGAGGTTCTACGAGGGATTTTGTGCATAGGATACTGGGTATAGGGCCTGGGGTCTTGCGTTTTCCGGTTGTGTGTGTGTGTGTGTGTCCGTCCCTTTGTGTTTCCTTGCCCCTCTCTGATTTTGGCTGCTTGAAAGGGTGTACAGTAGTGTGGAGAGCCATTTAGGGTCTAGCGACTGTCAAGATGTTGTCTGGTTGATGTTTGTACAAGTAGCTTGCTGTTGATGAGTTGAGCGGGCAAATGGCAGGAGATATTTTCAAGACACCCATGTCTGAGCCCAATGCCTCGGCCTAAAAACCCTCAGCTGGCCAGAACCCGCCAACCCGTCTAAACCCTGCAGTTACCCCAAAACCCTAAACCCTTAGACCCTTAACCCTTAAGCCCTTAACCCTTAAACCCTTAACCCTTAAACCCTTAACCCTTAAACCCTTAAGCCCTTAACCCTTAAACCCTAAACCCTGAACCCTTAAACCTTAAAACCCTACTCCCTAAAAACCGTTTCAGCCCACGACCGCCGAGACCCGACAGTTAGGAAGCAAGGCCCGGAAATCGAACTCCGAAATCCGGAGTTCGAGGCATCCATCAACCCGGTTTACGGCTTTAGGGTTTTGGGGATTTTGGGGGATTTTGGGGGTTTAGGGTTTAGGGTTTTGGGGGATTTGGGGTTTAGGGTTTAGGGGGATTTTTGGGGGGTTTAGGGTTTAGGGTTTAGCGGCTTTGTCATACTATAAGCCGCAAAGCATTGGCTAGTTATACCTCATCCCAGGAACCCTTTCTCCCCGGCCATCCTGGCCTTCTGCCCTCAACACCTCCCTGTTGCTAAGCTTCTGAGGGCGTTGCCGAAAATAGGGGGGCACCCTAAATAGAAAAGATCTTTACTATAAGGACCCCAAAGTAAGGTACCCCTGATTTCCGGAAACTCCCATAAGGAAGCCATAGCGAGGAGCCATCGAGGGGTTGTCGGATCCTTTTTTTATCAGGACCCCCAAAATCAGGCACCCCTACATCTAAAAAATTCCCATATACCGGAGCTCCAACCCCCACCTTGCATCTTTCCAGGTCTCCCTGTCCGGCACACCAGTGGAGATCCCTGTCAGACTTCGCGGGGTGGGTTTGGGTTTCGGGTTTAAGGTTTTAGGGTTTCATTGTTTAGAGTTTCGGGTGTTCTCAGACAAAGTGGAAGTGACCACCATGTAAACCCTAAACGAGGCTGATGGGCTTCTGTGTTTAGGCTTTCTGGTTTGGGGCCTGTAGAGCTTACAGTATAAGGTGTGGGGCTTCATGGGGCGTAGGGTTGCTGGGCTGTAGGGTTTAGGGTTCAGGGTTTAGGGTTTAGGGGGGTTAGGGTGAAATTGACGAACGCAGTTCCCCCGGTGCCAACAAAGATCTTTGCATCTCAAGGGGTGACCTCGAGGTGTGCGGTGACCTAGCTTTTGTATAGTTTAACCATGGGCTACTTATTATGGCCCTTAGGTGAGCTTTAGCTGACTTTAGCTTCATTCTGAAGCAGTTTTGGCCAAGACGGGGTCCTTTCTAGGGTTTCTCGAGAATGAACAGCTGAGGTTCGTGGGTTGTAAAGAGTTTGGGTCTTTGTAGTGTTTGTTTCTCTCATTGTTGGATGGGAGCTGACGCAGTAGATCCCGACACTTGTGGGTTTTCGGGGTTCGAACGAGCTTGTTTCTAGACCACATAACCCAGTCGAAACTAAATGCAGTAGCGGGGGCAACTGCCAGGGTTTATTCAAGCGACGCGGAGCTGTAGTAGAAGTTGCACTAGCAGCCTTGCTCTCACTACCTTTGGAGAAGCCACAAGAAAGGCCAGGAAGCACTAAACTCCAACAACCCGTGAGCACCTAAAGACACCTGACACCACCAAACTCAAGGAACAAGATGGCAGACCTGCATTCGCAGTTCGAGTTTATTCTGCCAGGACGAGTCTGGGGGCTTAGGGTTTAGGGTTTAGGGGTTTAGGGTTTAGGGTTTAGGGGTTTAGGGGTTTAGGGTTTAGGGGTTTAGGGTTTAGGGTTTAGGGGTTTAGGGTTTAGGGGTTTAGGGGTTAGTCGACTCTTCTGCTTGCCGACATTTCCCTTTGAGGAGTTCGAGCTTGCGCCGGGTCGTTGACGATGCTAAGATCACGAACGCTGAAGCGCCTGAACCCTAAACCCTAAGCCCCTAAACCCCTAAACCCCCAAGCCCCTAAACCCTAAACCGAAGCGCCTGAACCCAAACCCTAAGCCCCTAAACCCCTAAACCGTAAACCCTAAACTCTAAACCCCTTGATGCTACACCCCCGCTCCAAGTCGCGATGCTACCCGAAGAGCCTCCATCGGAAAAGGGTTCAGGGTGTCGTCGATGCTTCCAACCCAAATTCGAAACTCTGAGCCCTAAACCCCTATAGAACCCTTTCAATTATACAAAGTAACCCTAAACCCTAAACCTTCAAAGCCCTTCCAAGCCATCTCTAAAGCCTCGTAATCTTGTGAAAGACCAAGTCCTCCACCCGACCGGGGGAATGCAGAAACCGACTGTTCTGGGGCTGATCCCGCGTAACCCTACTACGGTTGATGATATAAATCCTGCATGGCCCATTATAAGGAATATACCACAATTCCCATAGTTTAAGGTCCTTAGGGTAATGCAGGATCTCTATCATAATCATACTATTTGGTAGGGTTTGGGGTAACCCGCGAACCCTGCGCTGCCCCAAAAGGCACAAGAGGTTCCGAGGTTTAGAGGTGCAGGGTTGAGGATGTAGGGTGCCGGGCTAACTCCAAACCCCCAACCCCCAAAGCTCCGCCTCTTATAGTAACCCGTCAAGGAACCCTTATAGTAACCCGTTAAGGAACCCTTATAGTAGCCCTTTAGGAACCCTTACAGTAACCCTTTAAGGAACCTAACCCTTTAAGGAACCCTTATAGTAGCCCTGTAAAAAAAACGGCCAAGCCCTTTACCCTCAACCATGCAACTCCGAGAAGAGGGAAGCATGGGGTGTTTCTTAAGGAAGGTGCCCAAGCCTTCCTTAGCTAGTGGGTTTAGTTGTGGGTTTTCACGGTTTCCTAAGCGCTACGGAAGCGATTATGAAGCCCTGCCGAAACCCGGCAAGAACTTTGGATGTTAGAAAACCTTTCTACCTGCAGATCTTCGACCCTTGTCATTGAGGGCTTGTTTGTGCTTTTGCCACACATGGGAAGGATATCTCGCCGCGAGCCGGGCCGATTTCCAGAAAAGCTACGAGAGGCGGGTCCAGCAACATCCCAGATCCTAACCCCTTCTGGGATGCAGGTTTGAGGGTTCATGCACTTGCTTCAACACTCCGTGCTGATGCGCGGATTAGTCCCAAACTCTAAACTGCCTTAAACTCCCAGCCCGGATTTCCCAAACCTTCGCGGTACTATTACCTGATAATGGTAGTCCTTATGCCCGAAACTCCCGAAGCCTGGACCTTCAGCTATCACTTCCAGATTTCCAAACCCTCAAAGCTCTCCAGCTCCGAAGCCATAAAAACCCACGATACAACCTGATACAACCCTTTAAACGCCCAAAAGCCCTATGAAGCCTAGAACCCCGTCAAGACCCATAAACCCTGCACAGCCCCATAAAACCCCGGGACAGCCAGTCTATAAGCACCAGAAACTCAACAACACTCAATCTGCCAGGCCTCTTCAGATGGCCAGCAAGCGACGCTCTGCGCTCCCGAACTACGCTGCCGTCACGGCCAAGGTGTCAGTTTAGAGCCTCCCTGCCGTAGGGTTGTGGGATTTTGAGGATTTAGGGTCCAAGGGTTCAGGGTCAAAGGTTGAAGTTTTAGGATCTAGGGTTTTAGAGGCTTACGAATTCAGGAATGGTAGAATTGGAGTGCCTTGAGGTGGTTCTTTCTACAAGGACGCAGTGCTATTCGGGGAACCTGAAAAAGGGACCTCGACCTCATACATCCGAAGCCCAGTAAGGGTCCTGAACCGCCGCCCCAAACCCTGAGCCGTAAACCTATGGCACTTTAAAAAAAAAACCTGAAACCCTGCACCCTTAATGGATTCCTATAAAACGTTGAATAGGGTATTACACGTCTCTTCATGAAGATACGCTAAACAGCCCTTCTCAAGCCCTGAGACTACTAGAGGTAGAGTCCGTAGTTTCATCATGTTGTAACAATATACCCCAGCACCTTCCTTTAACGCTTAACGCCCGTTTCTTAAACCTTTGTGGTAGCCTTTGTCCTGAGTCTTAAACCCTGAACAACCAGAAACCCTATTCTCACAACTTTGGAACCCGAAAAAGAAACCCCATTATAGTACATTCATCGTAACCTTGAAGGGACGACACCATGATAGTAGCCTTTATAGGTACACTGAGAAGATCCCTGTTGCCAGGAGAAGCTGCAGCAGATCATCCGCCCATTTATGCTCCGTCGTGGGGGGCTCAGCTCCGTGGGCGTTCGTGTCGGTGTCTCTTTAAGGGTACCATAAGGGTACTATAGTAGCGATCCTTCAAAGGGTTCCAAAGTTGTGAGATTAGGGTTTAGGGTTGTTCAGGTTTAGGGTTGTTCAGGGTTACCCTAAACCCTAAACCCTAAACCCTAACCCCTAAGGGTTTCATTGGGGTCTGAGGGCTTTGCGGATTCGGGCTCAGGGTTCAGGGCTTAGGGTTTGCATGGATTAGGGCTTGCGGCTCAGGGTTCAGGGATTTAGGCTGAGAGAGTGTAGAGATGATGTAGGAAGTAGGTGGGGTTTTTAAGTTTGAGGCTGCAGGTTTAGGATTCGCACCCTGAGCCCTCAACCCTGATGTTTCAATCCTAAACTCTACGGGTTGAACCCTTCGGTGCTCCAGGATAACCCGGAAGTTTCAGCACTTGCTGTACCCGCAGCCTCCACGCACCGAAAGGTAAGAAGACGGACCCGGACATCGTTCCGGACCTTCCAGACAAGGTGGAGATGTCCCACGAGGCCTTGTCCTTGTAGTAGCATAGGGTTTAGGGTTGAGGGTTTAGGGTTTAGGGTTTAGGGCTAAGTAAGCCCTATGTACACCTAAACCCTGAAACCCCTCATTCCAAAGCTTAACACCCAAGCTTCACTTAAAACAGCCGCAAGCGGTCGAGCCCAAACCACCCTTAAACCCCAAGGCTTGAACCCCAAGCTTCACTTAAAGAAAAAACCCAAGCCCCAAAACCCGAACCCTAAACTACAGACCAGCTTTGGGACGATCTTGGACTCTGAAGATTCGGCAGCGGTTTCACGCGTTTCGGGTTCAGGAGCTGAAGGTCTAATATGGGAGTTTCCGAAATGTAAGGGTGCCTTATTTTGGGGTCCTGATAATAAGGATCCTGCTATTTAGGGCACTATATTAGGGTCCCCTTTTTTCGGAAACTCCCATGTAGGAGCCTGAACAATTAGCTATACCATTTCGGTGGTTCTTATTAGAGTTATAGTATGATATTCCCCAAAACCCTATTCTAATTGCTAGGGCTTAAAGTATTAGCTGGCCCGCGAATCAGGGGTGTGAAGGAGTTTAGTTTCGGGCTGGGGGCTTCCGGTTTGGGCTTCAGGGCTTGTGGTGTCAGTTTGGGGGTTCAGGCTTGGGGTTTGGGGATTTCTCTATGACAAAATTCCATTCTGGGGTCCCCGTACTCCACATGCCCACACTCTAAACCTTGAGCTCTGGTCCTGAAGCCCCAAACCCTAGACCATAAAACCTAAATTGCGACCTTATATATCGGAGGTCACCCTAGACCCGCTAAGCCCTAAACCCTAAACCCTTGAACCCTAAATGCTAAGCCATAAGCCCTAAACCCTAAAGTCTAAACCACCAAACAATAAACGCTAAGCCCAAAGCTCTGAACCCCAAAACCCTAAACCCCTAGGCCCTGAACCCTGAGGTGGAGCTCACGGCCTTCCAGCGGAAGCTTTACAAGGCGGTTCAGGAGGCCTACGAGAGGGATCGGGCGCCTTGGCCTTAAAGACTCCCCCTGAACCCTAAACCCTAAACCATTATAGATCCCTTCCCAGAGAACTCAATGCCCCCTTAATTGAGCTTAAACCATAACATGAGGCCCCTTATAATTCAAGCCATATTTAAGGGTCGGTTTAGGGTTTAGGGTGTAGGGTTTAGGGTATTTTACGGGTTACCGGAAGGGTTTTACAGGGGGTTACTAGAATGAAAGTGAGTTCAAGGGTTGCCATAAGAGGTCTATAAGGGTTACTGTATATTCAACGGTGGCTGCAAGGGTGTCAAGAAGGTTTCTATAGAATTTCTACAAGAGTTTGGACTCAGGGTTTCCAGGTTCAGCGTCTAGGGTGTAGGGTGAGGAGTGCCGGTAGTGCAAGGCCGATTATGGGTAATGTTTGTTGGTATGGTCAGTGCGTTCAGTTGCGTCAGGAGGATTGTTTGCATTCGTACCAGTCTTGTATTGGTGTTGTTACTTGTGCTCCTTCTGGCATCAGTCGTGCGATGCTCGAAGTTACGACAACCTGGTCAATCATCCTAGCCAAAGCCCGTAGGGACTCTGCAAAGTTTAGAGTTTAAGGTAGAGTATCTGAGGTCTAGGGATTGGGGAGTAGGGCTTGGGGTTTAGGCTTTGGGGCTTTGGGTTAGAGCCCGCAGCCGCAGTCATGGGATGCCGGGTGCCGGGGTGCGCCCGCAATGGCCACAGTCATGGGATTGACCTGGGCAGGTGGTTGGTAAAGCTTCTTCCTTAGGGGTATAATCTGCAGTCGAGCTCAATCCGTGATCTTCTTTATGGAAGTTCTTGCTTCATGAAATTTTTGAGTTCCCACATTTGGGTTCAAGCCGTTGAGCTGCAAACCTGTGAGTCCCAAACCATCGCGGTCCCGGGTGTTGGACGCCTAAGCATGAACGGGGGCTAGTTTGGGGGACTTGGGCAGGGTGCCCCCTTGTGGCAATACAACCCCTGTGAAACCCTTGATATACGTAGTTAATATAGGTGCCTCAACAATTACCTATACTGTTTTGGGGGTTCCTTTTTCTAATTATAGTATAACGGGCCCCAGAACCCCATTCAAATTATCAAGGCCCCTATATTATGTATCGCCCCAAAACCCCTCCACTGACCCGAGGCACAGCTGGATCGCTCAGCTGCCTCCTACAAGCTCGCGCGAAGCTGCTTGGCATGCGCTGAGCGTTTGGGGCGTTTGGGCTTTGCCGTTCCATTATTTTGGAGTCCTAGAGTTTAGGGTGCAGCGGTTCAGAGTTTAGGGTTTGGGTTTTCAGGGTCTGTTCTTCAGGGTGCCAAGGTACAAGGGTCTTCGGAGGCCAACACTCTAGATAAAAAGCACACAAGCACTGTGTGCTGCTGCCCTACGGAGGTTTTGCAGGAGTTCAATGGTAGGGTTAGGGTTTAGGGCCTATGCTTTGCAGGAGTTCTAGGATTTAGGATCTATGCATGTGGTGGCCCACAAATCCTAACCTCGCTTGCCTCCTCCTTCCAAGCTCCAGCCGAGACCCTCAAGCCTCATGTGCGAAGCACCTATGCAGCTAAAATCCCAAACCTTCGACCCAGAGCCCCAAAATAATGAAGGCGGCGCCATCTTCAAGATGCTGCAGGGGCTGAGGGAAATCTGCAACCATCCGTCATGCATCACGGCCCGAAGAGGGGGCGTGGAGGGTTGTTTAGGGGTTCTTGGGCTGAATGGCGGAGCAGTCCTCGACTCGAAACTTTAAAAGCCCGGTTTGGGAGTCAGGATTCATACAGCCCCATGCCCGAAAGTCCGGAGGTTTTGTCGTAAAAGCTGAGCCACTGTCCCCACGCAGTAGGTTTGGGGTTCATGATCGGTTTGGGCGCACAGGCTGTATTGCTAGTGCGATAGCTTGGTGCTGCTTTTGACGTGAGGTTTCGGTTGCAGGCACTGGTTCGATGTTTCCGTCAATGCCCCAAAAAGGCCCGAACCCCCAAACCCTCTTCGCTCAGCATCAAAGCTTGGACAGTCCTTAGAACCAAGAACAACACTCTTACCGAACCTTTGACCGCCCTCTCTTTGTAGGGTTTCGGGCAGCTTGCTTGTGTAAGGTCCCTAAACCCGAAAACCCTAACGCCCTAAGGTCTGACGCTAACACCCTGAACTCTGAGCCCCAAAATCCTCAAGCCTGTATGAAACCCTCATGAAACCCCAAAGAGGCGCCATAACACCGGCAACGGTATACAACTCCATAGCAACCTAAAGCCTCAACCCTGAAACCTCAAAAGCATCCTGCGAAGAAGCCCTCAAATGAACCTCAAACTTTGATGAACCGTTAACCATTAACCCCAACAGTCTAAATCTCAACTCATCACGTAGGTGGTCGGAACGGTTGGTAGTACTGTTCGGTTTTTGTCCGTCTAAAACTACAGTTCACTATGAATGTACTTCAAGAACGCGTTTCTAATTATTAAAGCAGGAAACCTACCCTAAGCCGTAAACCCTCACCCCCGAAACCCTAAACCTCAAAACCAAAGCCTCCTGCCCAGGTCTCGATCAGAAGCGGCGGCCGTCCGACGTCGCGGCTGCAGACTACCCGGCCGCCGAGAAAGAGAAGGCCGCTGTTATACATATGGGTGGTTCTCAAAATTATGGTACCCCTTTTTTGGGTACCCTAAATAATAGGTGCCGTATTATAATCAGGGCCCAAAAAGGGACCCTAATTCTGACAACCACCCATATATAGGGAGCACCCTAAGTGGTAGGATCCTTGTTATAAGGATCCCGAAATCCGAATTTTCGGAAACTCCCATACATATGCATGTATACAGACAGGGTGTTCTTGTACCAAAAGCGTGATCATAAGGGTCCTACGATGGTACAATGCCTTCTGCGCGAGTTTGGGGTTTGGTGTTTTCAGGGAGTTTGGGGGTTTGGGGGTTTTAGGGCTTGGGCTTTTGAGGGGTCGCCCACAAAAGACACTTCGGTCTAGCATTCTGTTTTTTGTCCGCAATACACCTAATCTTTGGACTTCCCCTCAACTACTTCGCAATGGCCCATAGTGGGCAAAAGAATGGCTTTTCAGTTTTGGGTTTGGGCTTGGTGGGTTTAGGGTTCAGAGTTTCGGCTGCACTCAAGAAGACCCTGGACCCTGAACCCGCGACCTTCAGCCCTAAACCCTAAAACCCTAAGCTCGGAAACCAGCTTGTCTTTGCACTGGTACTATATTATACTATACTATGTTGTATTATCTTATGCTATACTATACTATATTATACTATACTATATTATATTATACTATACTATATTATATTATAATATACTATATTGGGCCTCTTGTTCGCAGGCCAGCGGCAAGAGCGAGAAGCTCCACCAACTCTTAGAGGAGACCATCTTCCCAAACAACGAGCATCCTGCCTTTGAGTTTGGTATCGGGGGTTTAGGGTTTAGGGTCTTCCCAAACAATGAACATTCTGCCTTTGAGTTTGGTATGGGGGGTTTTGTGGACCTTTGTTCTAGCTTTTCGAAGCAGCACCCTAAACCCTAAACCCAAAGCCCTGAACCCCAGACCCTGAAGCCCTAAACTCTAAGTTTCGCAGCATGGCAGCGACCATGAAGGCATGGCAGGCCTGGTTGGCGCTGCTGCTCAAAAAGACCAATACCCTGAACCCTGAAATTGAATCCTAACCGAACCCCTCAACCCCAAACTCTGAACTAAACCCTGAACCCTAAGCCCGAAACTCTAAACACTGAAGCCGAAACCCCACACCCCTACCCTACACCCCTAAACCCCTAAACCCCTGAATGGCCCCAAGCGCCAAAGGAAGGTGCTCATTTTCTGCACCTCGCTCTCGGCGATCGCCTCTCCGACGCCTTTTGGGGGGGTGTTAGATTGCAGGGCTGACACAGGGGCCGTAGGTTAGGTTCAAGGGTGTACGTAAGGGTAAAAGGAGGGACCCTTAATCAGGACCCCTAGGTATATACCCTTAATATAGCTATTTTATATTATATGGCCGTAGTCTAGGGTGGGGAGGGTTTAGGAGGATAGGGGATGCCTCCCCTCCCCCCCCTTCCGAATACCAGCCGCATCCGAGCCTGGGAAGGCTTGCAGTTTACTAGGTTGGACTTTGAGACATTTTTTATTTTCCGTATTTGGGTTTACAAGGGACCCTATATATAAAAAATGTTCAGGGTGTTTAAAGGCCAACCCAGTTTATTACGAATGAAGCAGGAAACACTAAGCCCAATAGTGCCTCTTACTGTGACATATGGACAATTCTTCTAGCGGTGCAATCTATTCAAGGGCTACTGCTGCGTGATTTAAGGAAGTTCACGCCCCAAAGTCACGGCTACTCCCAAACCAGAAACGGAAAACGAACTAAGCCTTAGATCCTTCATAAGCCGCGCTCTCTTGGAACGTCTTGCCGGCGCCGTTTCCAAAACTAAACGCTGCCGTTTCCAAAACTAAACGCTGAACCCCCAGATTCCTCAACCCTGTGAACAAAAGCCTAGCAAGTCTGATCCCGGCCGTTGTGACAAGCTCGTTAAAGAAACGAAATCATATGGCTGGAAGAAGCCCTACACCGCTTAAACCAGGACGTCTTGTCCAAGCAGATTCAGCGGCGCTTCAACACTCAGCCGTTCCTCGGCCCCTTATTCCTTGGTTGCCTTAGCTTCGTTTGTGTTTTGAAGGGAGGAGGAGAGTGGTTTTCAAAAGTGCGTTAGCTCTTGTAGGGATTGAAAGGGCTATGGTACATGGGGTGTAGGGCCAAGGTTTACGGATTGGGTTAGGGTTTACCGCAGCTGCAACTCTGGACCCGAAAATCAGGATCTGTCTACACTTGCTTTTTGTAGGGATTTTGGGGTTTGGGGGGCCCGAAACCATGTGCCTTGGCGCGGAGTTTCGGACTTGAGGGTGAAAGGTTCGAGTTTTTCTCCGCCGTTGCATTGGGGATCTTACTCCTTCAGAAGGCTCATAGAGGTTGGAATGTTTTAAGAGAAAGGTAACTGACGGTTCAGGGCCTGGGGCCTAATGCTTAATTCTAAACTCGGTATTTTCGGGTCAGGGTTCAAAGGGCAGGTTCAGGACGTCGGATGTTTTGGGTTCTTCTGCAGATGCTACGCTTGAATCCGGGCCAAAGGATCTGTGACTGATAATCTAGAGGTCACTCTAAGGGCTCCCAAGCATACGGAACGCAGGATGTGTTTGTTTCAGACGTAGATGATTGCGGGCTAGCATGTCAAGCTTCGGAAGGTACTCCGTGCCTTTCAGGAGACACGCATGTGACGCTGCATGATGCAGGAGTTAATTTAGTAGCCTGGATACTTCGCACAGTTTCCGTTTCTTGTCTCTGCGGAACGACCATGCAACTGCACCACACGCCAGAACACTCTAGACCCTCACTAACCCTGCGAGGTTACCGGGCTTGATATCCCAAACCACAAAGTCGGAGTTTGGAGTTCACAACTGGCCTGGATAGGCGGAGGCCACAGGTTTGAAGAGCAAACTCCAGGCGCATGAAGACGTTGAGGGTTCAGTTGAGGGCAGCATCTAGGGTCAGAATCTAGGGTTTTGGTGCCTAGGGGTTTCGTAAGGTAGCGGCTCAGAGTGGTGTCAGGCTCGTCTTGCAGGGCGACGTCTCGCAGAAGCAGAGGGATGCGCCTCGCCCTAGACTAAGCCCTAAAAATCGAATCCTGAAACGTGGCTTCGTTCACAGTGACAGGGCTTGGATTTGGATTACGGGGGCTTGGGGTTTAACCAACCTCACAGGTAAAGGGGTTCTTAGGGTTTAGGGATAGATAGGTAGGTTTTAGGCTAAGTGCAACTCAGGAGGTGCAACTCTCGTTCCCAGCTCCCGCTGCAAGCGTCGACACTTAACCCCCGAGTGTCTGAGACCTCATCCGACCCTAAAGTCCGAGTCCCAGCCTTCACACAGAGCTCCTAAATTACCTAGATCTATCTTGAGAGTCGTGATGCCCTGAAGCCCCCAAACCCGAAAGGCTTAGATTTCATGAAACCCCTACAAAACTCACAAAAAGATTTTGATATGCCGTATGTTGGACGGCCGAGCCCAAAGCCCCACCGCGCTGGGAACGAGCGACTGCAGCCCTAACGTCCTTCGAACCCTCTAGTCGACACGCCCTATCCCTTAAAGGGAACTCCAGAAAGTTGGAATATGGTTTCATGGTAGGACACCTTATAATTTACCATAGAAGGGTTTAGGATAATCATATTCCAACTTTCTGGCTTTTACCTTAAACCCCAAACATCCTAAAACCCTTGACTTACCTTTGGTTAGTGGGGAATGGAAGAATGGAAGTAATAGTAGTGATAATTGTACCCCATTCCTCCATTCCCTACTAACCAAAGGTAAGTTGACTCTCAAGCCCTAAATGGGTGGTTGTCAAAATTAGGGTCCCTTTTTGGGTACCTATTATGATACCACACCTAATATTTATGTTGCCCAAAAAGGGACCCTAATTTTGACAACCACCCAAATCCTAAACCCAAAAGCCCTAAACCCCAAATCCTAAACCCTAAACCCAAATCCTAAACCCAAAAGCCCTAAACCCTAAACCCAAAACCCAGATCCGAAACCCAAAAGGCCTTGGTGCAAAAGTTTCAAACCGACGATCGCTGCACAGTTCTGCTCTCGAGCGGGGTGGGCCTGGCCTGTTTGGCAGCCCTCGACAGCGGTTGAACGATTCATTCAGGTTTAGGGTTTAGGGTTTAGGGTTTAGGTTAGTATTGCTCCTTGACAACTTTTTGCGCGATTCCAGAGCACTCCTTCTTCAGGCCAACAAAGCTGTGTGGAAACTTGAATTCCGAGTAGTGACGCCGCTGCAGATTCACTCTCATCACTAACCATCCCAATTCCTCAACAGCATCTTTGTAATCAGTCTTATTATAGGTGGCAATTTGGGAAACTTTTTTAGTTTCCATTATGGTTCCTAAAGAGGTACCTATTCATAAATACTCTTCAGAGCCCCAAAACTACAACACAGCATTAGAATGGGAGCTTGCCAGGCAGGGCGTGTCTTCTTCAGGCGTTGAAAAGAACCAAGCCAGGTCGGTGGCACTGGCCTCACTTTGACTGCGGCCACGCACGTGGTGTACCTGGCCACGAAGTTTCGGATATATATATATATATATATATACGTATATGTATATGTATATGTATATGTATATGTATATCTATACATCTTTTGGGGCTAGGCAGTTTGGGTTTCTGGGTCGGGGAATGCAGGCTTGAGACCACAGAGGGCTTGGGGTGTTTCGGGGTTGTTCTCAGGGCCATAGCTAGGGTTCGTCACGGTTAGTCATGATTTCTTTCAGGGTTTAGGGCTTGGGGTTTTAGGCAATACAGAAGCTGCCTCCTCATGACTCCGAAAGCCTGAGCCTTGATCCCGACACCCTAAGAGCCTCGAGGCCCGAACGCTAAGCCGTAATTGAAATCCGTAGGCCCTGAAATTACCTATGCTCGAAGCACGCCCCTGATTCGGGTGAGGGCTTGGGGCTTTCGGGTGAAGAGCCGCCTCCTTTCCGAGGAAGCATCTGCCAACCCTGAGGCATTATGACCGATGTTACAATCCCGCCAAAGAAGCGCAGGCGCTTGGTGGGTGGGCGGGTTGGCAGTTGTGTCTAGAGTTTCAGGTTCAGGGACGTGGATGTTCAAGGAGGGTGTAGTTGCGTTGCAGGTTGAATTGCTTCCGAACCTTGGATGCTCAGGTTCCCAGTGCTTGCATCAGCTTCTGTGTATTCGGGCCATCGTGCTTGGATCGTGCAGCGTGACGAACTCCCCATGCAAGTCGATAGCCAGCTCCTTCTGCCGCCAGTGCACCGACCGTGCACATCGCATCGGTCAGCACCGGACCGTGACCGTGCACACCTTGACCAGCCAGGCGGTTTAGGGTTTCGGGTGAAGGGTCTAGTGCTCAGGACTGGATGTGAAGTCATTGTTATATACATACACATATATTTAATAACCGATTATGTATGATTGGACACATGTGAATGTTATAGGTCTTCAGAGTTCCTGTAAAAGGGACTTGTGCGTGTTCCTGTAAGGTTCCAGAAGGGATTTGTAAGCGTTTTAGGATTTCTAGACGACTCTAGAGTTTGTAACACCATTCCTGAGGCCTCTATGTTAAGCGCCCATTAAAATATGCACCGTTTAAGGTTCTTGACTCGCGGCTGTTGGAGTGCAGAGTTCAGGTTTTCAGTGCTTTGAGGTTTTAGTCTTCCTTTCAAGGGTCCCTGCACTTAGTACTGGTTCTTCTTGTAGGGAACTACATGGGTACCATGGCGGGAGAGTCGGGGTTTACGGAGTAGCGGCTGGGGGTTCCGAGTTTTCGAGATAGAGCTTTCGAGGTGGGAAGCACAGTTTCGGGATTGTGGAGCTGCTTCATGTAATTTTGCGGGCTCCTTGGGCAAAAGCGCACATGCTGCCTCTAGCGCAGCTTAAGAATGCCAATGCCCTGGAGCCTGAGCGCCGAATCCACAAGTCTGAACACCTAGCAGGTTCTTCATTATGACAAGTTGTGAAAGTGTGAGAAGTTAGCCGGAAACGCTATTCAAAATACAAAGGCCCGCATGTTAGACGGTTAGTTTTCCGAAACATGCCTAGCTAAGCCAGCTTGCGCCGAACCTGAAAAGACTGTCCGACCCGAGCCATAGTTTTCGAGTCAACCCTAAACGCCTGGATCCTAAACCTTGCATACAAGATCTTCTGATCTGGTGCGTCTTGGCATGTAGAGTTTCGGGGCATTTGGCAGGGTTGTGGACTCTGTGCTGGCCAAGGGTCCAGGAAAACGCAATATCAACTTGCAGTAGAACCCACAAGGTTGGAACATCATTATCCCCATGCCCTTTAAGTTAAAGTGTAAGGGGATCCCAGCACTGATCCAACTAAAGCCATGTTCCAACTTTCTGGGGTTCACCATAGACCTTAAGCCTTCACCGTTGTGTCTGGGGTCACCCGGCCAGGAATGCCAATAAGCGGAGACCTAAGCCTCAAACCCCAAACTCCTAACCCCTGGACTCCAAGCCGTAAAGCCCTAAGCACAAGACTCAGAAGGTTTTCGGGAATCCTAGAGGCCACTGCACCGCTTTAACAATGCGACAGAAGGATTCTTATGCCTATGTTGTCTTTTGCGGTCTCTATGGGGGTTCAACAATATTTCGCGAAAAAGATTTGAATTGAAGCTCGGAAAATGGGACCTAGACCTTAAAAACCTCAACCATAGGAGCCGGACTTTACCCAACAGCGCAGGACAGCTTTGAGGCACGATTGGACGAGATCATGCAGCATCCCGGCCATGCAGATCAGAAAAAAACCGAGTTCGGTTTTAATTTAGGTTTGAAGGCTTAAGGACGTTTTTGCCTAGGGCAAGGATTACCGTTTTAATCCAGCGGCTCGAGCAAGCAGCCTACAAGAAACCCAAATTCCCAAAGTAGTCGCGTTACCACGTACATGGGGCCGGTGAGATGGGGATGGCAGACAGCCGGAGTGCTGGATGCTCTCCTGCAAGGCCGGCCGGAGGAATGCAAGGTCAGACTTTGCCAGATGCTGTGCGCTTTGGATCAAAGCTCTTTGGACGGAGGGAATTGGCTGCTAGCCCAGGAAATGCACCTCGAAGCAGCCCCGCCTCTGGCCAGTTTTGCCAAACATCGGGCACCGGAGCCGGGAGAAGAGCATCGAACGAAGATCGTGGACGTGCGATGGGTCTCAGTGCTCATGCATCGTTTGAAGGAGCGCGAGACCTACCTGGAGGCTCGGAGAAAGTTGGCGGCACCACGAGGCCCTCCGGGGTCACACAGGGAGGGCGAGAAAGGCGACAAGCCGCAGAAGCCCTCGAAAGGAGGCGGGAAACAGAGGTCCGAAACAAAGCCGCATTGGAACTTATGCAACCCTAACCTCAATCCTCAACCCATGCAAAACCGTAGAAGGCACCATGAAGCCATACACCACCCAAAAGAAACATCCTAGGAATCCCGGAAGTGCCGGCAGCGATTCCGGATCCACATCCCTCAACTCGAATCCGTCCTCCCAAGAATCTAAGCCGGACCTGAAGGCTCAACCCTGGGTTCTAGGGCTTGCGGGTTGTAACAGGCTTCCTTTAAGAGTCCTTGAAGGGTTCTAGCAGGGCTCTGCTGTTTAGGGTTTGTAGTCTTAAAACCTGAAGTCTCGTCCCAACGTCATAAACCCTGAACTGGAGCAAGCTTCACGAATAACGTGCGCCTTTCTCCAAGACTATGCCATCATATACTCCAACGTTCAGAGCTTGTCGTAAACCGAAAACGGCTTTCGGCTGCAGGGTGTCATGCTTAAGGGTTTAGAGGGTTTAGGGTTTAAGGTTTAGGGTTTAGGGGTTTAGGGTTTGGGGTTCAGGGTTTCGGGTTTAGAGGGTTAGAAGAGCTTGAGGGTTTAGGGTTTAGGTTTCTGGGGTCTATGGGGTTTAGTCCTGAGAACTTCTCGGAGCCCTGCATCTTGAAGCCTGGGACCTCCGGTTTGGTCTGCAAATTACAATGCAGGGCTTCCGGCCGGAAATTTGGTCCATGAAGCCTATACCAAACGACCTGCAGCTTGAGTTGTGGATCTGAAGTTAAACCCTAAACCAGAAGGTTCTAGACCTACATGCCCGACATGCCCGTTGCCTCCCAATCTAGGCCCAAACCCTCCACCCTTCAAGCGCTTCGTAGCCCCAACTGGGTAACTCTGACCCCTCCGAAACCCTAAATCCTAGGTAATCGGGTCCTCAGACTCCCATAAGGAAGATTATACTAATTTAGTAACTCCCAAGCACTACAATCCCAAAAGCCCCTTCGCCCCAAAGTCCCAGATCACTGGACCCAAAATCCTCTAGCCCTAACCCGGGCCTTAAAAGAACTCGTATAGAATCCGAAAGCTGAAAACCCTTTATAGAGCCCTAAATCCCCTCAAGCTTTATGAGCCCGAAAGCCCATACGCTCTTCTAGAACGCCGTAGCCCTACAGTAGAAGCCTAAAAGTTGGAAACCCAATAGCCTCATTCCTTAAGACTCATATATAGGGAATCCCCGCACTATTTGGCCTTAATCCGGTTTCCAACTTTATGGGGTTCACTGTAAACCCTGATAGAACCTTAAGCAGCTAAAGCCTTCTAGAACCCTACATTCCTTATAGAGCCTTTCTGGGTGCTGGAGTACCATACCTGAATGCTTTTTTTGTGACCTGTTCCTCAAAGGAACCACTATGAACTAAAAATCTAGGTTCTTTCTTCCTGGATACTTCAAACTCCAGCTTCGGAAGGAACCCTAAAACCGCTAACGCCTTGTAAAACCTTAACCTGTAGAGCCTTCGGAAGAAGCCCTGAAGCCGTCAAGCCTAGGCGAAAGCGGCACCTCTCTGACATCACCTCGAGTTCCAGCGGAGGGCTCAGCTACTGCGTCTTGGGGCGTAGCTGCAGAAGCAAGGGGTTTAGGGTTGAGGGCCGTTCAAGACGGAATCCCTTGTACCTTGAGCCCTCGTCCCCTTTTCGTTGGCCAGCCATTTTATGGGTAGAGTTAGGATCCTATAAATTCAACGCATGAGAACCCCCAAACAAAGACTGCACCGGAGAGTTTAGGTAGACCCGAAATCTCCAAACCAAACAGAAACATAATTGGGCAGTCAATGTGGTCCAGGGTTGAGGATTCTTTTTTTTTATTGATAATATAGATACATTAGGACCTTAATGGTAGCCCTACTGTTGATGATAAAAATCCTGCATTACCTTAAGGGCCCTAGACTATGGGAATTATGGTATATTCCTTATTATGGGTAATGCAGGATTTATATCATCAGCCCTTATAGACTGTTTTAGCTGTATGGGGGAGGAGCCGAAGGGTGAGGGGTTCTTTTTCCCGGTCTGGGTCGGAGCTGCAGGAACAGGAGGATGCTGCAGAGCCCACTATACTATAGCTATTCGAATAAAGAACCAGCAAAATAGAATAGTAGAGGTAATTCTTAAGGCCCCTGTATAAAGCCCGTAACTCTACGGGAAGCGTCAGATGGGGGTTGATGGGCGTGGTAGGTACCAGCTAGAGCGGATTTCTACCTGTACCGCCTCAATCAAGGCTCTCATAACCCTACTTACATCTACCCATGACCTTACATCGTAAATCTGAACCTCAGGGCCCCACCGATGCCTTATAGAACCCTTGAAGGAACCCTTTGCTCGCCTTTGAAGAAGCCCGAAATCCGAGGCGAGAACTGGATCGCAGACTACGACGACGACGAAGTACGGGAGCTCTTCCGCCTCGGCTCGTCTCGTGAGTAGGGGCGCGGCCGACAGCAGAAAGTCCAATCTGCATAGAAACGAACGACCTGACGAGCAACGTCGTACTACGTCCATACATGTGTGTGTGTGTATACACACACACATATATTTATATAGATATTCTTGTACGAATTATATATGCACATACATGCACGCACACATCAATGGTGTTGTGTATGCGTGTGTGTGTGCACACACACACATGTCAATATGTATACGTAATGACATGTATTTATGCATATATATATATATATACACATACACATATGTGTGCAGCATGCATGTATGTATGTGTATATTCATCTGTATCTGCATAACTTGATATGGGTGCAGGTTGGGGTACAGGTATGGGTCTGGGAATGGCGATGGGTATGGCCTTGGTATAGGCATAGGTGTAGGTTTGTGTATATGTATGTGTATATGCAGGTTTGTATGTGTTCACGCATATATATATATATATATGTATATATATATAAATATTATATAAACATACACACACACACACATATACATGTACACACAGATACACAGAGAGTGTCTCTGTGTGTGTGTGTGTGTGCATGTATGTATGTATGTATGTATGTATGTATGTATGTGTGCATGTATGTATTTATGTTTGTCTGTCTGGATGTATGTATGCATGTATGTATGTATGCATATATGTATGTCTGTGTGTGTATGTATGTATGTATGTATGTATGTATGTGTACATACACATATATAGGTTTGAGGGTTCAGGTTGCGATTTTTGCAACACAGACACGAGCTAGGGGTTTCAAGACAGGGATTCAGGGTGCAGGGCAGACAAGCCTTGTGACTTTCGGCAGATGCGGCCGAACCCGACGAACCGTCGCAAGGATCCCCACCGAAGCCCGAACAGAGTCTCCTGAAGCTTCCATACGGAATTCCAAAACCTGAGCTCCGAATCGTGAGCCGCTGTGTACTCAAGAAAGAAGGAAGCTATATATATATATATATATATATATATATATATATATATATATATATAGCAGAGTTGAAGTGATTTGTCGGTCCCGACACCCTCTTCTAGACTGAATCTCCCCAGCCCGATCCTTGAACCCCAAACCTCAGATTCACAGACTCGGAAGGTTTAACTTCCCAAACATGAAGCCAGGGGTTAGAGAGTTAGGGCTTTGGGTTTAGAAGGTGTATGGATTCAGGGTCTAGGGTTTCAAGGCCGACATAAGCCGCAAGCCTATGGCGTGTCAGCCAAGCCAGGCAAGTCCCAAATCCTTACAGCCCTACTTTCCATGTCCAAGTTCGATTCCATGGGGTTCCTTCTGACCCCGTGGCAAGCCCCTGCTGTGTGCGGAGGCATGTAGCAGCAAACAATACTGATCGGAACACGTTGAACACTTTAGGGTTCAAGGTGTGGGCTTCAGGCTCGAGGGTTTGGGTCGTGATTATCCATCGACTACGATTGACGACACGTTTGCACAGCAGTAGTTAGACAGTCTTGCGATCGAGCAACACGAGAGGAAAAGTACCAATAGTCATTGTGGTGTCTGCAACCGAACAGGGTATTTATGAACGTCAGAGTAGCAACAGTTGTAATAGTGGTTTACTAGGAAGAAGCTTTTGAAGAGTTCTAGGTTCGAGACGTGGAAGATTCGTTGCAAAGGTAGGCTAGTTCTGTTACCCCATCGTGGCAACGGTATAGTAAAACTTTGTCCCTTCTTTCTTCTTCGCCGTCTTGTACCACTCGTGATTGCAAGAGCAGCCTTCCCAGCAAGGGAAGATTTCGCAATAATCGTAGTAGCCGCCGGAAAAGCCAAATTGAACAAAATGAAGCCTTGGCAGCAGCAACAGCAGGCCGAGAAGCATCAGGTACAGCGAGACTCACGGCACTAAGTCTTTATGGTATAGTGGTTGAGTATCAGGTGCAGATGCTGTGATGCAAAACAGTACAGTACACACAACGCAAATAACAGTTTCTGGAGACAGTCATCCCACTGGTGGTGGCGGTTAGCATAAGTCATCATAGGCGCATCCATATCTTGTGTGTGACTATTTCATGAAAGAGCAACAGCAACGGCAATAGCAGCTCTCGTTGTCTTAAGTCTTTCACTCGCGATGCAAATACGGGCTCAGCAGCCGACTGCAGCTAGGGCCCTGCCAGATCTGCGTGTAGATCTGCGCTGAATCATACCCGCGCCTACTCAGCGCCCCAAGGCAGGAGAGAAGAGAGGCCCAACTGTGGCTTTGTAGGTTTCCCTGCTGCAGGGATCTGCCTTTTTCGACCCTAAAACACTGAAGCCTTAAACCCATTGCACTTCAAAAGCCTAAACCCAACCCCAAACCTTAAACCCTAGAGACCTTTTCCGGCGAAGGGCCGGGCTGGAAGGCTTTCGGGCCCTTTAGTTAGGAGCAAAGAACAGAAAGGATTGTAGCCAGGGTTTAGGGCCTAGGGCTTGTGGTTTCAAAAGTTTGGGGATCAGGGGCCCGGCTCTGGGGATCCCTATACGGGTTTAGGGTTTAGGGTTCAGGGCAGTTCTAGTATGAATAAGTTTACAACCGAAATCCCGTTCTAATTATCAAGGCCCCTATATGAAACGTGTGTACGCTTTCGCTTTCAGAATCCGAGGCTTTAGGCCCTAGAAACCATAATCTGAAGTTTACTTGGACAGCTAGATACGCGTGACCACAAGAAAAAGGCAATATCCTTGTTTCCAAAACCGGCTGCGTTTTGCAGCTTCCAGAGAGCCCGGGTTACCCTGCAACTACGGAGAATTTCGTCACTTCTGATACATGAGGATTGTTCGTTTGACCATGCTATGTGGTTTGAAAGAACCCTTAAGTCATATGCCATGACGTCATGGGTATTCCTGACATTAAGGACGCTAGACTACACCCCAAGCCCCCAAATCCAACACCCTATACCCGAAATCCTAAACCCTCAACCCGTAAGCCCCCCTTTACACAAGCTGGGTACTTCTTAAGGATTTCAGTTTAAGATACCCACAATAGGGATCTGCAGAAAATAATTTGGTTTCTTCATTATGATAACTTAAATCAAACGCCTTAGCAAGAACCCAACAAAGGGCAACTGGGGCTCTCTGGCTTCCGGCGTCGAAGCGCGTTGTGTGATTTTCCTTGGGGGTTGGGACACCTCAAAGCTCCGGCAACCACCGGGTCGTGCAAAGGGTACCAAAGTCAGGGTTTCTATGCAGGTCTTATATGTCATTCAACCAAATGGTTCGAAAAGGGCTGCGGAAGGCTTCGGGCATATTCTAGTATAAAGACGATTTAACTGTATGGGTGCTGTCAAGGGGAGGTTATTCTTATTAGTTCTTCCCAAACCTGTATGACACCCTGCAAAATCTCAACAAACCTATAAACTCCTTTGCGGTTATATCATGCTTCACACTCCTAATTCCTAAGCCCTCACCCCTAAACCCTAATTCCTAAACCCCAAACCCTCCGTCCTGCACCCCGAGCCCGGCCTCCTAAACCCTAACTCCCATAAAGTTCAGCAAACCACTGGGCTTAAACACTGTGGTTCATAGCTACTCTGGGGGCCTAAGTACTTACCCGTACCATTTTGGGGGGTTCCTTCTTATAACTACCGTCTAATGGGCCCCTATACTAATAATTATTAAGGCCCCTACACTATATCGTTATCACAGCGCTATTTAGTAAGCCCGGATATAGAGCCCTTTAAAGGAACCCTGGGGTGGCCTCCCGAGCCACGTTTTCGAACACACTAGGATCCTAGACCCTCAGCAGGGTTTAGTTTGTGTTCAGTTTTCAGGGTTTAAGGTTTAGGGTTTAAGGTTTAGGGTTTAGGGTTGCAGGTTTCGGGTTTAGGGTTTAGGGCTTAGGGTTCAGGGCTTAAGGTCTAGGGTTCATGGTTTAGGGCGAGCTGGGATCCGGCTTCCTGCTGAAAGAGCTTTTTGAGCACTTACATAAGGACTTTTTTCGAACCTCATAGCTTAGAAGCTGCCCCCACCCTGTAATAGTGACTATAAGGATTATATTAGGGCCCTATTATATTCCTATGGTGGGGGCCCCTTCTAACCCATAGCAATGACAGCAAAACACGGCAAACTCGGGTACCCGGTGGGGCTGCGCATGCTGGAGCGGGTGTCCCCGATGATCTGAGAGCCCTCGCGCGTGAACACGCTGCCAACGGGCAGCGTAGGGTTCAGGGTTTAGAGTTTAGGGTTAAGGGCAGCGTGATGCGAGATCAGCTCGAGTCTCAGGGGAGCCGCAGATGGATTGAAAAAGATTTTGCCAGGCTCATCATAGGGTCGTATTTTTGGGGTTCTATAGGGTATGAGCAGGGCTTGAGAGAAGGATTCCAGGCCTAGGGGGAATACTCACAAAGCGCTGAAAAAAACGTGAGCTTTCAACCAAAACGGAAGTCCTACAATGTAACCCACGAGGAGTCGGGTCGGAGACATGAGAAATAGAATCCTCTTATAGTCCCTGCATTATTAGTATTAAATAAGTCCCCTACACTTGATCCTGAGCCCCGCAATCTCAACCCTGCAATCCCACAACCGCTCTAAACCTTGAACCCTACAAGCCTCAAGCCCTATGCCTCCGCTCCTTGATGCATTGGTTGATCGAGGAATCAAGAGGCACTGTTTCCAGGGTTGTACACGGCTGTCTGAGTCTTTGCAGGAGTTTTCTAGAGGGTCTACAGTAGAAGCCATCATTATCGTAACCCCTTTAAGGTAAATTATAGGGGATCCTACCATCAATCCATATTCCAACTTTCTGGAGTTCCCTTTACAGGATTTACAAAGGGGCCTATGTTGATTTTGCGTGGTCTAGGGGGTTTGGAACTTAGGATGCCTTTTGCGGGTTCATGCTCGGGGCCTAACCCTTAACCCTGCACTAGAAACCTTCAACTCTGAACCCCAAATTCTGAACTCTAAATGGTGTGATAGAGTGTGATACATGCCCAGACCCTGTTCGGATTCTAACTTTCGAAGGCTCCTATTTTATGTCAGTCGAATGGTGTGGGACAGGAAAACGTCTGCGAGCGAGGCCAATGTTCCAGCACAGCGGACCTTGAACGTTTAATGTAGGGCCAGGGGCCTATCATTTTCCCCAAGGCCTTTGTTCCAAGATATTTAGAAGTTCGTAATGGTATCTCTGTGTAGTAAACCATAGCATGTGCCACAAACCGAAGTCTAATGATTGAGGTCCCTGTACCCTCAACTCCTTAGCCCCGAACCCCGAAACACCGAAACCCCTAAACCCTAAAGCCCTACACTCAAAACCCGTAAAGCTGTAAACCCTGAACCCGAAACCCGAAACCCTTAAACCCCAGAACCCCTAAAGCCCTAAACCCCTGTAGCACCTTGGTAGAACCCTTGAAAGGAACCCACAGAGTACCCCTTACAGTTAAAGTGCCAAAACCTTTACAGCAGTTTAGGCCCCTGGTTGAGCCATGGATCAACTCCCCACAGTGATCGAGATCCTGGGGGCCCGGAGACCCTGTTTCGCCCTCCTGTGGGGTGTCGGGTCTGTAAGGGTTTAGGGTTTGTGGGGTTTAGGATTTTGGGGTTTCAGGGTTTAGGGTTCAGCGTTTAGGGTTTAGGGTTCAGAGTTTAGGGTTCAGGGTTCCGGGTTCAGGGTTTGAGGTTTAGGGTCGAGGGTGTAGGTCTCCCAGCAGTACTTCTTTGCCCTTGTCAGTTTAGGGTTCTGTTATTTACGCTAAATTCCAGGAACAAGGATAGCCTTATTATCAAGGGAAGCGCCGGGGAACCTAGAAAAAAGGTTCTTGCAAAAGGAGTCTATACGAAGGGTTGTGGAAGAAGGAAGGCGTTTGGGGCTTTGGGGTCCAGGCGGGTTTAGGGCTTTGGGGCGTGGAGCTGCGGGTTCGAGGGCTTCGGGTAGGGTTTAGGGCTGCGGGTTCGATGATTTGAGGGAGTCTGGTTGGGGGTTGGCAGTTTCAGAAGCACGTCATACTTTCTGGGCACCCTTATATTCAAACAGAGTAGCAGGAAAAAGGATACCCCTACTCTAAAGGGGCTACGCAGCATCCTACAGACTCTTTTGGGTGAGCTGCATGAGGATGCCGGCTCGTATCGGGAAGTCGGAGCCCGGGACCCTCAACGGTTTAGGGTTTAGGGTTTAGGGGTTTAGGGTTTAGAGTTTAGGGGTTTAGGGGTTAGGGTTTAGGAACCCTAAACCCTTCGGAGCCCGGAACCCTCAACCTTTCTGCTACTGGAGCCTGTGGACCCCTGGTGCTCAAGCTCTAAGGCTTTCCTGCTGCAGTGGCCGCAGCTTCAAACCCTGTGAGTTATGAAAAAGGGTTCTGTTTCGATGATTTCAGCTTCTCGTTAGGTTACGACGAATTCGAAGCCCCGAAGCCACGAGGAAAGCTTCCCTGACCCTAAACCCTAGACCCGAAGCCCTGAACTTCCGCCTAACGGCAGAAGACACCCGAAACTCCCTAGACCCTCCATCTACCCTCTATTGGACCCTAAGTACCCATTATTTGGGATCATATACCCTTATTTGAGGGTACAAGGAGGGTCCTGGTCCCGGTGTTTCCGAGGCTTCCTCGCCGGCTCTCTTGCGATTTGATGTTGGAGCTGCGAGGCTTACGGAGGGTTTCTGATTTGGGAGTTTCCGAAACTTAGGGGTACCGTATTTTGGGGCCATTATAATAAGGATCCTACTATTTAGGGTACTATATCAGGGTTCCTATTTTCGGAAACTCCCATTTACTTGTAGGTCTCGCTCAAGGGTTGCTATTTAGGGGTTCCTTTGAAGGATCTACATGTAAGGGTTCTGTAGGGGTACTACAGAGGCTCGGCGTGTTTGGTGTCTGGGGTTTCGGAGTTGTTAGGGTTCCCTAAACCCTAAACCCTAAACCCTAAACCCTAAACCCTAAACCCTAAACCCTAAACCCTAAACCCTAAACCCTAAACCGTTTCGAGGTGTTGGGGTTCAGGTTTTCGGTTTCCGGGGCTTGGGGTTTAAGGTGCCGGAGCTTGGGTTTCGGGTTTACCTATAGTCTCCATTGTAGTTCCTTTTTTGGGGTTACCTTTTAGGATCCTTAATACAAATTTGGTTAAACCCAAAACAAGGAACTACAATGGAGACGATAGGTAGGGTTGAGGGCTAGTTTAGGGCTTAGGGTTTGACTGCTCAGTCGCTTTGGTTTGGGTCTGGGTGTTTGCAGGCCTCACCCCTGCACCCCAGGTCATTGCATAGTGCATAGTCTAACCATTGATATTGGGGGAGCTAAGGAGCCAAGGATGATGATAATCCCTATTAAATAAGGAGCTAAAGAGCCAAGGGAAGCCCCAAAACCACTGGTTGGTAGTTCACGACCATGCCTGGATTGGTTTGGCGTTGACCACCTCCTATCGACAGTCACAACTTTCAGGATCCGATTTGAAACAATGATGTTTGCAGCCATGGATCCGTCCACTGATAAAGCCATCTCTTGGGAGATTCTTAAGGAGCGGCTACGGCTTCAAGTCCTGCGCGGCCAACGTGTGGTGAAGCCGCGCATCCCGGACAACCTGCAGCAGGCTGAGTCTACACCGTCCTACAGAGAGATCAGCTTCCTGTAGTTCGTGCCCAGTCCGGACCAGCTGATCATCGAAGAGAAGATCAGAATCGCCCTTCAAGCTCATGGTGGCCCCAGCGGCTCAGAAGCGAGCTCCATGCGAAGCTCCATCCATGTTGGGCGCATGTTTGACGTGAGCACTCTCAACTCTTGACCCCGGGCCCAAAACTACAAACCCAAACCTCGCCCTCAACCCTCGACCCCAAACTACAGTCGACAAGGGTGGAACAGCTTTTCAACATTGACCCACCATAAACCCAGACACAACTCTAAACCCTAAGCCGTACACCCCAAACCATAACCCCTAAACCCTAAACTCGCAGCAGCTGTGGGTCCGTGGCCCAATTAAAGGTGATGTCGCTGTCGACTCAGGGCCCAAAACTCTCAATCCAACGCTAAACCCCTAGATTTAGGGAGGGTTTAGGCCCGTTCAACCAGAAAGCCCTAAACCCTGTAGGTTCTCAGTTTTATTGGTACTTAAATCCAGTAAGGAATCAAAAAAACCATGAACTAGGGAAGGATTGGTTTGTTTTGCCAACCGTGGCAGCAAAAGTATGAGCTGCCGCTTCGAATTCGCACGCACGTGCCGCTGCGAAGGGTAGGCCTTAAGGTCAGGGTTGGGGTTCCTGGTTTAGTGAGTTGGGGTTTAGGGTTTCGGCTTTAGGGGGACAAAGAGCGGTGACAACGAGAGTGATGGGATGGAGGCATGACACTGACATCAGCAGATGCCAGTGCTTCAGTTTCCGTTAGACTCGAACTCTGCCATACCATAATATAATATACAAGAACATCATATATTCTAGTACAATAGGGTATCATATGACATAGAAGCGTAGTTAGATTGTAATATAGTGCATTAATACCCTGGCCCAGTTCATCCAAAGCCCGGTATTCCCCATACCCTAAGCTCCGCTTCCTTGTGCCCGTTAGGGCTTACGCTAGGACCTTCGTCACTATACTTCCCTTTACTGCCCTTGCTACTCCTCCTCCTTTTAGGGTTTCGGGTTTCGGGCTTAGCTTTAGGTTTCCCCCCACCCCCAAACCCTACTCTCATCATTAAGGCCCCTATGTTAGAGTACCTTTTTGTATCCCTTACAGTAACCCTTTAAGAACCCCTTTAAAGGAACCCTGTTTGAATTCTTGAGGCCCCTACATTCCTACGAAGCGTGGTCCAGGCCACGCTACATCGGCAGTGCTTCTGAGCTGGAGCAGAAGGCGACTGCGAGGGACGTCCGGAGGGGAAGTTACCATAAGAGGGGGTTATAGGGTTTAGGGTTCAGGATTATATAGGCTTGAGGGTCCAGGGTTGAGGGCTCATTTAGGGTTCAGGGTTTAAGGTTCAGGGTTTAGGGTTTAGAGGGTAGGGTTTAGGGTTTAGTAGGGGTTGTCGCAGTAGTTTACACTCATAGGCTTTCAGTATCGTGGCATGCTAAGTTGAGGAACAAGAAATGCATTGGAAACGCTGAAACCCCGTAAATGCCTTGCGTAAGGGTTACGGGCTGCAACTCTCTTGGCTGGCACCCATTGCCAGTCTTTCCCTTCCCATGCAGGGTTGCAAGTTTCAGAGCCCAACACTTCAGGAAGTTTGAAGCCTAAACCCCAAACCGTGAAATCAACACCCAAAGCATCAAAGAGCATAAAGTCCAAACCCTAAACCCCGAACCGAAAACTGATAAGACTAAACCTTGAACCGAAAATTCAATACCCTAGCCCCTCGAGACTTCAACCCCAGCGCCAGTTCCGGGAAGGTCTCTGGGTTCATTTGGGTAGTTGTCAAAATTACGGTCCCTTTTTGGGTCCCTATTATATTACGGCACCTATTATTTAGGGTACCCAAGAAGGGACCATAATTTTGACAACTACCCATTTGACTCGAAATCCGAATGACGGGCAGTCAGGGTTTGGAATTTAGGAGTCGATGGTTTAGGGTCTATGAGGCTTGTTTTTCTGTAGAAGCCGAGTTTTGTATAGGGAACCACAGCACTCTTTGGCCTTAGTTCGGTTTCCAACTTTATGGGGTGCACTGTAAGGTTTTCAGGAGGCTGGGTTAGACAGCATATGGCAGGACTTCAGCCTTTGCCACCCGTGTTGGGGACAAATTCGGCAAAGCTCGTCATCAGGACCCTACCCTTTTAGGGTTTGTAGCTCCTCGAGGAACTGTATGCCTGGCAACATCCATATGGCAGAATGGCCTCTACCGTAGTTCCTGTCTGCAGCTGGCGCAATGCTATTGATAGCGATGACGAGCGTGGCCATAAAGGTGGTGATCAAAATCTGCGGGCACCGCTCAGCACTCATGCAGCACCGCACTTTCAAGCGCCCGGTTACGACACACAAATCCTAAAATGCAAAACCCTTAGACGCTAGACGCCGTCAGGAGGATGGTTCCTGTGGGGGCACCCAGCTATGCCTGCTTTGGATCTTCTGGTCGGGAGTTGTGGGATGCAGCGGCTGCATGTGAAGCGGAGTAGTGTGCAGGGTTTCGAGGTTTCGACTGTAGAGTGGAGAAACTTATGTAGGATTCATGCTACATAGGGGTGTTTAGAAATTGCACTTGGGAATTTTGAACTTTGTTGTTGGCTGCCTTCACCGTTTGTTGTTGGGGTCTCTTCCAGCTGCGACACGGTGTTGAAGCGTTTTGCAGGGCCCTGCTGGTGTAGGCTGAAGGCATTGGCCTGGTTTATCAGAGGTCACCAGCAGATCAGAGAGCAAGGTTGCGGTGAGGGTTTGTGGGGTGTAGGATTTCGCGACTGGTTGACGCCGGGGCGCGGTCTGGTCTCCAGGTTGGTATCCATGTCGCAGCGAATGGCATTTACACATTGGGAAATCGAATTACGGCTTGTGGTGGGTCTTTACGCAGCCAAACGACAAGCTGTGTGACAGCCATAAACTATAATTAAATCCTTAGCACTCGGAGGGCCTAAAATCGAAGTCTTAACTCCTAAACCCTCTCTAAACGCTAAACCCTAAACTCCTAAACCCCGCGGCCCAATAGGTCTTAAACCCTACGTAAAATCGTAGAAAGCTCCGCTTCAGGGATCCTGACTTTGCCCGGGGACGCCTTCGTGGGTCGCGAAGCGACGCCCGAGGCCAGGAAGCCTGTTTAGGGTTTAGGGTGGAGAGTAGAGTTTTGGGAGTTTTTGAGTTGATTTTTCTCGCACAAGAGTTTGCAATCAATGTGTCAATGTTCGTTTCGAGTATGTCCTATGGGGTTCCACAAGGGAGGATTCACTGTAGGGTTCAGGGTCTCAGTGTTTAGGGCTTCAGGGTTTAGCCCTTTAGGTTCTAGGGTGTAGGGATTTAGGGTTCGGAATTAGCAGTGGGTTCAGTGTAGGCCAATGCAGGCCTAAAGAAGCAGTGTACTAACCCTGGGCGATTCTATATAATTACGGTATCAGACCATCAAAAGCGTTTTCTTCCTATCGGCCTTTATGCTAAGCAGTGCGACGTTGGGACTTGCATGCGTTCAGCACAGAAATGTTTCCATTGGATTGGGTTATAGAACGGTTCAGAAGCAGCGAGTCTCATGTATCCCCGAGCCCCAGTTCCAAAACACGGAGCCCCCCTAAACCCTAAACCCTAAACCCTAAACCCCTAAACCCCGAAACCCCTGAACCCCTAAACCCTAAACCCTAAACCCCTAAACCCCTAAACCCCCAAACCCAAATCATTTCGTCGCAGACGAGCGCGGCGAGTAGTGCCTCTTTCGTCCTCTCCTCGGGGGCCTCAAAAGGTAGGATGAAGGTAGGTGGGATATTCCCAAATAAGAGTCCTTATATACGGGATCCTTAATCCCACCTACCTTCATCTCACCTTGTGAGGCCTCCGATCTCCCTGGCAGAAGCACTAAATCGCCCTAGACCCTATGCCCATAAATCCGGAGGCCTCTGCCTTAAAGCAGAGTTTGAAGTTTCGGGTGCAGGGGTTTAGGATTTTTGTGTGAGAAGCTGATCCCTGATGATCACGATTTCTGAACCTAAGCCCAATGCCAAGCTCCTAGCAACTTCAGGCCGGAAGCGTCAAAGGGCTTACAGGGTGGGATGAAAGTAGGTGGGGTCATCCCAATTAGTGTCCTGATGTAAGCGGGATCAATTCTGCTATAATGTGCTATGGTGTACTATAATATAGGGACGGGCGGGCTGGGAATGTCGCCTTGGGCGCCGGCCCCGCCGGCAGGCATGCAGACCCTCTCCTTCCAGGTGGAGTTTTCCGACATCAACAAAGCTCACAGGTGTGCTTGCGGGAGCAGCATGGCCGTTCCGCACTGAACTCGAGCAACACGGGGTGTACGGAGCATAGAGGAGGATGGCTCTTATGTGCGCTTGGTGCCAGAGATTGACCTGTCTACCGAAACTGGTAAAGATTGGGTCTTGACAACCCTCATGAAAAAAGATGCTCTGCGAAGCCGTCTTACATCTCCGGGTGGCGACACCGCCTGCACCAGACACCGATGCAGCGAACTTGTTGCAGAGCCTGATCGCCTTGCCGTACACGCACAGTGCTGCAACATATTACTTTTTTTATAGAGGCCTAAACAATTACCTACACTATTTTGGGGTTCCTTATCATAATTATAGTATAATGGGCCCCTAAACCCTATTCTAATTATTAAGGCCCCTGTAGTACCTACCTTCATCTCCTTCTGAGGCCTCCAAAATCGCCAGAAGCTCGGGGCCAAGCCCGGACCTCCCAAAACGCCCTTCGGAGTTATGTTTAGGTAGAATGATTAGGGAGACCCCGTAAAGGGTACCCCTTCTGAACCCTACTTCTGACTCTCTTAAAAGGGGCCTTATTGAGAGGGTCTATATCCCCAAGAATCCCCCCTAATCCTAACTCCCAAGGGTGTTGCAGGAGCATGCTCTACGTTAGCGTCTCGTTTTAGGTTCCCTTCGTAAAGCTGAATACCTGGAAAAGAGGGTAGTCTCATTATTCGGGGGACATTGGGCACTGGGGAACCTAGTTTGTGGCTTTAGACGACGTTCACGAGGTTTTAGAAGGAGTTAAGCTAAGGACTTCTGTCAGGGTTTGTGATATATGTGTTTATCATTTCAGTTCCCTAAATCTAGAACCCTCACGTACACCCTTACTTACCACGCCGTAAACCGCCAAACCGCACGCCCCTTGGATCCGAGGTCCTCAACCCAAATCGGGCACGGTAAGCCCCAACTTCCCAAGCCCGAAAACCTCGCAACTAAAAAACCGTAAACCGCCCTTAAATCCCCAGACAGTGTGCATAAACCAGATGCCAGGCGTGCCAATGGTTCCGAACCACAACTGAAGAGGAGGCGACGAACGCCCGAGACGGTTTAGGGCTGAGGGCTCTACACACAAGGGGTCTGTCAGGCTCATAGAGTGCAGTTTCCAACTTGTGTTGTCTTCATGGTGCTTTGACCTTCCCTTCTTTTCCTTCCCCTTCTTTCCCCGTTGGGTCCTGAATCCACTCTTCTGGCCGAGCCACCGGTGGCTGGCCCAGACCCCCTTCTTGGCCCGAACACCGCGGCCAGTCGCTTTTTGTGGTTTCTTCCTGGATTCAGATGGGCATCTGGACATATTATTATTACTATTCTTATTAATATTATTATTATTATTATTACTAGTATTATTATTATTAGTATTATTTCTAGTATTATTATTATTAGTATTATTATTATATATACTGTCCACCGTCTTCCCGGTCCTGGGAGCCTTGTATAAACGTTTAGCATGGGATCTGCGATCTGTAACAATATTTCCCATGCCACCCTCACATGTCTGAGTGTGTTGACAAGGGCTCCGGCTCCTGTTTCACGCCGACACGAAGGGCTTCAAATCCGCAATCCAAGTCTCAGTCCCCATTGTATATGCACATATATATATATATATATGCACATATATATATATATGTATATATAAATATATACATATGTGTATATCTGGGATGGCCATCGTTGGTACATCTATCCATGTCCTGTTTTGGTTTTCTTCTTCTTACACCCTAAAGTTCGAAATGCTTAAACACGTATCGCGCTACAGCCGCAGAGCCCTGTAAAGTCGTAAAGCCTTACTCCCCCAAACGCTACAACCATAAGCTCTTATAGACCCAGTATAGATCTTGTGTTCATCCATTAGACATTGGTGTTCGCCTGGCTGGCTGGCTGGCTGGCTGGCTGGCTGGCTGGCTGGCTGGCTGGCTGTCTATGTATGCAATATGTTATATGCATGGTTGCTTGTTTGCATATATATATATATATATATACGTATCTATGTGCATAAGCCCATGCATGCATGTACATATGCATAAATGTATATCTGTATATACTCACACACCCTAAACCCTAAACCCTTCTTGTTTTTTCTTCTTGGGGAGGTCACCGCGGTGCCGGCCCTGCGGGTTTCCAGGGTCCCGCCTCGGCAGCTGCTGCCGTCGAAGCTCCGAGGCGTGGCGTCCGGCGTTAGGGTTTTAGGGTGCATTTAAGGGTTTCGGATTTAGGGTGTAGGGGATAGGGTTTATAGGGTTTAGGGTTTATAAGGTTTAGGGTTTATAGGGGTCGTTTAAGGGTTTAGGGTCTAGGGGTCTGGGGGTTTTGGGCTTGGGGCTTGAGGGTTTAGGGTTTTTGGGGGTTTAGGGTTCTAGTTTTTGTTCTCTAACTGTAAAGGGTGTTCTTCCAGGGTGCGGTAGGGGTTTTAGGGTTTCGGGTTTGGGGGCTTGGCGTTTCAGGGTTTTGGGGTTTAGGGTTAAGGGTTTTAGGGTGTTAGGGTTCTGAGGTAGAGGGTTTTGGGGTTTTAAGGTTTTGAGCACTGTAAAAGTTGTTGGAAACCCTAAACCCTGCTTGTAAAGATTTGAAAAAGAGCCCTTAACAATTAGACTAGGGTTTGGGGACATCTTGCCTTAGAAGGGCTTCATAGGGTTGTTTGTAAGGGTTTTGTAGGCCTTTGAAAAGGTCTACGCAGTTTCAAAAGGTTTTTCAAGGGATTTAAGGGGTCTGCAAGGGTTTTATGCTGGCGCTATATGGTTTTGTTTTTCTTTTTACATGAAGGTGTTGTGAGGGTTTTAGGGGTTTCTTATACGTTTGTGTGGTTTTTATGGTTTTCAGTTTGTGTTTGTTCCGAAGGGTTTATGGGGATGTAGAATAGACGAGAGTCGCAAGAGGTGTTGGCAGGGTTTAAGAATGATTTGGAAGGGTTTCGCAACAAGGCCTTAGAGAATGCTTACGCGGGTTGTGTGGGGCGTTTAAAAGTTGTAAAGGCGACTAGAGGCTTTCACACAAGAAAACAAACAGACGTTTGAATTCGAGTCTATTGTACTGGTCTGTAAAAGGCTTTCGAAGACCCTTGTAGAGATTGTATACGATTCTTTTTTAGATTGGCGTTCTTAGAATCCAGCCAAGCCCTCTTCACCCTCGATCCCCAAGCCCAAGCAAACCCTAAACTCTAAACCCTGTATAAACCCTAAACCCTATATAAACCCCAAGCCCTACATAAACCCCTAAAGCGCGAAATGCCCCAAAGCCAGGCTCCAAAGTTCTTGCCTGGGCCCCGGACCTTGCGCAGTTCACGGTGCTGGCCCCGCTGCCGATCGACCCGAGGTGCCTTAGTGGTGTAGGGGTTTAGGGTCCAAGGTTTAGTGGTTTAGGGTTTAGGGTGTTTTTTGGGTGTTTTGGGGTTTAGGGGTTTAGAGTTGAAGGTTTGGGGTGTCGGGTTTAGGTTCAGGGGTTTGGGTTTCGGGTTTTGGGGTTCGGGCTTTGTAGAGTTTATGCTTTGGGAAAGTAGGGGGTGTGGGATCTGTGATTTTTGAGGGTCTGGGTGGCTTAGGTTGGTCTAAACCCTAAACCCTAAACCCTAAACCCTAAACCCTAAACCCTATAAGCCCTAAACTCTATTATGCCTTAGTAAGTTTCTTTCTCGGACCGGCGAGGACAAGGCCCAGCGGTGTACCTACGCTCTCTTTTGATTTCTACTTTCTCTTTCCCCGTCGATTCAGTCCTAAATCCTGCAGCCCTACAACCACAATCCTACAACCCTAAAGCCAAAAAATTGATTACTGCGCCTATGCGCGCTTCACATATTTTCCAGTTGTACAGAAAGACAGTCGGCAGCGTTTGGCACTCCTAATAAAGCCAAGAAGCCGCTGTGTGTGGAAACTTTGGGCAGTTCGAGGTTCCCCCGCTTCGAAAACTGGAAAGACCCTAGGCCCTAGGCCCTAGCATGGTGGAGCCATGAGCCCAGGTTTAACATTATAGCCCTAAACTCAGAAGCCCTAACACCTTAATCGTCAATCTCACCTACAGCTACAGTAGAGTAGAAAAATAACATAAGGTGCCCTAAGGCCTAAGGCCCTAAGGTCCCCCCAAAAACCCTTAAGCTCTACTCCCTAAACCTCAAATCCTAAGCGCTTCACAGGGCGGCCGAAGCCATTTCTGAAGTCAGATGGCAGTGTGGGCCTGGCTCCAGGCCTTCCACAGCATGAAGCTGGGGCTCCAGAGCATCCTCTTGATGCCAGACGAGGCCGCGCTCCAAGCCCGCCGACAGTTTTTGCGATCCTCGGACGAGCGCAACGCTAAGAGAAGGAAGGTCGCAGAGGCCGGCGACCTGTCCACGGTCGCTGCCGCCGCAGCTACAGAATGCCCCGTGGTCATCCCGCGAAGGGTGGCGCATTTCCATCCGCACGCCGACCACCGCGGGCGTCTGGCACCGGCCTCAGTGGTGGCCGTTTCCGGACCTTTTCTGCCTCCAGCTGTGCGAACACCCGCAGTACATTCAACCTCTGGCTCCGGCCGAACCCCTGCAGCACCTCGCGCTCAGGCCCAAAAAAGCACATAAGCCAAAATAAGGATGGGGATATCCCATATATATCCTCTTAAAGGGAAGGACAATAAGGTAGGGATATCCCCATAAAATGCTTATGCTTATGTGCATTTTGGGTCCCCAACTTCTTTCCCTGGCCTGAAGCCTACGTGACCCCCGGGCTCTGAGCCTTAGGACCAGCCCCGGCTCGAACTTTTCCGCAACCAAGAGCCGTATAGATTAGAAGGGGCCCCCACCCTGTAATAGTGGTATAATAGGAATATAATAGGGCCCTAATATAATCCTTATAGTCACTATAACAGGGTGGGGGCAGCTTCTAACGTATAGACCCGACCTGTGATATCGTGCCCTCATAGATCCTTTATGAAACCTCCATAGAATCCGTGTAGATCCCGTATGGGGCGCTTGTGGAACCCTTACTTACAGAGTTCCTGAAAGGCGTCAACCATCAAAATTCCACCTCAGCAGCGCAGGAGCAGCGTTGAAACAGACGGCGCATTGGCCTCAGTCCAAACGTGCACAGCGGGAGCAGGATCGTGTTTCGGGTTTAGGGTTTAGGGGCTGATGGTTTAAATCAAGGGTTTCGGATCTAATTGCCGCAAACCCTTAACTGCCCTGCGTCTCCCATCTTCTGAAGCGGGACATGCCCTTAGAGGGTTGCCATACGCGTCTTTTTTTGTACAGGGTTTATGGGTTTTCAAGGGGCTTCAGGGCTCAAGATGTTCCTCCATGATGCATAGTTAGCATGGCAACACTTCGGTGCCGTATCTCCCCAAAGTGGTACTTTAAGCAAGAAGAACCCTATATTCGACATGTCTACTGGGTTTAGGGTTTAGGGATCCCAATCCGGGATCGATACGTGTAGGTTGTTAGGCCACCACATTACTGTGCCGATGCTGTCCGGTGCCAGAGACGGTGTCTTCGTTTTCACAGACGTCAGAAATCCCATGGGAAAGTCACAGCCAATTCCCAACATCGAGTTCGAACTCAACAATCCATCAAGAATGCAGTGTCCCGGAACGTACGTAGTTGGTGCAGGCAACATATGACGGTGCAGAAGATGACAATCCCCAAAGGGAAGCCAATGGCATGGACGACTCCATCCAAAAGTCTTCAACCGTCTTCCCAACAATCCTCTGCACCCCAGCCCTTGTGATTCTTAACTCCACAACCCAAAGACACCAAGATTCCAGTAATTTTGGCTTGAAGAGCTTCTGTCTTGACTCATTGTACCTAAACGGATTTGGACCTCTGGTCCGTACTGCCGAGCTTCCGTGAACCCTCTCTCCGAGGCTCGCGAACACCGCACTGTACAGTTGGCCGCCCTGGACGGCTCTCTGCCCTTCGAGACGAGGCCCGCGCAGAGCACGCAGGGTTTAGGTTTTAGGTGTCAAGGGTTTGGGGCCTTAAATTGTTTGAAGTAGGCTACGTATTGGAGTTTTGGTGAGGGTACATATTGATTGCTCTTTAGGAGTAGTGGTCTGTTCTTTCGGTTGCATTTGCGCGCCCATGATTCGGAGTCCGATCCACGAGGAATAAGAACCCTATTTCATATAGGTAATTTAGCATATTTCGTGATGATTTTCGGGTACATGCATAAACTCAGAAGGAGCCCTGTATAGTTACTTCAAGCAACACTCCTGAGTGTATGTAGGAGGGTTGCAGGGCTCGCTGGCATTCCCTTCCGAAACCCAAAACTCCAAAACCTTAATCCAATTCCTGAACCCCGAACCCTGGACGACAAACCGCTTGCTTTTTGCTTGAGCAGTCTTATGTTGCCCAGGTCTGCCGCATTGAAGGGGGTGCCTGGGTTGTTCTGTTGTGAGAGTACTGGGGCTTGGGTTAGGTGGTGGTTGTGTTGTGGTATAGGTCGTGCAGTGGCAACCTGGCTCTGCCAGTTAATGGCATTTGGTGAGCGTGGCAAGAAGAAACGGGCCCATCAAACACAAGCCGCAACCCCTTCAAACCCAAAACCCCAGCCCCAAGCCCCAAGCCGTAAACCCTAAACCTTAACCCTAAAGAAACCTAAACCAGGCCCTACCTCGACCCCAAAAGTATCTAGAATAATGGCCTTTTATGGGTATTGGGCCATTATTTTACCTACTTGGGGGGGTTTAGGTAGACCTCACCCGTGCGCCTCAACGCAGGGCGTTGCACGCCGGGCCGCGCCGTGTACCAACCTCATGGCTCCTCGCACGGGCCCCGCAGACGCCCGAAGAGGCTGGGGGTTTAGGGTTAAGGGTTTAGAGCTTAGGGTTTAGGGCTTAGGGTTTAGGGTTTAGGGTTCAGGTTTTAGCTTTTCTAAAGTTGAAGGGTGCCATGAGGGGGTACTAAGTTACTATAACAGGGGTATCAAGGTTCAGGATTACAAGATGTAGTTGGTTTGAGCCTTCCTTGAAACTAAGGGCACTCTTATGGGATCCCATCGTTGGGTTCTAAATGGGTACTTTAAGGGTATTAGGGTTTGGGGTCTTCGGGCTGTACTAATCACAGGGTTCAGGATAATCAGAGGGCTTTAGGGTTTTAGGGTTGGGGATCTCGTAGCAGTTGACGGTCCAGGAGTTATAGAGTTTCGGCGTTTTTGGACGCTTGTCGTGGCTTTAGATGGGATATATGGGGCTTATGGAGGTTTGGAGATTCAATTTTATTGCCGGGCCAGTACTGGTCCATCGACAAGACCGCAGTCGAGAAGCCCTCCACGATGATGGCTCCGACCTGTGTCAGTTCGAACAACGTAGCCTTGCCGCATTCTGAACCATACCCGTGGTGGTGATAGTCGTCGTCGTCGTCGTCGTCGTCACAGCAGCAGCTGGATGAGGAGGACGAGGAGGAGGGTCGTCGTCGTTTTTGTTGCTGTTGCTGCTAAAGTGCCGGTGTTCTTAGCACCGTAGAGAAAATGCTCGTAGTCGTCATCATCGTCGTCGTCATGGTCCTCCTCCTCCGCCTCCTCCTACTCATCATCATCATTATCATCATCATCATCATCATCATTGCCACCATCTTCCTCATAAACTTGCCATGATTGTGGCTGCCAGTGGCATCACTGCAACCGTAAACTGTGTTGCTGTTGTTCCACGCACACAGTTACTGTTACTGCTTCGTGACTGTGGAGTCGCTTGGGAGCGGCTCGAGGCTTTAAGCTTATCCGGTCTTCGAGCTCATGTTCCCAGAACCATTGCGATTAGAATTTTCGACCCAAACCTTCAGTTCAAAGCCCTGGAGTTAGACCCATAACAATAAAGCGCTAACTTGACATGCTTCTTTTCCCGGCCCACCCAAAAAAAACATGGGAGCATCAGAAAATGACGGTCCCCACCTACAACTACACAAGCCTGTAAGCCCTCGTTTAAATGTCAAAACCTGCAAAGAAACCCGCTAAGAAGCCTCATTCAAACCCATCACCCTGATTGCAGAGAAGCTCCCATCAGCAATTGGTGAAGAAGTACCCTAAACCCTAAACTTTAGGCCTTAAGCCCTAAACCCATCAGCGAGAAGTCAGTCAAGAACCGAGTCAGTTGAAGCCGTGATGAAGCGAGGGTTCTGGGGGGTCTTTTCAGCCTTCAGAACCGGCGGATTCTAAAGTCGAACATCAGGCGGACGACACCCGTAAACCCTAAACCCCTAAGCCCGAAACCCTAAACCACCAAACCCTAAACCCTAAACCCTAAATCCTAAACCCTAAACCCTAAGCGCTAAACCACCCCCCCCTCCCCCCCCCAAAAAAAAAACAAAAAAACAAAAACAACAACACAACCATCAGCGAGTCCGGAGCAGGCACAGGTCTTGGCCACCACAGCCGGAGCTTGGGGCGGACGTGGCTCGGCCAACATTTTCGTTGTGTTGCTGGGATTTAGGGTTTAGGGGACTTAGGTAGTTTACTAACTTAGGGTAGCTTTTACGGATTAAGGGTTCAGGTGTTTAGGGTTTAGTGTTTGGGATGTTCTCTAAACTAGGATTCCTGAATAGTAGCCTTTTGCTCTTTTGAGTTTGGGGCCTCCTCATCAAGACTGAGTATTAGGAAAACAGCATGGCATGCCCTGGCGGCTAGGAGAAAGGGTACCGTCATCATTATGGGGCTACTCAGCAACCTGGCTAAGTTAGGGCCCCCTTTAAGGTTATTTTGATAAATTGAGGGTGCCTTCGTTGTTCATTTTGGGGACCTAGAAAAGAACACCAGTTTAGCGATCTACTCTTCAGGCCAAACTTAAACTCTAAACCCTCGACGCTAGCCTAGGTCCGAGGGTTTTCGGGTTCAGGGTTGTTGTTTGCTTCAGGGCCTTCATGGGTTTTCAGGGCTGTTGTAATTCCTTGGGAAAGGCAGGTTTTTTGGGGGCCACAGATACGGATAGAACGACTCAGGATCCCCGAAATGATCGGTCGTAGCGGTTTGGGGATTTGAGCTCGAAGTTAAGGTTTTTGGTGTAGAAGATATAGGGGCTTATGAGGATCACGTTCTTTCGGATCCGTCGTAATTGAGAACAAGCCAGTGGAGTGTTTGCCATGGGTAGTTTGCGCAGATTACAGCCTTCCGTCTACAGCGAACCCTTTAGGGTTTAGGGTTCAGGGTTTAGGGTTTAGGGTTTAGGGTGAAGCCCAATCGGGGGCTTCAGGTTGCAGGTTTAGGGTGGGTGAGGTCATTTCTGGTTCAGATTGGTTTCCGGGCGGTCACATCGTCAGGTAATTGTCGGAGAAGTAGCCTAAACCCTAAACCGGAGAAGTTGTTACATGCCGCAAAGCTTGGCGCCCTGGGCAATTTCGAAAAGCCGCGAGCCGCCCGCAGACGAACAACAGCAACGACCAAGACCCTTTAAACCCTAAGCCCTACACCCCAAACCCTAAACCTAAACCCTAAACCGTAATCCCAAACCCTAAACCGTAAACCCAAACCCTAAACCTAAACACCTTGGGACGGCAAGCAGGCACCAAAAAGAAGCTTTAAAAAAACACCTAAACCGCAAAAACCCACACCCAACACCGACTTTGGCTTCGGCTTCCCCAGGTTTGCTTGCGCTGAGCCCTGCGATTGCGACGGACGACGATCTTTGGCCGCTGCCGCTGGGCAAGCAGAACACCCCCCCAAGGGTTTAGGGTTTAGGGGTTAGGGTTTAGGGTTTAGGGGTTTATAGTTTAGGGTTTAGGGGTTTATAGTTTAGGGCCCTTAAGGTAATGCAGGATTTGTATCATCAACAGTATGCACTGCCTTCATCGCTTCATATCCTACTTGCCGAGTCCCTGCACTCTCCGAGCCCGACTCCCCAAGCCCCGAGCCCGAAAGCCCAAGCCCGATCTCTGGGTTCTTGTTAAGGGTTTTATTTTAAGCCACCAGAATACTCATCCATAGTAAATAATATGGTTTCCATAGTAACTAATATGGTTTCCTGATTATGTTAGCTTAATTTTGAATCCACAAGAACCCAGATCTTGAGCCCGGAGCCCGGAGCCCGAACACCCGGAGCCCTCGAGGTATGCGACTGACGATGGCGATGCTCCTGGAATCTCGTCCGGGCCCGTGCGGTACGCGCGTCACCTGGCCAGAAGAGTCTAGGAATGAGTACTAAAGAGGATTATGCATTAATAATTACCTAGACTATTTTGGGGGTTCCTTTTAAAGTCATGGTATAATGGGCCCAAAACACTATTCTAGTTATAACGGCCGGTATCTCGGGCTTAGGGCTTTCAGGTTCAAGGCTTACGGAGACAGTTGCCTGGTTTGGGATGAAGGGTTTAAGATTTTGAGTCCGTGGCATGACCCGCCAACACCCTGTATTCTTCAACCGAACCATCTACTGACAACGTGTATAGCCTAAACCCTCGGCCCTAAATCCTAAGCCCTCAGCCCAGAAGACCTCTCTTGAAGGGTACTTGCGGGGTCGCGGTTGGGGGCTCTGGGTTTGCTCGATGGCTCGCAGCGCCGACAATTCCGGTATATCCCAGTAGTCATGAGGGTGTTTAGGGTTTAGGGTTTATGCTTTAAAGTTCAGGGTTTAGGGTTTGGGGTTTAGAGTTGATGCACGTAGGATCTGCGGCTACAGGTTGGGTTTAGAGCTCACATCTATTGCCATTCCGCGTTTCGGGCTGCAGGCTGCTTCGTTGACTTCGGAGACCCCAAACCTGAAACCCAAAGGGGAAAAGGAGGGACCCTTAATGGGGACCCCTACCCTATAATGGGCTATATAATGGGTATATAATAGCTATATTATGGGTATATGCCTAGGGGTCCTTATTACCCTTGGAGAAACCCTAAACCCAAAACCCTGAACCCCAAAACCCTGAAATCCGAAACCCTATAGGATCTCAACACACTTCAGACCTCGGGCGCCTGAGGCGAAGATGTTGCATTCGGGGAGAGTTACTTTTTTGTTTTTTTGTCGGGTGTGTGGGCAGGGGTTTTGGGGGATTGGAGGTTGGGTGGGACATTGTTTGAAGTGGTTGGCTTTTGGCTTTAGGGTCAAGGGTTAATGTAAAACCATGAGTAGAAGTCACGGGTCGGGGTGTGGGGGTTTCGATAGAGAAAAGATATGCGGGAATCCGAACGAACCCAACAAATGCCAGAACTAATGAGTCAATGAGCAATGGTTCAGGATGGTTCAAGGCGTTCTGAAATCCTGTCAGACCCGTCTAGCACTAAATTCGATTGTAGGAATCCCGGAAAAAGTCTTCAAAGGAACTTTCAAAGGAACCCTAAATCCAAAGCCCTAACCCTAGACCCTAAACCTGAACCCTAAACCCTAAACCCTAACCCTAAACCCTAAACCCCAAAGAATCTTCACAGCACCAAAGGAGTCCGCACCGTCCTGGAAGCCGACGGCAGTCTCATGGTGGAATGCTCCGAGGGCTGCGCTCTGATTTGGTGCCCCGGCCTTCTACTCGTTGCTTCAAGGGTAAAACCCTAAACCCTGAACCCTAAACCCTGGACTCTAAACCCTGAACCCTCAGCCCCTAAACCCCAAACCGCTTTTGCCGGGTCATGCTGGGGTCTTGAAGGGCTTGATGGGAGGTTTTATATGGAGTTCCAATAAGGTGTTTACGGGTAGTTCATAGGGTTGAGACTTTGTAGGGTTGAGCAACTATGTCATAGTATCCCCACTAGTCCTCATTGTTTACACCCCGCCAGACCTAGTTTTACTGCAGCCCCTATATGACTTGATTTACCATTGCTGAGTTTCTCGGCTTGCCTTGCTAAGGTGCCGATTGCGCTGGGGTTAGGCTTTGGAGATCAGGGTGTAGGGTTTGTAGGGTGTAGGGTTTGTAGGTAGTTAGTCTGTCTCTAAGCACCTGAACCCTACTTAAGCCCTAAACCACAAACCCTAAACCCTCAACTCTCTCATTGCTCCCTGAGCCTGAGCCTCACTCCTTGATTTCCCACCCGCTGTAAGGGCAAGGACCCTGTGGTTAGAGGTGCTTCTTTACCTCTTGTGCTAGCACTAATGCAAAAACCTAACCCCAAACCCCAAACCTTACACCCTTAGCCCTAAGCCCGCCCTACACCCCCAGCCCCGAAACGCCAGAGGCAACGGTTGGCAGGCTTCGGGTTCAGGGATTGGGCTGAAATGTTGAGGATTCACGGAACAGGTTTCGGACTTAGGGGTTTAGGGGTTTGGGGTTTAGAGCCACGGTTTAGGGTTTAGGGTTTAGGGTTTAGGGGTTTGGGGTTTGGCGCCTCGGAACTAGGGGTTCGGGGTCTGGGAGGAGCTTGTGGTTTAACATACAGGGTTCAGGGTTTGAGAGGAGTCGGGTCTTGGAGCTACGTAGAACACGGCCTCAGCAAGCCGTGCCCACACTGTACCTCCGCGCAATCGACCGGTTCGACAGCTTGGGAGTGTCCACTTTCAGGCAGGATCCTACACTGCCAGAATGAAGATCCACCAGCATAATGCCAGGTGGGGACGGACTTGCGCGTGAGATCGAGTCGGACGCCGTCGATAAGACACCGGCGAAGCCCCAAGCCCACGACGCCAGTTCGCATCTCTCTCGCCGAAATAGAACCCTAGACCCGAAACCGAAAGCTTTCCTGGGCACTAGCTGCGAGCCTTTCAAAGGCCGTGCACTTTGCCCAAACCCTAAACCTTTGGCTGAGGCGCTGGGCTCTTCCAGAAGCCTTGGCCTTCGAGGCACTACACGATTTCACAAGGGTGAACGAGCTTTCGGTTTCAGTTTCTCTGGTTTGTTAGGGCCTCGTTTGAGGCTTCATTTTAGGGTCTACAGTAGAAGAGGCTGACTGCTCCTACTCCTACTCCTACTCCTACTCCTACTCCTACTCCTACTCCTACTCCTACTCCTACTCCTACTCCTACTCCTACTACTCCTACTCCTACTACTACTACTACTACTACTACTACTACTACTACTACTACTACTACTACTACTACTACTACTACTGCTACTGCTACTGCTACTGCTACTGCTACTACTACTACTACTACTACTACTACTACTACTACTACTACTACGACGACGACAGTTGATTGTTGTTGCAGCAGCTGTGCGATATTCAGGGGATGCGGGTTTGTCTTGGCTCCAGGATCCAGGGTCCTTAACAGACACGGCTTAAAAAGACCTCCAATATTCAGAGTTTAGGCTGGGGTTTGGTGCTTCAGGGTTGTTTGGGTTTAGGATCCTTACATGACTGGCGGATGTTTCATTCGGACGTACTGTTCATGGTGTGTAGAATCTGTGCGCACACAACCCCCATGCTCTGAAGCCTTTCTCTTCCGCACCCTTGGCACCAAGCCGTGAGTTGTGTCTGTTCAGGAGCAAATTCAAGTTACCATCCGCAGAAAACATGCCGTTTAAGCTATCTATCACAATCAGCTTTACGCTAATTCCTAAACCTTAAGCCCTAAACTCCAAATTCCAAGCCTCGTAAACGGCAAACATGGCAGCTTCGTTTACACGAGCTGGCGACCTCACGGCTTTTCACCCAAAGCCTACAGCCTTTGAAGCCTGACGAACCCCTAAGATCCTAAGGTTTTGAACCCTAAAGCCCAATCCTCAAACTCCCTTCTTTCCGTAAACCCACAGCCCTCAACTCTGGGTTCGGCAGGATCCTGTGGCGGCGACGCGGTTCATGAGACCTGAGGACTCTGCTCTCTTCTGCTGACCGGGGCTGAGCTGGTGCAAAGTTTGGACTCCGGGCTTCGGGTTGAAAGTAAACTCCCGATGTCAGGGTAACATTTACATCCTCGACACCAGGAGCGCAAGCGCGAAACCTGATTACGCCCGGAGTCTACCATCCCAAAACCTGCCTGACGCCGCACAGAGTTCAGGCACCACATTTTAAAAGCATGAAGCCCTAACCTTCCTACAGGCATCCCTAACCGTTGATCCCTTGAACAGGTTTCGTTTATCACGATTCCACGGCCATTATAGAAGACCTCCGACCCGCACCCGCAACTTTCAACCCCAAGCCGTAGCTTGCAGGACGACTCAATGCCGACCCCATCGTACAGGTGGGAGGGCTTGGGAATTGGTGTTGATTTCGGGTTGGAGGGTTCATCCAGCTTGTGTAACGATGCAATTCTCGATGTCCATGCTGTGCTCATAGGTGGCTGAGGCTAAAGGGGGCATTTGAGCAACTCCGGCTTACTGTAGGCGTTAAACATGACTAAGATATCCACGCCACTGTCAGCTTGGCCGAGGTGAAGGCTTATCCTAGAGTGCTAGAGATGCTGGGATGGCCTAGTCGAGCATTGGAGAGATGGAGACAGTCGCACTGTTGCTGGCGAACCCTGGTCAGACAAAAGAAGCAGACTTGGACAACATTTTCGGGCTGGATGGTCCGCAAGAAGAACTTGACTTGAACGGGGTCGTGAGCGATTTCAGCCTCTGGAAGGACTACCTCGTGAACAAGGGCATAGGCGTGTCAGCCCGGAGCGTTTGCGATTCGAGATTGAAACGACTTGATGCATTGGACCGCATCAGGTCCTTTTTCAGTTTCTTTGCCGGATGTTTTCTCCTAGTTTATATGGGACATGGCAAAGAAGACTGCGGCAACTGGGAAATGGCAGATGGCGACATATCTTTCTGGGATGTGGTGTCAGCGTGGCTTCAGTACGGGCATGTTGAACATTTCCAGACCCGGTGCATAATCGTTTCGGATTGCTGCTACAGTGGCAAGTGGCCACTTCTGGCATTGAGCCTGCAAATTCCGAGTCTAGATGTTCAAAGTGCCGTGAACGTTGATGCCCTGGCTCGGGACTGCCAACCAACATTTTCTCAAGTATTCCTCAGGATGCAACTGGGCGCATAAGTGCCGTGCTTGCTTGTGTTGGTGCCTTTTTTGTGAAAAGCAAATCACTTCTGGAAGAATTAGCTTACTACCATATGTGAAATTGGGTGTTTCGGAACCCAGGCAAGACACCAAAGGAGAGGCCACGTTTCCCGAGCCTTTGAAGCGAAGGTGGCGGCCAATGAGTACGACTACCGGAGCACGTGCTCACGAACCTTTGGCTTTCGTCGGTGGAGCTGAGGCCTGCGCACGGCTTTATCTGGAGCGCTTTTGGAACAGATCAGGCATCCTGACCAGCGGATGGTTGGCAGACACCACTTTCTCAATGCAACAGCGAGAAGGCTCGAGCACGTGGCATCGTGCAACAGCCACAGTTTGCGGACGTGAAGTCGGCAGCGTGGTTGTGAAGGAGGATCCTGGTGTTGCACTGCAGATGACACACGTCTATGTGGAGCCAGACTTGAGACGTCATGGCATTGCATCCAGGCTACTGCGCGGCATGTTTTCCAGGTTGACGCAAGTCGCGCAGTCTTCGCACATCGACATTGTGTTCTTGCAGAGCAACGCAGAGGTGTTGGAGTCTGTGTACGCGCATGGGTTCTCGGATTTGCGGGTTCCGTCCCTGAACAATAACAGCGACGAGGCACCTCTGCTGGATTTAGCCGCAGGTGAGCTGCAGCTAGTATCCACATTGTACTTGTGAGTGTTACCGACAAGTCGGGCATTCTATTCTATTCTGTTCTACTATGTTCTATACGGCTCCAGGTGCGCTTCGGTCGGCGGGTCGCCGAGGAAGAAGTGCAGTTCTCGTGGAGTGATCGAGATACCGATCCCGAGCTATTTGCTTCCGCATCGGAGCTCTTTGTTACGACATTCCTGCAGCAGTACCAGGACAGTTCAGAAGCAAGTCTCGGCATCAAGGATCCTTGGCTTTAATGTTGCTTCGACGTGCGACAAAAAAACAAAAGAGCCCTAAACCTCGACGCTTCTCGGAGGCCACTCGGCCACCCTTCACAACAGGCCTGGACAAGAACAGCTACACAATATGACAGCATGCAGAAGCCGCATCATGATATCGACTGGCTCTTATTCTTATCTACCTGTCCATCTGCCGGTTATGTAGAAGGAGCCGAAAACCAGTCACACAACTCAACATTAAACTACCACTGCTGTCGGTGACCCGAGGCAAAACGCCCGATAACTCCGCCGAGCAGAATACATGGTCAGAGCACACACGATTCAACGAACGAACAACTTCGGCCAGTTTCTGCAGACTTCGCCTTTTGCCCGTCCCTCCCCGAAAGGGATTCCAGCCGGAAGCAGCCAAGCATGGCATTCGTGGTGCTGATGGTCGTGGTAGCCGCGGATCATCGTGGTCAGCAGGGTCGTCGTGGTGCTTTATCACTGTTTAGGGATCTAAGCTGGCATCCTTGAGCAGGGGGTCAACATGAAAAGCAAGAGCAAACCACATCTCTCAGAAACTCACGCGCAATTGCCTTTCGCAGCAGCGGAATCCTTTACGAGACAAGCAGGCGTGGGGTACGCACATTTCTGATCATTTATGTACGCGCATATGTATATATGTAGGTACATGTATATGTATATTTATCTGTTTATGTACAGCTATATGTAACTGTACATGTGTATGCACACACACACACATATATATATATATATATATATATATGCTCACCCCCCCCCCCATGACAGACCGTCGTGGGGAAGGGGAACGGTGGCGTGCGTCCCCAGGCAGGATCTGTCAACGGATAGGCGACAGACACTTCTCCCAAACTCAATTCCAAAATGTTCTTTTAGATGGTTTGCGATTTTTGGAAATTTCTTCACACGCATGCAGCGCTCCTAGTCCCAATCTTAATCTCAATTCTGCTCTTCGTACCACTATTACTGTTTGTAGATCTTAATTCTTGTATCAGTGTTAGCAGTAGTATTGGTTTTGTGGTAGTATTGATATTAGGATGTTTAGTATGAGTAATAGTATTCGAATTAGTATTACTCTTAGTATTAGCATTAAGTATGTGTATTGATGTTAATAGTAGTAGTCGTCGTACTAGCAATAGTTGTCGCACAGCAGTAGTAGTGGTAGCATTAGTATTGGTATTGGTATTAGTATTAGAATGAGTATTACTATTAGTATTAGTGACTAGTATGAGTATCAGTATTAGTTTTAGTATTAAGTATGCGTACTAGTAGTAGTAGTAGTAGTAGTAGTAGTAGTAGTAGTAGTAGTAGTAGTAGTAGTAGTCGTAGTAGTAGCAGTAGTAGTAGCAGCAGTAGTGGTGACATTAGTATTGGTATGAGTATGAGTATTAGAATTAGTAGCTAGTATTAGTACTAGTATTAGTGTTAGGATTAATATGTATTGTTCTTGGTTCTATTCTTAGTACTGCTGTCATTGTTTGTAGTAGTCCTAATCCTGGTATCAGTGTTCATATGAGTAATAGTTTTGTGGTAGTATTGATATTAGGATGGGTATTGCTTTAGTACTAGTATTGGTATTGGTATTTAGTATTAGTATTAGCATCAGTATTAGTATTAGTATTGAATAAAAGTATACATATCAATAATAGTAAATATGAACTCGTGATTATGTTCGTGCTGGTGTTAGTGCCAGTGTCGATGTCAATGTCAGTAATAGTACTCGTGTTAGTATTAGTATCAGTCTGAATGCTGGTTTTAGTATCTGTTTACTATTCACAGAAGTGCTGGTATTAGTATCAGTATTAGAAATAGTTTTGATATGTGAATATACTGATTGATTCGTACATTTTGAGCTTAATATAATAATACAGTAATGTATTCGAACAATAGTATATTTGCAGAGTTGAAGATTGCGCGAATATATTAGTACGTTGGTGCATGAGTACATTAGTATATTGGTGTATCATGATATTCGTATGTTAACGTAGTAGTATATTAGTATATTATTATAGTGGTCTATTACTACATTTACTATATTCGTATTTTCCCTAATAGCTTATAGGTATATCAATATGTTGGCATAATGGCATGTGAACATGTCAGTGTACTTGCCTTTTACAGTATTCGTATATTAGTACACTAGCATATTTAGTGATAATTAGTGTTAATGCCAGTGCCAATGTCGATGTCAGTTTTAATCAGTCTTAATGATGAATTAAACATCAGTGTAATATTCGCGGACGTGCTCGTATGCGTATCAATACTATAATTAGTTTTGATATATTAGTATACTGGTAGATTACATAAACAGCTTAGTATACCAACACATTATAATGTATTCGAACAGTAATATGCTTGTATACCTGCATGTTTGTATGCTCTTAGTATATTAATGCATGCGTACGTTCGTGCATGAGTACATTAGTATATTGGTGTGCTATTATCTTCGATTATTAACATATTAGTGTATGAGTATCCTGGTATGCTACTTCATTTATCATATTCGTATATTATCTAACAACTTTTTTGGTATATTCATATGTTAGTATACCATTGCCATGTGTCACTGTACTTGCATATTACAGTATTCGTGTCTTAGCAAGTTAGCATATCAATACCGTATAATCAGACGTTAACAAGTAGTATATTGTCACGTTGGAAACTGGGTATATGACAAATTAAATACGAATATACTACGTTAGTACACGAATGCATTGATATATTTGCTTTTCAGATAGTGGTATGTATATCTGCGGACATTAATATACGCAGGTGTCTGTTAGTATTGGCATTAATATCAATATGAATATGACTATTGGTAGGCGTAGGAGTATTAATGTTAATAATAGAATTAGTAATGTGCATATTCGAAATGAAAGCATTAATATACATGTCAACGTTAGTGTTAAAAGCACTACACAGTAATCTTACTTGAGTCATATGTAGAGCAGATTCCAGCATTTCCAAAATTTCCAAAATTCTCTCCCCTAACTTTCCAGATTTCCAAAATTTCCAAAATTTCCAAAATTTCCAAAATTTCCAAAATTTCTAAAATTTCCAAAATTTCCAAAATTTCCAAACTTTCCAAAATTTCCAAAATTTCCAAAATTTCCAAAAAGTCCGCCCTTATGTTTTGGAAAAATCCTGTCGACTAGGTCGGGAGATTTTGGAAATTTTGGAAATTTTGGAAATTTTGGAAATTTTGGAAATTTTGGAAATTTTGGAAATTTTGGAAATCTGGAAAGTTAGGGGAGAGAATTTTGGAAATTTTTCAAATTTTGGAAATGCTGGAATCTGCTCTATATATGACTCAAGTAAGATTACTGTGTAGTGCTTACTATGTAGTGTGTCAGCACAACCTTCATCCATACACGTGTGCTCTGTAATTCCTTTCTTGGTAGGACACCCGCGCGCCTTATCGTGCTGCTTTCTGGTCTCAGTCTTTTGGTGGTTCCAGGGATACGTTCGGAGGGCTCAAACTCGATACTCCGGAAAAAGCACGAACACGCCGGTGGGAGCGATGTTTTAAAGGGGATGGTCTGTCATGGGGGGGGGTGACCATATATATATATTCTATACACTATGCACATTTGTCTGTGTGTACGTGTATGTAAAACTACATGTATATGCATATGTTTATGCGTTTATATAGAGACAAAGCTACCTGTATCTGCATATGTGCATGTTCATTTGTAAGTGTATGTATAGATACATGTATAAGTACATGTACATGTACATGTATGTATGCATGTATGTATGTATGTACGTATTTATGTATAGGTATGGATTTAGCTACAAGTATATGTATATGCATACGCATATGAATACGAACATGTAGATCTAGATGTACATGCATCTCTCCATGTATATGTTTATGTGCTCGGCATTTACGGTTCCAGTTATCTATCTTGTCATATCCGCTCATATGTTATATACATATGTACTGAGGCTTGTTATGTATCTGTATCTAACATAATATATATATATATACATATATACGTACAGATAGATATATGGATAAACATAGGAGTTGGGCCAGTGTGATCGCAACGGCTTGGGGAGGCATATAAGAATGGCCACAAGGACATTGGGTTTCGCACCACAAGTATAAGTCACATTGGAAATGTGTGTGGTGACAAGTATGAAGTCAAACTTAAGCTGGGGGACAGGTATGAGGGGACCGATGGATGTCAAGACTGAACACTGGCACATGGTTTCCAAACGCTAGTGAAGTGGGCACATAGCGAATACAACATGTAGACTGCCTGTGGTATGTGCTGCCTCGTAGGAGCACAAGTGATTTTTTCGACACACAAAGATGTATTGTTTTTCACGGTTGTGCGATTTCCCACTTTGGGATGCACGCGTCTGCTCATACGCATACCGTTTTATTCGCACAGGCAAATACTGCTGCTAGTCTTACAAGGGCTATCCGCATGTCCAAAGCCAGGTGCCGAGCCAACAGTAGAAAATGATGCTGAGAAGCCTATGCAAGCTCGCCAACAAAAGCTTCTGTGCCATCTAGCCTCTTCGTTTTGACTAAGGAGAAGAAGGCCGCGTGGCTAAAGCAAACTATCCAGGAAGAGAGAAACCTGCAGTCCTCACATCCTGACCAGTACGAGTGGCTCATTGGACGGGTAGGAAGCAACGTGGTGGCTTTGACAATTCTGGAGTTGCTCGCCTACGATCCTACATCATCCCGGACCTGCCACGTAAGACAAATCGCACTGGCGAAGCAATTCCAAGGCAGAGGGCTCGGCAAGGTCATAGCGAAGAAAATAGAAAGCAAATTCGCTGATATCGCACGCTTCACGTGTGTAACGCGCAAGATTAATCTGCAGAGTCAAGCATTCTTGGCCAAGCTGGGCTTCAAGGAGCGCGAGGACTCAACGAGCGGGTATGATACGACCCACTATGTCGCTCTTTCCATGGAAGTGCCCACACATTGCTCTCCTGCAACCGGATATCATAGATCCCCGTCTCCAAAACCCAGTTTCAAGTCCGAAGCTGAGTTGATGCGTTGCACCGCAACAAACCGTGAATAGGCTAATTCCATGCGTTTGCGATTAAAGTTTCAGCTAGGCTATTCGTAGGATTACGCTTGTGCTTCGTGTTAGCCAGCTCTGGCTGTCCTCTTCGTCAACTCAGGCCCCGAACAAATGCTGAGTTTTCAAGTTTGATTGACAACGTCTCTTGTGTCCTGCACCTTGATGACTTTGAATTCTGCGTGGACGATGAGCTTCTGCAGCATGAAGCTCTACGTTTGTTGCAAAGGTGCTTCCTGGATCACTATGTATCCTTTTCCGAGGAGGATCTTGGGACGTCGAAGCCAAAACAAGTGTGGCTGTCAGAAGTTGCCGAGAAAGAGCTGCGCTTGCAGCAAGAATGCCCTGGCAGGTATCGATGGCTCACTGCTTGTAAGGCTGGGACCGTTCTTGGTCTCTTGATCCTTGATATTGGCGTGCAGCCGCAATGCTTCGTCACGGATGTGGTGGCCCGGCAATTTGTCGTCTCGTCCGAGTACCAGCGGCAAGGATTGGGGATGGAAATGTGCATACGTGTGCTGGAGTTGTTCGCAGACATTCGCCGCATCAAGGCCTGTACCCGAAGCAAAAACTTGACATCGCAGCGGTTTCTCAAGAAAATTGGATTCCGGGAGATGGCAATGAAAAGCCAGGAGTACGACTCACCGCATTATGTGATGTTCAGCCGGGACCTGACCGCAGCTTCAGTCCGCGAGGGTCGGTAAATGGGACGGTCGGAAAACAGTTAGTGATTGGCGGCTTGCAAGTCTCGCGGCGGTTCTGTGCCGAAGCTACCGGAGCACCGTGAGCAGAATGTCCAAAGCTGCAAACCTTTCACCCTAAACCCTCAGCCCTCCTTCAAAAGCTTGGAGGAAGCTCGTGGGTTGAAATGCTGGCGCAGTCACAGGCGCGCCTTCTGAAGTATGTAATCCAAGAAAAGCTCGAGCTTGTTGGGGCGCAGTATTGAAAAGACCTAAGCGTACTCTTGCAAGCATCCAAAGTCTTTATGTATAAGGAAGCTTCAGCCTTAGTGTGCGGGCAGTAGATCCCTGCTCAAGCCTTATGTCTTCAATCGAAGCTGCGAAGCCTTAGCCGACAAACCTGCAGGTCGGAAAACGGCTCATTATCCACCCTGAAGCGACCACCCTCCTCAACAGACGCTTGTTCACGCCAACAGTAGAGCACAACCCCCGGGCCGTTGACCCTGAAGCTCTACAGAAGAGGCAGCGTAAAACCCTCATCCTTAGCCCACCAATACTTGATTCCATCGGGTCTAAGCTCTCAACCACGAAGCCCTTAGGCCTAGCCCCACGGGATCCGATGATCCGCCGTTTTGTGAAACAGCCTAAAGCCAAAACCCCAAACCTAAAACCCTAAACCCGAAAACTACTAGACCTTAAACATAAACGCATAACCCTTAAACCCAACCCCCGAAACCTTGAATTCCCGAGCATTAAATCCACACCTAAGCCCAATCCCAAACCCCCAAATCCAAAATCCTAAGGCCTGAACACCAACTCCCGGAGCCCTGAACTCCAAACCCTACCCCTGAACCCCTGAACCCCCTAACCCCTAAATCCTAAATCGTAAACCCCCAACTCCCTAAGCCCTGAGCTCCAAACCCTAAACCCCAAACCCTACCTAAACGCTTAAACCCCTAAACCCTAAGCCCTGAGCTCCAAACCCTAAACCCCAAACCCTACCTAAACGCTTAAACCCCTAAACCCTGAACTCCAAACCTAAACAGGCAGGAGAAGGCCCGACGCCAGCGCCAGACCCTGGCCGCCCTTCTTCGTCGAAGCCCAAGATGTGTGACATGTATGGTTTACCCATAGGCCCCAAAGTAGTTCTTTTTTGGGATTACCTTATAGGTTTCTATATATGAATCCCCAAAAGGAACTACTTTGGGGCCTTCGGGTAAAGTTTAGGTTTTTGGGGTTACGATGTAGGGTTTGGGGTTTAGAGTGTAGGGTGTAGGTCTGGGGTGTAATGACGGTTTCGTTCTGCCAGGAAAAGCGCCTAGGGTTTAGGGAAGATGGGGACCCCAAAATAGGGTCCCTCAATACTGGGCGCAAGAGTTCAGAGTTCAGGTTCTTGCTCGCTTTACGGCTGTTTTTGGGTTTGGGGTTGTCAAACCTCCTTGCACCGAAACTCTGCTTGACTTGCGCACTATATTGTATGGTGCTCTATTAGTCTTCTTGTTCTTCTTCTTATTAGTATCGTTACTACTACTATCAACCATGGTTATATAGTAAGATGTAGTAGCATATCAGAGACTGTTCTGTTTTAGTGTTATTAAGTTATAGAGTATTATGCAGTAGGAGTCAGTACTAGTATTTAGTGTTTGGAAAGATTGCATAGCAGTGCAGTACATCAGGCCCATACAATATCATATCGTTTCACACAGCATCATGTAGTTATTACAGGTGCGCCGTCCACGGATGCTGTGCCTCCGCCCGGCGAGGAGCTTCTCGGCCTGATTTCTGGATGTAAGAGCCCCAAACGAACTAGACCGTAAGTGGCACAGACGCTCTGATCAACCTTACAAGCTTACGTGCTATAGAGTCTCTGATTAACCTTACATAACCCCTGTAAGCTTGTGGTTTAGGGTGAACCCGATTCCCTGAACCCTACCTCAAACTCTGTTACTTGTTTGTAGTTCTCCAAATTGGGAACGGCCTTTCTCGAATTTCAGGAGGTCTCCTTACTTGGGGAGTCTTGCGACAAATTATTATCATCATCGCACCAAACCCTTATTCTAATTCTCCAATTATTCAGGCACCCCCCCCCATGTCCCGAAACCCTAAACGCATAAGGTCCCTACATTGCTCATGTGAGACAGCTTCGCCAAAGAACCCGAGCCAAGGCCAAAGCGCATCGCTCGAGCAGTTGCCGTGGAGGTCGGCTAAATCCTACGTAGTATAAGGGTTTAGCGCCTTAGGGTCTCGGAGCTTGGGGTTCAGCGTCTTAGAGTCTTCGGATCTTAGGGTTAGGGTTTAGGGTCTTAGGGTTCGTTCGGGTTTAGGGTTTTAGGGTTTAGGGTTTAGGTTTATTAGCGAGACCCCTTAAAGGGGACCCTTCTGAACCGTACTTCTGGCTCTCTTAAGAGGGATCTTATTGAGAGGATATCCCCAAGGGTCCCCCTGATCCTAACTCCTCTATCTAGACGTGAGTCCTACAAGATCTTCGTCAAGGTGCGGCTTGTGTTTACTTCTCCTGAATATTATGCTATGTGGTGGTTGGGATTAGCTTGCGATTTTGCGTTTGTGCCAACTCTGCTAGCTGAACACATCCCATAGCCCTTGAACCACCGCACCCCTAAACCCCGAACCGTTGAGCCACCTCATACTACTGGTTTTCCCCTAGGAAGGGCATTGATGACTCTTCCGACCCCTATATTAACCTCCCTCAAGCCGGAGCCTTTGAGGATTGGAAACAGATTCGGGTGCAGGAGGGAGTTGACGAAAGAGCTGTCCACGCTGAAACCCCAAATTCTAAGCCAAAGCCCCAAAAACCCAAGCCGAGTTTAGGTAGCCTACTAGAGTATCCCCGAAGGCCCGATGGAATCCCCAATGACTCAGCTTGTTTGATAAGTCAAAGGAGCCTCCAAGCAATGAAGGGGGTTTGAATAACTTCACTTAGCCACTAATGGTAATATGGAATCCACGTATACTTACAGTGTCAGATGCCCGAAAACCCTAAGTAACTGTACCTAACGCATGTTCTTCATTCTTCAAACTTGGAATACCGTTCAAACATATGCCTATCACGTGGTAGAAAGCTTGTTGCATCCTGATGTTGAAACAAACGGGCCTGCAAGTAAAACTCCTCTGAAATCCTCAACCCCAAACCACCAACCCTTGTAGTATCCCCTATAGAATCCTGAAAGGAACCCCAAAGGGAACCCTTAAACCATAAGCCCTAGACCCAAAATCCGTCGGAAGTGAGGCCAAAGCGCTCTTCCAGTTCATCGCCTCCCACGGCGCCGACCCGGCACGCAAGCGGCTGTTTGCAGGCTTGTGGTGGGGGAGTTTAGGATTTTTGAAGGTTTCTGACCGATCTCTTTGGAGAGGGTTGAAGGGATAGCGTGTGCCCGAAACCCTAAACCCTTAACCCCTAAACCCTAAACCCTAAACCCTTAACCCTTAAACCCTAAACCCTTAAGCCTTAAACTCTAAACCCTTAACCCTTAACCTTTAAACCCTAACCCCTAAGCCCCCTAAAGGGATGAGCCTTTGGAGAGTGCTGGGCCTGCAAACTCTTCCCCAAAGCTGTTGACCGATTGCGAGGCTTTCGTGCCCGGGCTGCGCAGAAGCGGCAGCACCCTTCTTTCCAGGAGGCTATTAAGGGTTTAGGATTTAGGGTTTAGGATTTAGGGTTTAGGGGCCTCAGGTGACTTTTGTTTGCTTGCAGGTTTGAGGTTAGGTAAGGCCCCCCATCCAAGCCTGAAGGTATAGTTGTAGTTATGTATAGAAGTTCCTCCAGCGTCCTATGGTACCACAATTACTAGTACTGTGGGGGCCACCCATCCAGAGCTTCAGGGTCTGATTCGCTTACCTTTGGTTAGTAGGGAATGGAAGAATGGTAGTAGTAGTAGTAGTTATAATTGTACCCAATTCCTCCATTCCCTACTAACCAAAGGTAAGTCTAATTCGGTGGTCTTCGGTTCGAAGCCTTGAACGAGGCGACGCTGGGCCAATCTCCTCGCGCAGCGGAGGAGGAGTTCGTCCAGCTTCATTTTTTTTGGTTTTTGGGGTGGGGAGCCTGAGACGAGATTCAGCGCTGAGTCCCAAACCCGTCAAGCAGGAGCCCTTCAACCTTAATCCCTAAACCCTGACCCGCAAACTTCAGACCCTAAACCCGAATTCCCTGATTCTCAAACCCTACTATCCCTTCAACCCTCTCCAAGCAGATCGGTCCCAATCCTTCTAAATCCGAACCCTTGAACCCTTAAGCTCTAAACCCTCATGAAACTATTAAGCCTAAAATCCCTAAAAGCACGCCTAAGCACTACTGAAACCTGCAAGCAAGGAGGACAGCGCTGGTTCGGCGGACAGCGATGACGAGGCCGGAGCTAGTGGGGTTCTTATAAATACCTATACGGTTGATGATAGAAATCCGGCATTACCCATAAGAAGGAATATACCATAATTCCCATAGTTTCGGCTTCCTAAGGTAATGATTTATATCATCAACAGTATTTTGACGGCTCCTTGTTATAGTTTACAGTATAATATACACCAAAACCCTATTTTAATTATTCATTCAGGCCCCCCAGAGTACCTGGGTCGCATTGATATGACGAAGAGCAACAGGGTTCCGCACTTCTAGGCGTTCTGCTCAGGTCTTATAACTCAGCGGTAGTTGCTCGTTGTGACTACCCTGTATGATATTATGGGGTCCTAGAAAATCAATTACAATAGAGACTATAGAGCCGAAGTTCGTGGGCGAACAGCGTAGCTGCAGTCAGCGCAGGACGATGCCTCCTCGCAGACAGATCTCGGCGAGACCAGTGATGAGGAGGCCAGTGTATAATAAAGAGGCCCGAAGAACCAGCAATTTTAACACTATATTTTCGATTTGGCTATTATACCTTTTAGTCGTTAACACCCAAACCCCAAGCCTGAAGTAACAGCTATCCAAGCCCTCAATCCGAAATTTCTGAGCACTGGACAGCTAAACCGAACCCGGCCATACTCAGCGTAGATAGAGCAAGGCCACGTCATGTCCAAACGGAGGCCTCATTAGGGTTCAGGGTTCAGGGTTGAGGGATATCGGTTAGGGCTTGGTTCGACGGGGTTTCACTCTCCCGCTAGCAGGATCTGACACATGGAGGCGCTGAGCAGCGAGGAGCAGTTGCAGGTGCCACTGTGGGGCTAGAGAAGGGAAATCAATGAAAATTGAATTTCAATCCTAGCCATAGACAAAGATCTAAGAGCAGGAAGGTTGGTAGAATCCCTCGATACATGTTTCTTTGTTTTGTTGCTTTCATGGTTTTCCTGGCCTCGGTTGGGTTGTGGGAGTTTGGCTCAGGTTTTCAAATCTGCAGGGCTTGAGGTTGCAGAGGCTTTTGTCCCCCGTTTTAGCAGTACAGTAGTACGTAGTACCCTAGTACGGCAGTAGTACAGCGGCATTGGTACAGCAGTACTACAAAAAGGCGGCAATACACCAAAAACGAGGTCGTACGATAATTGCGTAGTACATTGGTGCATTAGTGGTGAAGTAGAAGTACCGTAGAAGGGCTTCGAGGGTTTAGGGTGGTTTCGTGGGGTTGAGGAATGGCTAGTGCGGTTTAGGGTCTGTTTGTGGGGGTTGGGAGTTTTATGAAGCATCTAGGGAGGCTGACTGGGGCTTGGGGTTAGTGAGGTTAGGGGGGTTTTGAACGGTTGTGCAGGGGAAAGGAGGCAAGCTTTCCATACCCGTAGAACGGGCTCCAAAAGCGCTCCAGCTGAGGCACCAAAACAAGACAATCCGGTTGATTCCAGAGCGCAAGAACGTGGACTATACCAAAATGGTCCGTGTTCTGAATTAGCCTGGCCGGAACACATTAAAGATGGTCACTTAATCAAAATCGGTGCAACATTTGTTATTACCGCAAGTTGTGACTGAAGCCGTGAGTGGCACGAAAGCATGTGAGATGCGACACCACAACCATGTGGGTCTTTCAGTTTTGGGTTTAAGCTTAGGCTTCGAGTGACTGACCATTCATGGTTGCGGCGAGTGTCCTCAATGCTCGCTTCAGCAGCCCCTGAAACGGCAACAGCCCGCATACTGTAGGAATCTGATTAAGAAACCTTGGGCCTTCATTAGGGCGCCTTATATGAATCCTACTACTTTGGGGTTATAGGCCCAAGGCTTCTTAATCAGGTCCCTACATTATTATAGTACCCTTATAGATCCCCTACAGTAACCCTTCTAGACCCCTTTAAGGAACCCTAATATAGACCCTACAATATCAATGATCCAGAAAGCTTGCCGTGAGGATCTTTGGCTCGATGCGGCTTGGCCTTCGCTGGGGCGCTGCTGCACACTCTCGCGCCTCGGTGATGGTGAGGTAGGGTTTTCGGGTTTAGGGTCGGCGGGATTTCCCCTAAAGAGAAGGGCTTGGAGGGCTTTAGGGTTGAGGTTTGAGCTGAGGCATTCAAGGATTGGGCAAGGCTTGCCCCGCAAGGACTTGATTGAATTAGTGGCTGGTTGAAACTTCACTAGTAGAAAATAGTCAGTATTACGATCATTGCTGTTGTTGCTCTCAGTTTGAGTATGATGACGATGTTGATGATGCTGCTGATGATGATGGTGATGGGTATGGTGATGGTGATGATGATGGTGGTGCTAGTCTTGGTGGTGACGGTGATGGTGATGTTATAGTGGCTTGACATGGGTTCTCGAGGTTTTTTGTACACATGGAGGGCATGATCGTCGTCCACTGCATTGAAATCGTCGTGGCCTCGTTTTTGTCGTCGGCACCACCACCACCACCACCACCACCACCACCACCACCACCACCACCACCACCACCACCACCACCACCACCACCACCACCACCACCACCACCACCACCACCACCACCACCACCACCACCACCACCACCACCACCACCACCACCACCACCACCACCACCACCACCACCACCACCACCACCACCACCACCACCACTACCACTACCACCACCACAACCACCACCACCGTCCCCACCACCATGATCATCATCATCCTTGCTCGACTCACTGAGTGCTCCCGACCCCCTCGGCACGCGCAGCAGCACGCACCGCAGGCCAGGAGTCCTTGTTCGGTCACTTCGTGAAACTCCGGCCAAAGTCACAAGCACTCTGTACCGTGGAGTGACGGCCCGCTGCTCAAGGTTTTCTTGAGCACCAGCAGCAGATACAGGCATGCACCGCTGCAAAACTCCTAAGCCCTCAGAGGGACACTACGTGAAAACTACCTTTCAAACTAAGGCACTCTCAACGGAACTCGTTGTGCGAACTCAGTGGAGCCAGCCACAGCGCCCCGCCGCCGCCGAGAGTGCACACTGCTCAAGTCGTTCAGCACCGCAGCCGAAGCCAAGCTCGCCACCAGCTAACCACAGCCAGTGCAGCCTAGCCCCCGCTGCAGGAGGACAGGTCACGAAGTTGTTGCGCAGGTCACCACCAGGGGGACGGCCACTAGCCGTCACCATGCGCTCCAGCACGTAGCAGTCGGGTCACCTTGATGACGCTCTCGCCGTAAGTTTGTCCCGCATGGGCAGCAGCCAGGATGGCTTTCTCCTCCCACTGGCACACTTGCTCAGCTTCAGCTTGCCACCGGCTCCTCAAAGAGCCAGTCCGACGTCGCTCCATGGCCCGCTTCGCCTCGCCGTCCGCAGCCTCGTTCAAAAGCCTGCAAAGGTCAGCCCGAAGGGGAAAAGGAGCCTGCCACTCTCGTCGTTTGCCGTGGCTCGGACACCAAAAAGGCCTGACCTGCCAGCCACGTCGCTGCAAGGACTTCAAGTGGTTCGCAGCAGCACTCGCCAGCAGCGGCAGACAGCTTGTGACCGGATTAGCCAAGCTATCCAGTGCCGCTTTGCAGTCTACCACAACCCACAGCACCCTCGGCGGCAGCCCATTGTCACTGGCCAAAAGCACCGCCCGGAAAAGGACGAGGAGCGCCTTGAGCTCAGCGCGGAACGAGCTCTGGTCCTCACTCCCGTCCCCCATGCCGCCGCCTCGTCCACCAGGGAACACGACGCTGTAGCCGGCGACGCCATCTCTCGCAGAGCCGTCTGTCGCCGCCACCATCCACAACTCCTGCTCGGTGCCCTCCAGCTCCACAGTGTTCTCCGGCAGCGAGAAGTCCTGGAACTCGAAGGCACCGCCCGACACCTGCTCGGCCTCGACAGCCGCCTTGCCCACGGCCTCCGCGATGCCCTCGACGAAGTCCTCCTCGTCCAGGGCCACTGGAGCCGGCGGCCACTGCGGTAGACCACAAGCAAAAAGACGTTCTTCAGCCCTGTGCCTGGGTTGTCGAACTCCAGCTCGACACATGGCCGTAGCTTCACACTTCCACGTCAAGTGAGCTCGCGAGGGGGCCCACTGTCCACAGAGGCAGAGACCCCGAGGATCTCCGTGCTCGAGCGTGCTGCCGGCCGTCCAATGCCACACAGTGCCACCAGTAGCCGCAGCAGCCCTCCGTTGCGGTAACGAAGAAGCACCTTCGAAGACCTTCTTGTGCCCGAGGAAGCTGTAGTCGAGGTTTCCAGGTGCAGGAAGGTCGAGGCCGCCTGCGAAGTTGCCAGGGCGATGATAGCTTTGCTGCACCCTGCCGCATCGAGCCATGAATTTACGCCGGTACTCCACACGGAGCCACTCTTCGAGGATCTCAAGGTTGTCCCAGCCGAACTCAAAGGTGCGAACCCTGCCTTGGTCGTCGACACGTTGCAGAGCCCTTCCGTGCCGCACCACTTGCCAACCGCACCTCACCACAGCTTGAGCAGCCAAGGGGAGCACATCTTGCCAGTTGTCGAAAGCCTCAGTCAACGGCACCTGATCTCGCCACTCGGGCGTGCGAGACAAGTGACGCGTCACAGCCTGAAAAGCAGCAATGTCACAAGCGAACTGTGGCTCAGATCTCCAACCCATTAGCTCATGAATCAAGACCTTGGGAGCTTCCCTAAGAAAACTCCCCTGCAAGAAAAAGTAGAGCTCGTTGGTGACCGACTTCAAGTCCTCGTCAGAAGGTTTAGCCACACCCCCCGCCCAGAACAAAGCCGCTGAAACCAAAGAGGACAAGAGCAGCTTCTGAAGTGTCAAGTTCACGCCAACCCGCTTCAAGTACCTTAGTCGCCACTTCACCTTGTCTAGGTTCAGCTTGAGCGGGACGCACTGCGCCGTCGTGAGATCAAACTGGATGCCCAAGAATTCAAGGGTGTGGCAACAAGGATAGCCGCGCTCCTGCATCAAAGGAACCAGGTCAAGAGCTTGATCGTGATGCGCCAAAGCACACTTCTCGGGTTTGCACTGAAGGCACAGGGCAGCGTCGAAGAAATCGGACCGCTGCAGCACCTGGCGCATCGCCTCCGTGGCACGCTGCGACCACGACACTGGCCACAGCAATCGATCGTCGATGTAGACCAACGACTGGATCTCCTGCGTGTGGAGGACACTGTACGAGGCCCAGGCTTGACCAACCAGCAGGGAAAGGACCGGGCTCAAAGGGCATCCTTGAACCACTCCACGATTGGCCGTAGTGAAGCTTTCCGTGGTGAACTGCTCAACTTTGAAAAGCCGGCGCGAGTCACGGTACATGGCCGCCACCAGCCTACACAAAGCCGCCGGCGCCTTGTAGTGCTCCAGCAAGGGAAGCAGCACGTCCAGCGTCAGCGAGTCGAAGAAGTGCGACAGGTCCTGCTTCACGAAGGCGCGGCATCCACGCCTGTGTGCGCCCATCAGCCTGAGGTGCGAGTCGGCAACGCCCACACCCGCGACCCCACCCATGGCTTGAGCCGTGGTCCACGTGCCAACCCATCCACGAAGTTGCTTGACGAGGCATCGTGCCCCAGCTCGCCACAAGATGGAAAGAAGGCCCACCGGCCTCGTACGGCCGTCGGCCTTAGGCAGCAAAACAACCAAAGCCGAAGTCCACGTAGTCGGTAACACCCCGATCTCCAGAGCCCGATTCCAAAGAGTGGCAGCAGCCTCCCAGAAAGTGACGGGCAAGCGCAAAAGGTCCCGCGCTTGCCACCCATCGCTGCCGCATGCTTTCTTCACCATGCGTTGCGTCGCCCTACTCAAGCCATCCGCGGACACCGCCAAGTCGACCTGGGTGTCCACGGGCCGCGGTAGCTCGGAGAGCACTTTTCGCAAAGGTTCGGGATTAAAAGGGGTGTCCGAGGAGCGGGTCCACAAAGCACTCCAAATCGCACCTTGTTCACGTAGAACCTGAGTCGGATGTGTAGCCACAGCTTCGCGAAGTTCTTTTGGTTGCCCGAAACACGCCTGTGCTTCATCGGCTTTCCGTTTGATCCATGCACAACTCGTGGTGTACGATCGATCGGTGTTGCGCCATGCATCCACTCTGGCCTCGGTCTCCTGGGCCTCGTACTGATGGACGAGCTTCGCCACCTCGTCTGCAGCCTCCAGGAGATCACCAGGAAAGTAGGGCAGCTCGGGCACAAGTTCGCGCAGTCCTCCAAGGGAGGCCTTGATGGAGCGTCGAAGGCGAAAGTCCTCGGGCTCCATCGCCAATTGTCGAAGTCGTCGAAGAAGGCGTCGAAGCCCACCAAGTCCCCGTGAGTGTCGAGGTCGTCGAAGATGTCGTCGCTCGCCCTCGTTGGACTCCGGAGTGGGGTCAAAGGCCCTGGGCGCCGAGGCGCCAGGGCTCACCCCCAGAGCCCGTTCGGCAGCACCTGAGAGGCAACCCCATGCATCGTCGATCCGGCCATGCTGCAAACATTGGTCGAAGTCACTGGCACTCCACACTTGGTTGAACCTGCCCGCGATAGCCTCCTCGCTCAACCCCGCATCCATCGGAGCACGAAGTGGAAGTCGATGGCCGCTGAAGTTGAGGTCGAGGTTCAGAGTGTAGCCGACAGCAACATGATCCGCCGGTCCGTCCACATGACATACCTGAGTAGCTGCAATCCCCGGATGGGCCACGGCGAAATCGATCCTCCGCGTCCTGCTCGGTGAAGTGTTGGGAAGGATCCCCACAAAGTCATCATCGAGGCACCGTAAGCGCCCCAGTGACAACAAAGAGTCGATCAGTCCTGCCTCGCCCCGCTGCCAGTTGAAGTCCCCGAAGAGCACGTACATGCACCGCAAAGGCCTCACCACATCCAAAAATTGCTGCACCACTTGGTCCGTGGCCTCCGAGTCGCTGGGGAAACCATAAAAGGCTCCAAGCACCAGGGGCACCGGTTGTCCACCAGACTGGACCTGCACAATGGCTGCAGCAACACGAGTGGCAGCTAAGGACTCCGGAGGCATCCGGAGAGCCCGAGCATGCAAGGTGGTGACCAAGCCCACTCGACGCCGACCCGTTTGGGCCTCAGGCCTCGAGAGAAACAGCTGAGCCCCAGCCTTCTTCCACGCCGTCGTGTAGCTCGTCACCTCCACATCGGCAATGTCGAGCTGTTGCAGAGAAAAAGCCTCGGCCTGAAACTGCTCAACGAAATCCCTGGTCACAGAAAACTTCGAAGCACCAGCCCGATCCACATTGAGTGTTGCGAGCCCCAGGCTACTGCAGTTGTCCCGTGTCCTAGCCGCCATCATTGTTGCACATAGTCACCACCGATAACCGCTCGTGCCTCCGTGAAGATGTTCTCGAGCGAGTCCTTCTGAAAGCCATGACGACTGAGATCACCTAGGCACCACTTCTCCAATCGCCCCAGTCGGAGCAAGTGAGTTTTGCGTACTTTGCGAGCGCGCTCTCCAGAGCATGGGTTGGGATGTTGTCGTGAGCTCTTGCGGTGTGCCGGCAACACAGTGCGAGTGCGAAAACACATCCCACAACGAACACACGACCAAGCCGACCTAAACCTAACCCCGGCAATCCGATTGGTCCCCTTAGCAAGATTATGCACAGGCCACGTGAATCTTCTGAATCCATCCGCCTGCCACTTCATGTCCTCGGTGAGGTTCTTCGCCACGTTGCAGTTGAATTTGGTGATTCTCTGCGCTGCCCTCCTTTGGCCACGTGGAACACAAAGCTGATGCCACTTGGCCGGGGTGATCTTGGGATGGTGCTCCGCCCGATGGCGCCTTTTTGCAAAAAGCACCGTGGTGGCATTCAGCGCCGATCGGAGCTTGTTGGCCAAACCATAGGGGCAAAGGGGACACGTCCATGCATAATTGTCCCGAGGGCCTCGGATCGGCGTGATGTACTCGCCGGTCCTCTTGCGATAACCAGGAAGGCCTTCGCCGTTGTGGACTCGCCTGCAATGGTTACTGCGTTTCCAGCAGAGTTCTGTCGCATCCTTCACAGGCGCGACATACGGACAAAGCTGGCACCTGAAGAACTTAGGAGTCTTACGAACACCATGCTGTTGCCAGTGAAAAACGCGACGGGTGGAGGTTTGCAGAGCCGGCTCTGCCTCCTCCACCTCCTCAAAGCCTTGAGACGCAGTGGCCTTCGTGCGTCGGCCACCGGAGGTCACAGGAGGAGGCCCCTGCGTAGCAGTGCCTGACTTCTTGGTCCAAGCCGTGCCCGCCTGCGAATGCCAAGAGCTTGAAGAGTCACTGGCCTTCGTGAGCACCGTCCTTGGTCCCCACGATCCCGATGCCGACGAAGAGTCCCCACCCACCCGCAGCTCGAAGTTGATCGTGGCAGTGATCTCGGCGATCTCCTTGGGGATCTTCTTGCCCTCTTCCACCAGCAGCAGGTCGAGGTGACGCCCTGAGTACCAGAAGATCAGGCACCGCTTCGGAGACTTCTGGCCAGAGTGGAAAACCACCGGCGGGAAGCAGGCCATCTCTGGCACCAACACCACCTTGACGTCGTAAAGCCGCGCCATCGCCTTCAGTTCAAGGTCGCTGATGTAGGCGCTCTCGGAACTGACCGCCGTGATGTAGGTGTCCCAAGAGTCGAGAACTCGGCCGTCGGGGCCCTTGCTGTCCCATGCCGCTTTGTACTCCTCGGCGTGCTTCTGCATGTGCTCGATGCATTCAGCTCGTAGGATTCGCGGATGCTTCTCGATCTTTCCCTTGCTGATCAGCTTGAGGCCCGCCGAGAAACAATGGAAGCCACAGGCTCCATCCTTCGGTTGGTCCTCTTTGCGCAGACCCTCCGGGATCGGTCGCAGCTCCGGCGCGACAGCAGCGCGCTTCGCAGCAGGGGCGGTGACCGCAGGCTTGTCTCGGCTCTTGCCATCCTTGTCAGTCTGCTCGTCGCCCTCGCCGTCCCCCTGGAGATCCGCATCCTCCTCGTCCGCGTCGGTCGCCACAGGAACGGCGACGGGGTTCGCCGCCCTGAAGGTCTGCTTCTGCTCCAAAGGCAACGCAGTCGTTGGCAGTTGCCGCTGCTTGAACTTCTCGGTCCTCGGCGGTGCCACCCGAGCCCACGTAGTGATCACACCGTCTCCGGTGTCCAGGTTGATGGGGACCAGGTCGCTGTTCGGGTCACTCGGATGAGCCGCCTTGAAGAAGAAGGTTCTCTCCCCTTTAAAGCCTCTGGCACGCATCATCGTCACGTCACTGAAGTACTTCTCGAGGATCGCCTTCGCCTGCTCAGGGTCGACGGAGACCGGGACGTGCTCGAATATCCAAATCTTCGGAACAATGTCCCCTGACTGGATGGTGCAACGAATCGCCAGCCTGCTCCCTTTTGCCACCAAGCCGAGGTCGCCGGCACATTTGATGGCACGGGCGTGGTAATCGCTGTGACTTTCGGTCTTGGAGCTCCGCTCCACCCAAGTGATGCGGCCGGAAATGCCCATCGACTTGGTTGGATCCAAGAACACCCCATCCTGTCCCGACGAACCCAGGATCGCAAGAGCCTCCGGCTGCAAGAGTCGGACGAGTCCATACAATTGATGGCCGTGGTTGTCGCCTTTTTCGTCCTTCCACGAGAATGAGTCCAAGGCGTTCACGTGCCTGTCGGCCAACCATTGCTGGACGCTACGCTGCGGGCTCTTGACGAACGCGTCCCAGAGCTCCTTGGTGGCGAAGTTCTTGCTGACCCGTACCACCAGCACCTCTGTTGGCTTTTTAACCAACTTGACCGCCGCCTGATGCATGCCCTTCGGTTGCGGCGCGGACTGCTCCGCAGACGTGATCTTCAGCACAGTGGCTGCCCTGAAGGCCAACAGATCGCCTTGGCGACCAGGAACCCTCTGCTGGGTCTTCGGGTCCTGGCCCTCTTCTTTGCCGAGGGTCACGGTCAGGACGCTGTATTTTCGGCTGGAGCCTTGTAGCACCCTCTGCAACAAAGTTCGCTGACTTTGATCACATCGCACTACAGCCCTAAAGACCTCGTCCGGCTTGATCTTGTCAAGGGCGGCCGAAACCTCTCCATACAGCGTCAACGGGGCATCCCAATCCTGCTGCCGCAGGACGAACTCTTTCCCGCTCGTTTTGCGCTCGACGGTTTTCCACTCGCCGTCACCCTCCTCTTTCGAAGGATGCTGCGGTTTCTCACGGACCGCGTCACCACTTCCTTTGCCAGGCTTCGGTGACCGTCTCGGCGCGTCGTCGGTGCCCTTCGCTTTGGCCGGCTTGTCTTTGCCAACGTCTTTGCCCTTTCCCTTGCCTTTGTCAGGCTTGTCCCCTCTTCCACGAGACTTGGCTCGCGCAGCAGCCGGCTCCGGTGGAGCCAAGAAGCCTGACCCGAAAGCTTCCCGAATGGCCTCTTTCACGGCCTCTCGGACCATTTCCCGGATCATTTCTTTAAGCCCCAACCCATCGAGAAGCCCACCCGGAGAGGGAGAAGAAGAGGGAGGTCCAGGGTTTGTCGCTTCACCTATTCTCGCACCGCATTTCCAATCGTGACTGAGTTGTCGCATCGGAATGTAAATGCACTGCATGAGACGCACACCGAAAGCACAGCATGACATGACCGACATGAAAACACTGTCTGCAAGTCCTGTCCTGCCCTCTGGATGCGACGAACCCGCAACTGAGGTGCCTGACGGAGTAGCCCAGACGATGGGCAATCCGTCGCTCTCCGTCGCCAAAGTGGATGCCAACGAAGTGCCCGGGAGAAAAAGCTCCGTCCCAGCACTGTCGCTGAGTCGAGCTTCGCACTTCCGAGTCGCAACAGTGTCAGAAGAAGCTAAAGTGCAACAGCATGTCATGAGGCGCGAAGCAAACGGAAAACATGACATGACCGACATGAAAACCCCGCTTGCGCGTCCTGTCCTGCCGTCCAGCTCCGACGAACTTGACTCCGAAGATCGTGACCATAAAGTCCCGCCACATGGGTCGCCACGGCCCGCCGCCACCAGAGTGCGTCCGGCCAGGGTGGTCTCAAAAGGCGCGCGCATGTTGCAGTAATCGCCATCGCCCTCCGTCGCCAAAGTGGTAGAAGACGAAGTGCGCGGCAGAAAAAGTTCCGTCGCCGCATGGCCGCTAAGTCGAGGTTCCCACTTCCAAGTCGCCACAGTTGTAGCCGAAGTTGTCTCCCGATCCCCGCCCAAGGCCGCCGAAGCCGAAGGAGTAGAAGTCGTAGAGGTCGAGCCGCCACGTCGCCTGGTCGCTGCGCCCTCCATGGCACAGCACACGGGCGCGTAATCAGGGAGCCCGTGCGGGCTATGTGTGACGCCTGTGGCGCCGAAGTCGGGAATAACATCCCACTCCTTGTCCCCTTCGGGATCCACACTCTTTTGGTCCCCATTGGGATCTTGGGAATTTCTTTTCCGAACAACACCACACTCTTGGTCCCACGTGGGATCTTGTGTATTTCTTCTCGGTTCTGGGGTCCGGTCCCCAATGACACACCCGAAGCCTAAACCCTCTAAACCCGACACTCCTCGCTCAGTCCTGCCAGAACTGGGTGTCGTAGCACAGGTGGAAGGAGTCAAAGCAGACCTCGAGGCAGCATGTTGCAGTCGTTCGCCATCGTCGCCACAAAAAGCTTCGCACTCCCAGTCCGCCACAGTTGTAGCCGAAGTTGAACCATGACCCCCGTCCAAAGCCGTAGAAGCTGAAGAGGTAAAAGTCGTGCCGCCGCAGCGCCTGGTCGTAGCGCCCACCATGGCAGAGCGCGCGGGCGTGTAATCAGGGAGCCCGTATGGGCTAGGTGCTGTGCCTGTGTCACCACAGGCGGGAACAACATCCCACACACTGTCCCCTTCGGGATTTTGTGCATTTTTGCTCGTGGCATCATCACATTCTTGGTCCCCACAGGGATCTTGTGAATTTCTTTTCTCAACAACTTCCCACTCTTGGTCCCCTTCGGGATCTTGTATTTTTCTTCTCGGTTCTTGGGTCCGGTCCCCTACTGCAGACCCTACACCACAATCGCCTAAACCCGACAAACCCTGTTCAGTCCACAAGGCCCGTGAAGGCGAAGCACGGGAGGAGGCACTCGAAGTGGAACTCGAAACAGCAGCAAGCGTCTCCCGAGTCCCAGTAGTCTCCTTGTCCTCCTGTTGCATAGCTCCAGCACCCTCGCGGAGAGCACCAGCAGAAATGGAAGCGAAGTTGCCAACCCGCTGCGCAACACCAGTGGATTTTCTCGCCCCTTTCGGAAGCTCTCGACCACGGTGTGCCCCAACACGGTGTTCGGCTCGAAAGGAAGAGTCAGTGTCATCACAGAAAGGCATCTCGGAGTTGCCCGCCAGTTGCGCATCACCAGTGGATTTTCGCGGCCCTTTCGGAACAACCCGACCACCAGGAGCAGCAGCACGGCTCCTAGGGGCTGGGTCGAAGTCACATCCTGAAGTGTTGGTCCCTCCAAGGCAGGTGGAGGCATTCGAAATGGAACTTGTAGCAGCAAGAAGCGGCTCCCATGTCCCAGTGATCACATCTAAGCAAGGGCCCTGAGAGCAAGCCCGAGGTCCATATTGAGTTCGTTCCCCTGCGAAGGAAAACGGATTCGCAGCACAGCTTGGTCCACAGCCCCGTGCAAGCAAGTTGTCGATCGCTCCCGGAGTCTGGTGTCGAAGATGTCGCCCAAGAACAGCACTCGCCTGGCCATGCCGGCCCCATCGATGCCGTGGTCTCCTGGTCACCTTCCGCCTCACTTTGCCGCGCCGCCAGCGGCTCGGAGGGCACAGGCAAGAAGAAGGTGTCTCCTTGGTCCGTTGCCCTGTGCTCTGGCCTTGGTGTTTGCGAACACGGCGGCCACAGTTGCCTTTGCGAAATGGTGTCCGGCCCCTGCCGGTGCCATCTTGATGGTGTAGAGGAGGAAGTCGCTCCGAACCACAAAGCTGCTTCACTCCTGCTCCTGCAAATCTGTCCTCTGAGCAATGTTGGCTGACAGGAAGCCCGCCAGCATTTTCAGCCATTCTTCGATGGCTGCCCTTGTCGCCCAAAATGGGCTGGTTCTGCACGCTCCAAGTAACACGCCCTTTTTCAAGAAGATTGTCGCCAGTAATGCTACCCACAGCATCAGCTGGCCGGTCTGGAATTCTCCGGTAGTGAAGCCTCCCATCGCCTGAACCCGATCGCCACGAATGGAACTCGCTGAGCAGTTGCTGCGCCCACGCAAAGCAGCTGCCGCCACTGGATGGCGCCATGGCGCGACTATCAAGCGATCTTCGCAGGAAGAGCTACCCTTCCCCCCACCCAAGACCGTGTGCCTATCGCACTGGAGGTGTCGCTTGAGCCTTGAGCATCATCATCCTTGCCGGCATCTCCTTCCTCCTTCTCCTCGTCCTCGGCATCGCCCTTGAAAGCTATGGAATGCAGTAGCCGAACACTCACTACCCAATGACTTGTGAACCCTTACAGGGACTCTCCTCGCGAGGGAGCCTGATCAAGCGCCCTCGGCTTGCCGGTCAAGTCAGGTAGCGCAACCTGAGAAGGAACAGCAGCTGAGCAAGTCTGGGTACAACAGAAGGGCAGCTACGAACTTGATTAATCGAGTTCGGAACAACTCCAAGCGGATCAAGGCCTCCCCGATGAGCTCCAAAAGCTCTGGAACAATGACGATCGGAAATCCGACCTCATCGACCTTATCTGCCGTGGCAGCGGGGACTTGGACGCGATCTCTGCATCCTACCGCAGCACCGCAACGCGATCGCACGAGTCCAAGCAAGGCCATTGTGCCTCTGTTCAACCCTCGCAGAACCCTGTATAGAGCCCTTCTAGAGCTCTGTAGCATGCAAATTTTTTGCAGAACCCTTTCATCTGAAACTTTCAACTTCATTCCTTGAGGCGCCCAGCAGCGCTGCCGCCGTCCTTGAGGCACCTTTGCGTGAGCTCGAGGCCCCCACCCGAAGAGCCATTGTCTGGGGTTTGATGGTATGGTTTAGGGTTTAGGGTTTAGGGTTTAGGGTTTAGGGTTTAGGGTTTAGGGTTTAGGGTTTGGGGTTTGGGGTTTGATGGTATGGTTGTGTATAGCCCGTTGAGGGCCTCATCAGGGTTTGTTGCGGTTTTGCACGGGTGTTGCAAGAGGTTTACGCAGTTTTTACCAAGCGTGATGGGGTTGACGAAGGTTTTGCGGGCGATCTTTCAGCGGAGCGGCATGGACTGCGTTTATAAACTGGCACTTGAAAGCTTGAAAGCTCTCTCATGGAACCCCTCAGCACCAAGTAAGAAGAATTACAAAACCCACAGGCCATAAACAAGATATGCCTCAAATGCCCCAATAATCTAAAGCCTATAAGCGTTGTACCAGCAAAGATTTACAGTGCATATGCCTGAACCCACAAAATCTTTCGCTTGTTCCAACCTCAACACCAATTGAACAGATTCAACAAGCCTCGCGCTGCAAAATTGTCAGCCTTCAGCCATAAAGCACCCAAACCCGAAGAGCTTTGACCTCAGGTAAAAGCCAGAAAGTTGGAATATGATTATCCTAACCCTTCTATGGTAAATTATAGGGTATCCTACCATGAAACCATATTCCAACTTTCTGGAGTTCCCTGTATCATCTAATCTCTGACATGCTGCAAACCTTAAACCTTAAATCTGGCACCCTAAATCCTGACCCTGGAAACCAAAAACCTAAATCCCGAACCCTGAACCTCAAAGCCCCTAGACCCCTAATAATAGCTCCTACACCCTGAACCCCAAGCCCTAGAGCCTGACTCCTTAACATGAACCCTAATGTAGGAACCTGATTAAGAAACCTTGGGCCTGTATTAGGGTTCCTTATATGAATCGTACTATTTAGGTTTATAGGCCCAGGGTTTCTTAATCAGGTTCCTACATTAAATCCTTCGGGCGAGGTTCTCCCGCCCTTTGCTCTGGCTTCGGGCAGTGGGAAGAACGAGGCACGGTTGTGATTCTCGCTGGGGGTTTTCTTTTTGTTGGAGGCTTCGGTCAAACTTTGAGCGTCAAGGGCTTTTCAAGGGTTTCCAGGTTTTTGACGGTTTGGGGTTTAGGGTTTTTCAGTCTTCTCGGGCTTTTAGGACCTTTAGGGCCTTTGCGGTTCCAGAGCCTTATCAGATTTTAGGGTTATGGACTTCTGGACTCCAACCTGAAAGCATCCAGCACAATCGGCAAATGCTCGTCTGCACTTCCCCTGACCCTGAACTCTCAGCCCCGAAACCCCAACATGCACTGGCACCTTCAGCCGAGATACCTCGTGAATCACGAACCCTTAAAACCGAAACCCTAACCCTAAACGCTATAACCTCCTGCACCATGGACCAATAGATCTGGATAAGCCTCCCTTAACCCTAAACCCTAAACAATAAACCCTAAACGGATAAGCCTCTCCGCTTTTAGGCAGACTGGACGGCCGCGGCGTCTCTTCAGCTGGAGCAGCTTCAGGAGCTAGCGAAGTTCGCTGTCCGAAGATGACCACGGACGGAGAGCCGAACTCGCCTTAATTGAGCATCTAGTTGAAGTAAAGGGCGTTCAGCAAGTTATCTATCCATCTATGCCATCTATCTATCTGCCTATCTCTATAGCTATAATGGCTTCATCTTAAGATCCGAGGAACACTTCGTATTTGAGGTGTAGTGCGGCGGAAGAAGCCGGTAGTTTTCCTCCTAGGACGTAGGACGAGGAGAAGCAGGACTACGGTGCCGGGAGCCGTCGTCGTTGTTGTCGTTGGCTAAAATGATGGAAGGAGTCATTGTAAAAGTGGCTGTGTTCTTCATCGTCGCAGGAGGCTGATGATTACAGTCGCAGGAACAGCAAGCGCGCTGGCAACAACAGCTACACATGTTTAGAAGCCTTGGACATTCACAACGCACCCTGCCAGGCTCTCGGTCAATATATCATGCTGCAACAGCCGGTTGAGACTCAAAAGCCAAACCGATTCAACTGTGTCTATAGCAACGCAAACAAGCACTTAGCATGTTGTGGAATACGCCCTCACGCTCATCTACCAATCCTCTGGGAGAACAAACCCAGGCAGCGTGCCTCGACATTCTTACAGAGCCTTCAGCAACATACACACTCCTTGCAAGATCTGCAAAACTACTGTAAAGTATGAAGCACCCTAAACGTTAAGCCCTAAACCCTGAAGCCGGTGATCAGCTGCGGAACACGGTCCTGCCGTTTGACATGACTAGGTTCTCGTTTCATGTATACGCCCAACTGGGCAGGTGCTGTTGCTGGAAAGGGGACGCCACTACACCTAAAACCCTAAACCCTAAGCGCTTTGCAGAGGAGCGGCTTCCGGGCGGCTGCGGTCCGGCGCTTCGAGGTCAGCGTCGGGTTTTGCGCCGCCGTTCTGAGTGAGGGCTGCTTTGGGGTGTGGGGTTTAGAGTTTAGCGATTTAGGGTTTAGGTTTAGGGTGCTCGGGTTTAGGGGTTTTGGGGTTCGGGGGTTGAGGGGGTTAGGCGATTAGGGGTTCGGGGGTTTAGGGGTTTAGGGTGGGCCCTTCAATCTCAATTCTGTCAGCCCTCCGCACGGATCTCCAGACAAAACCCTGCGCCCTGAGATCTAGACACCAGAACCCGCGAACTCCCTTCCACAAGGTGCGACGGTCTTGACCCGAACCTCAACCATAAGGCTCAAACCGCATATGCTGCATGCCAAGTCCTGCAGCCCAAGCCCAACGCCGCAGCTTCCGGTTCCCACTCCCTTTTGGTAACCCAATAGAGTAGTCCTTATAGACCTGTTTCAAGCGAACCTCGCAAGGGAACCTAAACCCAAACCTCTAAACCCTAAACCCTAAACCCCACAAACCCTCATAAACCCTAAACCCAAACTAAGAGACTTTAAACCCTAAACCCCATAGACCCCATGAGCCCTTATAAACCCTCAACCCAAAGTACGGGACTTTGAACCGGGGAGCAGGACTCGCGGCCTTGGCAGTGGCCGCGGGAGCCGCGGGGGCGGCGCTGCGGGGCGCAGTGGTTCGGGGACCAAGGGCTGGGTGGTTTAGGACGGTTTAGGGTAGTTTAGGGTTTAGGGTTTATGATTTTTAGGGTTTAGTGTTTAGGATTGAGGGTTTAGGGTTTCAGGTTTTGTCAGGATCCCAGAAAGGATCAGGTAAGGGTTTCCTTACCTTTATGGGTTCCTTTATCACGGGACTTAGTTCGTAGTGCTTTCTCGTGCTTTCGTTGCTGGAGCTGTAAGCAGAAGTCCTTGATGAAGTCGGGGAGTTAGTGCACAGAGAGCCCAGTAGCCTCAAATTCTGGAGTATTCCGTAAAGTGTATTGTGTATCTTGTTCTCATTTTGGGAGTGTTCCCTGTTAAGGTGTATTGGCCCTAAACCCTAAACCCTAAACCCTAAACTGTTCCCTGGTACATTGTTGTTGAACAGTACCCTAAAGCCCAGTCTCCTCAGATCTTTGTGTTTCGTCTTTGGGGTTTAGGGTTCTAGGCTTTCAGGTCCGAGTTTTCGGACTGTGGGGTTTCAGATTTCAAGGCTTTAGGCCAAGGGGCTTCGCCGAGGTTGGGGCTCAGAGCTGCTCAGTGTGATGTACCAGCACTCCCCAAGTACCCCCTGTTAAATACTCTAAATACCCCACTATTGAGGACCATAAAGGGCTCTGTCAAAGGCTACTTGGGGGGTGCTGGTAGGGTTTAGGACCAGTTTAGGACTTTGACTTCAGGGTCTAACGCCGGGTTAGCAGAGCTTCGGCCTGTGGGATTTATGTTCACATGGCACGTTTAGGAAGGGTGTTTGGTTGTGGACTCCTATACTGGGTCTGACATGAGCAATGCAAAGGTGGGCGCTGGCCGAGCGCTTTATGGAGACAGGCCACAACTAGTGGACATGCTAGGCGCTTCCTGGCACAACTCCAGCAGCATCCGCATGGACTTCGAAAGCGACAGTCCCAAAATCGGCGCTTGCTTTGGCTATCAGGCTGGTACATGAACATTTCACTAAGGCTGCATTGGCTCTCTTATTCAACCACCTTACTGTTCACCAATCCGCGGATCTCCAGGAGAGGTCGGAGGACGGCATGGCTTCCTGCAAAGGAAGTTTGGAGCCAAACCAATTGCGCCAAGTCACCGAAGGCTTCAGGCCTTTGCGACACTGCCGACAGCATCTCCTGGCTGCCGGCGGAACAGGCGCAGGAGGTGCTGTTCTGGTTGCAGCCAGAGGCGTGGGGCACCCGCTTCGTGGAGTCGGAACATCAAAGCACGGCCTCAACCAATCGTAATCGTATCCCCTTAGAGTCAGTCTAGTCAGTACATGTTCATTTCTATCCACACCTTGTTCTACTTCTTAAGCCCTACATTACATGCTTTCTGAAGCATGCGGTTCTCACCCACAATCCGATACCCCGAAGCGTAAACCTTAGACCCTAAAGCCTACACCTTATAAGCCCCAAGCCATTCCGAATCGTAAACCCAGAACCCTAAACCCCTTTCAAACGACCCAAGTAAACGACTGGGATTTCACACGACACCGAGGTGCTCCTCCGAAACCGCAAAGGCACGTCCCAAGCTGGTGTGGCTTGGGGCGGAAGGTTCAGCGTTACGGGTTCTATAGGTGTGCTCCAAGGATATGGGGTTCGGGTCTGGTTTTCGGGCTAAGTTGCGGGGTTTGGTGGAGAATCGTTGATCGAGGGTCGCAACAACTACATCGGGTTCCAGCTTCCCTCCAATAGGCTCCAGATGCTCCCACACTGGAAGTTTAATTTGGCCAGGGGATCATGCAAGGAGCTTGTCAAGCGCAGATTTCTTTTC